GTCGTCAAGCTTCTTAGCGACGTACTCGATGCACTTTTCGGTGTGCTGGTGGAGTACTCGGGCAACGACGAACTCGAGGACCTCGTGTTCACGGCCCTGGTTAGGGTCCTGGGCATCGTGCACGACAGGCGGTTCAACCTCGGCCCGCTCGTCGACCACTACGCGGAGAACCGCTTCAACTACCCGTTCGCCACGGCTTGCCTCGTCAGGTCATTCACGCGACTGCTCGAAAAGCCGGCGGAACCCACGACGTCGCGCAAGCTTCGGTCCACGTTCAAGGTTGTGCGACACATCCTCAAGTTCATCACACACGCTCGCGGCCAACAGCAGGCCAAGGAAGCCGGAATAGGCATCACCCACTCGCACTCGGCCCCTGGCTTCACCCGGGAGCTAAGGAACATCTTCAAGGCCCTGGACGCCATGATGCGCAGCCACGCCCCCGTCCTCGTCGGAAGCCAGACCCTGGCCGTCCAGCATTTTCATACATGGCTGCCCGAGCTGACGGGTCTCTTGTCGACCGAGGAGATTCTCCACATCGCCATTGACTTCCTCGACTCCTGCGCCGATGTCAAGGGCAAGTTGGTGCTGTACAAGCTCGTGCTCATCATCAACTACTCCAAGCTCGACATCTTCTCGCATCCCGACCAGAAATCGGCCCTCACCGCCAACACGGTCCGATGGATCGCCCCTCACTGGGGTCACACCGAAGCCGTCACCGACTCGTGGAAGGAACAGGTCCGTCTCTGCTGCTCCGTCCTCGCCGGCCAGATCGACAACCTCGGCCCCGAGATCCCCGATTACCTCCCCAAGATCATCGACTCGTACATGTCCATTGTGGCCGTTCCGACCAAACCTCGCAACCGTCTCTCGCTTCTCTTCCCGACGTCGTACCCCTTTCCATGCAAGCCCGTTACCGAAAAGTGCACCTTTGATGAGGCATTAGTCGAACTTTCCGCAATCCTTTCGGCCGTTTCGAACTCGCCAAGCGGCATGCAACTAGAGTTGATCGAGGGCGACTTGACTTTGTTGTTAGAGAATACCCTCCGCGTGCATATGAGTATTTTGATGGGCGAGGCTTTCCCGCCCGACTGGCTGAGCGTACACATTTACCACCACAAGTCCACCATGAAAACACTACAGTACTTATCCAGCATCCTGCTCGAGTCGTACTTGCCCCATCCCGACGATGCCGAGAATTTCAACACCGAACTCTGGAAGATGTTCTTCACGACCATGCTCAAGCTTGTTGGTAGCCCGTCCCTGGCTCTGGAGACCTTCCCGGAACAGAAGCGTAGAGCTGTGTGGAAAATTGCCGGCGACGTCAGAGAGCACGGCGCCGAGCTCCTCAGACGGACCTGGGAGGCCATTGGCTGGGAGACGAGCGCCGACGAGCGGGACCGTTACAAGCTGTCCAAGATGGGCGGATACCAGGTTCAATACGTCCCTACCCTGGTTGGCCCCATTGTCGAGCTTTGCCTCAGTGTGCACCAAGGCCTGCGAAGGATGGCCGTGGAGGTGCTGCAGACCATGATCGTCAGCGAATGGACTCTCAGCGAGGACCTGTCCGTCATCCAGACCGAGATAATTGACAGTCTCGACCAGTACTTCAAGTCGAAGCCCTTGACCGAGAGCATCTTGCAAAAACTCTTCATCGGCGAGGTCTTGGAGCGTTTCGCGCCCCTGGCGACTGGCCCTGACGAGGCACTGCACGCTGCGATTTGCGAGCTGATGGGCACCGTCAACGAGTTCCTCGACCTTCTCGTGGCCGTTCACAGCAGCGACAACACGAGCGAGGCGTCGCATCTGATTAACCGACTGCGGCTGATGGAGTTCCTCCGGGATATGCAGAAGGAAGAGATATTTATCAGATACGTCCACCAGCTGGCCGCCCTCCAAGCCGAAGCAAGGAACCATTGCGAAGCTGGCCTGGCCCTGCGGCTGCACGCTGACCTCTACGACTGGGATCCCACGAAGCAGGTTCCCGCTTTGAGCGAACCCGAATTCCCGGTGCAGACTTCCTTCGAGCGCAAGGAGCGCATCTATTTCGACATGATCAAGCATTTCGAGGATGGCGAGGCCTGGAGCAGCGCCTTGGCGGCCTACCGAGAGTTGCGTACCCAGTACGAGAGCAACGTCTTTGACTTCGCCAAGCTTGCCCGGACCGAACGGGCCATTGCCACCGTTTACGAGACCATCTCCAGGAGCGACAGGTTAATACCCAAGTACTTCAAGGTAGTCTACAAGGGGCTCGGGTTCCCCTCTAGTCTTCGCGATAAAGAATTCGTTTACGAAGGATCCCCGACAGAACGCGCCTCGGCCTTCACGGACCGCATGCAGGAGCTATACCCGTCTGCTCAGATCGTGACGGGCGGCGATGTTGACGATGTGGAGGGGCAATTCCTCGTTGTTTCCGCCATCACCCCCCATCGCGATCTAACGCACCAAGTCTTCCAGCGCGCCCGCGTCCCGCAGGTCATCCGCGACTACCTGCTCTCCGCTAACCCCCAGAGCTTCTCCGTATCGTCCAAGCGCGACACGTCCGGGCCCGTAAAGGAGCACCACGCGGAGAAGATAGTATTCACCACAGCCGACCCATTCCCAACGATCCTTCGACGCAGCGAGATCGTCTACACGGAGGATATCAAGCTCGGTGCTCGCGAGACAGGCCTGGAACGCATCGTCAGGAAGACGCAGGAGATGACGGTCATCGAGAAGCGAGTTGCCGAGGGCGACGAAGAGAACGCGCAGCTGCTGGTGGATGCTGTGAGCGTTTCGGTCAACCCCGGTTCTGACAATAGCGTTGCGTGCTACCGCCAGCTCCTGCCAGCCGCTTCGAGCGATGACGACAACGGCGACGACGACGACGAGGAACAAGAGACCCGCCTCGACCCACAAGACAATGCCATCAAAATGGCGCTTGTCGACCACGCAATCATGATCAAGCGATGCCTGGCAACGTTTGCAAAAAGTTCGAACGAGGTCCTCAACCGAAGGCATGAGGAACTACGACAATGTTAGTGTCTCCCCCTCCCCCCTCCCCCCTCCCCCTGTCCGCCGATTCTGCAAAGTAGTCCTTTCTGACCAATGCCAGACTTTGAAAGCACCTTTGCACCCGAAATTGCTCTCTTTGCGCCCCAACAGCCCACTCGCGACTTTACCAACATACAGCCCTGGCGACGATCATCGCCGTCGACAGAACAGGGATCCCCCCAACCGCAGAGCACCACCGGTGCCACGGACAACGTTGTGGTCGCCGAAGAAGTGTCGACCGTTCAGCCCATCGCCATCCGTCAGGGCCGCGGTACACGTCTGAGCTTCCTGGGAGGTCGTAAGAGGCAATCCCCGGTGCAGCAACAAACCAACAGTAACTCCTCGGCCAGTGGCGACGCGGATGATACTTTGAGCCAGCACAGCCGAAGCCGCAGCAGGGCCCAAGACACATCTAGCCGGCTAAGTTTCTTCCGGGCCCCGTCTACAGACGGGGGGCGTATGAATGGCAGCAACGATGCTGCTAGCGAGTGGGTGACGGATTCAGGCGGCCGGCAAAGCTCAGACACTGGCTTCAATCTGACGGAAAAGGAACGCGAGTATAGGGACGAAAGTCTAGCCGACGACCCCATCGTCATCAAACGAAGCAGTGTGAGGAAGAGACTGAGCATGCTGAAACTGGGCAAGAAGTCACATAAGCACGGTGGTGTCATGGGAAGCGTGCACGAGGAATAGGATTTCGCGGCAGCGGCAGAGAAGCTTGGCTACATGAACAAGGTGACGGGCGAGTGGCAATATCCAGTGACGTGATGACGACTGGTAAAGGGTCGACTCGAGAAGCGAGTATTGGCTTACATACTTTGTGTCCATGTCGGCGGCCGCCCACGGAATCGGGCTGAGAAGAGCCCAGGATATTTCTCTGCCTCTTCTTTTACTACTTGTTTTTTTTTTCTTTTTCGCTTTTTTTTTCTTTTTGTGATTTGCACAAGCGATGGTAGGCTGGGAGGCGACGGTGTTCTGGATATGTATTTGTAGGATCCCCCCTCATCTGCACGACTCCTCGACGCAGCAGATGCAGCTCATTTTGACTTCAGGTTCTCTTCGTGAATAATACTTTTGTCTCCCACCATGCGTGTGTGGAAGCCTGAAAGATGGTGTGTCAGTCGGATTGGTTATGTTTTGCGACAGTGCTGTCTGATGTGTGCTCTGCGTCATCGTCAACCTTCAACACCCCGTCACTTTATGTGGTTGAGTAACAAGAGACTAGGGCTATAATAGGGGTTCGATGCAATTGGAAGTTTACCCCGAGGAGTATACCACCGCGACAGGTGCTACGGAAAGGGAGAAGGAGAAGGGGAAGGGGAAGGACTTGCGATTGGGCCGGCTGGCACGGTTCTCGCGGGATCCGGTGTACGGCAACGAGGGAACCCGGTGTTTGAGCAGGCTTGAGCTGGGATGTAGTTGGTGGATATGGTTATATAGGCCGCGGTCACGGTCCGTTACGGCCGGTGGCAGAGAGCTTTTGACGAACCTGAAAAGAAAGAGAGCGTCACGTCGTCGATTGGGCGCATGAAAGGGGGGTTATAGACGGATGTCGACGAGATAGATAGTGGGTGGTATTGATGTTCCCTAGCTACAAGTGAAACCACTGATGACGCCGAAGAAAATGCATGGATTTCCGCTCGATCCAAAGGAAGAAAATGCCGAGAAAGCCTCTCCGGAGGACAAGAAGAAAGAAAAAAAAGAAAAAAGAAAAAGTAAAACCAGACCAACTCCTCCCCCCTTCCCACGCCCTCGCCGTGATAAAGACCGTTCTGTGGTGGACCAAAAAGACCCCCACGTCACCTACGCGTAAACAGAACCGTGATCGTCGTGAACTTTATATATCAAGTGCCAATGTGCCAAAGCATCGCACACCTCCTCCCTCTCTTTCCTTGAAACCCATCAAATCGAATCGCCCGTCGAAGAAGAGAAGGGGAAAAAAAAAAAAAAAGAAAGAAGCTCCGTTTTCCTCATTTCCGGATGGCGGACCAGACCCCGACGAGGCCCGCAAAGGGCCACGCCACGGCGACCTTATCCCTGAGGGACTTCCTCTCCCGTTCCCTGGCCACGTCGACCGTGACCTTGTCGTAGACGGTCGGCAGGCTGGTGGCGCCGTAGCGCTCGCGCAGCCTCGTGTACCAGTCCTTGCCGTAGATGTCCCAGAACTCCTTCTCGGTGTAGTAGGCGTGGGAGTAGAGGACCTTGCGGCCGCCGAGCTCGGCCAGGCGGGCCTCGAGGTCGCGGTTCTGGCGGACGAAGCGGTCGATCTTGCTGGACGGCGCGGGGCCCCAGACGCCGACGTTGAGCATGGGCTGGGGCGAACCCCCGCCGCCGCCGCCGGGCTCCGTCGTGCAGGGGTGGAAGGTCGGGGCGGCGGTGGCTCGCAGCGGGCACAGCCAGAGCGGCCAGATGTCGAGCTCGTCGGCGACGTAGTCGATAAAGTCCCCGACCGTCGTGTAGGGCAGGGCGAGGTCGTGAACGAGGTACCGGAAGGTCATGCGGCCGCCGCAGCCGAGGCCGGCCTTATAGAGGGTGCGGGTGTCCATGAGCCCGTTGACGGCGCGGCGGGTGAGGCGGTTGAAGGGGACGAGGCCGAAGTACTTGAAGGCCAGCTCGCCCATCCAGAAGGCGCCGCGGTCGTGGCGGAAGAGGTAGTCGCGCAGCGGCACGTAGTCCGGGGTCGGGGTGCCGTTGCGGATGCGCTTGCGGGCGTGCAGGTAGAACCAGGGGTCCTTGGCCCGGCTGAAGGTCTGCGGCCGGCCCTTGTCGGGCAGGTCGTCCGTCAGGTGGCCGGTGACGACGGCGGCGCTGGTGCGGGAGAAGACGAAGGCCTCGACGTAGTCGTTGTGGGCGAGGCCCGTCTCGCGGCGGACGGCGGCGACGGCCTCGGGCACGGTCGAGTACGAGTGGTAGCTGACCTTGACGTAGCGCCTGGCCGGGACGAGGCGGACCTCGAGCCTCGTGACGACGCCAAGGGTGCCGAGGGCGCCGGCGGCGCCGCGGAAGAGGTCCGGGTTGACCTCCCCCCGAGGCCTCGACGACGTCGCCGTTGGCGAGGACGAGCTCGACGGCGCGGACCGTCTCGTCGAAGTAGCCGTGGCGGAAGGAGCTGCTCTCGCCGGCGGAACCGGCGAAGCCGCCGCCGACGGTGATGCCGGGGAACTCCATGACGACAGGGGGCACGAGGCCGCAGGCGGAGGCGGCATCGACGAGCTCGTCCATGGGCACGCCGGGCTCGACGACGGCGACGGCGGCGGCGGCGTCGACCCGGAGCACGCGGCGGAGGGCGCTGATGTCGACGACGCGCTGGCCGTGGGGCGGCCGGGTGCTGCTGGTGGAGCCGTGGAAGATGCGGAAGGGCTCCCCGCGTGAGTGCAGGTCCCTGACGGTCTCGGCGATGCGCCTGACCGCCTCGCTGTGCTCGGCGTCCATTCTGACGTGGCTCTCTCTCTCTCTCTCTCTCTCTCTCCGTCTCCGTCTCCCTCGCGCGCGCGCAGGTCTGGACAGGGCCGTTTTGATGGAGATGATCTCACTCTGGACAGAGGGTCTGGGATTGGACGGGAAGAGGAGGGGGGCGGCGGTAAGGGGGGTAGGGGTCCTGTAGCGCGAGATCTGGGGAAAGCCGATCGGGTTGATCGAGGCGGGCGCACGGAAAGTCAAAGTGGTTGATGGACGGACGGGTAAGGAAATCAGCGGGATGCAACGCTGGGCTGGAACATGTAACGGTGATTGTCTGAAGTTCTCTGGCCACGCTCCAGCCAGCGTCGGTCAAACCGGGCCTTTTCCCCCACCCTCATCCTCCGTTCGTATTGCCCATCATTGGAGGAGAGGAGGGGGTGACTCTGGGGACGCGGTTACGAGGACGATGACTAAGGCAAAGAAGGTTTCTTTGAAGGTTTTGTCTGGTTCTATTGACGCCGGCGGCCCGGGATTGCATTGATGTCAACCCTAACCCCGTATGCCGGCGTTCAGACAAGGGGGGGAATATTATCGACCTCTTATTGCGTTGGGGCTCTGTAGTAGGGCTGTGTCCGTTGCGTGTGATCGGACTGGTGTTGCAGGAGAAACTGTCTGAGCCCTGAAACTCAGTATCGTTAAGATTTGTAAGCCGTAGAACTCAGCGACGCTGACATTTCTTCACTAGAACAAGCCTGTTAGTAGAGGGAAATAGACGTCTTGGTCACTGAGGAAAAGAAGCCAAAAGGGTTTGGGCCTTGACGCTGGATGTTAGCAGTAAGTAGCATCTAGGCTAAGTTCAGAGGCAACCCTAACCCTACAAAACAGCGTGTAGACAAGAGGTGATATAATTAACATCTTATTACGTTAGGGCTATAGTAGGGCTATATCTATTATGATTAGACGAGTGTTATAGTAAAAACTGTTTAAGCTATAAAACTTAGGAACACCAAGATTTCTTTACTGGAATACACCTATTAGCAAAGGGAAATAGAGGTCTTGATCACCGAGGAGAAGAAGCTAGAGGGGTTTGGGCCGCGACGGTGTACATTGACGGTGAATAGCATCCGGACGAATTTGCTGGGTGGTGGTGCAGTACTACCCGAACTCCGTTCCATATTCAACTCTTAATTCTGAGTTGTCTATCTTACAATCGGTGCCACAGAGCGCAGGGCAGCTTTCACGTGTGACTAGCTATGCAGGGCGAAGTTATGGAAAACGATTGTCTTTATTCTATTAGAACCCCGCATGTTCCTGTGGCCAGTAAATGTCTGCAATAACTGACGAGCAAAATGCGGCAGGGCTCATTGGCTCTCAGCGTCCGCCTTCTCGGCGTCCTCTTCACTCTGTATCTTCTTCATTCCTACACCTACGACGCCAATGATGCTAGCAGCCGCCAGGGCAGCCGCGACAAGGTAGGTTCTCGTGATAGAGTGGTTGTAGATCTGCAAAAGGGCCCCGAACTGCTCGGGCGGCACCAAGTGCTTCAGCTGCGTGGCCCCCGAGTTTCCGATAACCCTGGCGTCCACCCCCGGCAGCCCGGAAGCGACGCCCGACGTCAGCTCGCTCGCAAAGACGGCCTGGGCGATGGTGATGGCGGTCGTCGGTCCCAGGCACTGGAAGAACAGGACGACTGCCACGCCGATGGCGACGTCGGCCTCCCCCAGACTGCTCTGCACCGCGACGGCGGCCTGCTGCGTCGACACACCGATCCCCAGGCCCGCCACGACCTGGAACGGGATCCACCGGTCCGCGCCCGAGGTGACCTGGAGGGTCGAGAGCAGGCCAGAGCCCACGGACAGGAGGACCGTTCCGGCCAGCATGAAGGGCTGGTAGTAACCGGTCTTGGTGACTCCCCAGCCGCTGAGGAAGATGGCGAAGATGAACGCAAGACACAGCGCCAGGTATCTAACACCGGACTGCTCGGGCGTTGCACCCTGGATGGCTTGGAACCAGAGAGGCACCTATGTAAGGGACGTGAGCACGAGGCGGAGGGGGGGCAGCGTGTATGAAAACCTACATAGTAGACCAGCGTGAAGAAGGCGCTGTCCAGGCAGAATCCGAAGAGAGCCCCGAACATCACCACACGCATCTTGGCCAGGCGCGGAGGCACCAGGGCATCCTCACCCATCCACCACTGCTCGACGACGAACCCCGCGACGAGGACCCCGGCGACGACGAAGCACGCGACTGTTCTCTTGTCGTTCCACGCAAACAGCGCGCCGCCGAATTGGAGCGCGAGCAGAAGAGATGTGATGCCCGGCAGCAGGAGAGCCATGCCGAGATAGTCCAGACCCCGGATCTTTCGCAGCCAGGGCCGCCGCTGCTCCTCCGTTGGCGGGGGCGACTGGATCAGGAACAAAGTCGCCACCGCTGGCGGTGCAGCTATCGGAAGGTTGATGTAAAAGCACCTATCGGCCCCCATGTCAGTGGGGGGGGGGGGGGCATGCGGGATGTCGAAACTCACCATCGCCACGTGAGGTAGCTGTTCGTGATGACGCCGCCGATGACAGGACCGAGAACGGCGGCCACGCCGTACACCATGCCGATGGCGCCCACGTAGGTCGGCAGCTTCTTGGCCGGCAGCGCCGCCGAGATGAGCACGAGACAGCCGCTCTGGAGCCCGGAGGCGCCGAGGCCCGAGACGGCGCGGCCCGCGATGAAGGCCGCCGAGCTCGGGCTCGTCGCGCAGACGAGGGATCCAATCTCGAACACGGCGAGGGAGACGAGGAAGACGATCTTGATGTCGAATTGGTTGTAGAGCCGGCCGAATACGAGCTGAAAGGCGCAGAGCGTCATTTGATAGGCGGAGCCGTACCACTTGGAAGAGTCTTTTGGTTAGCATCGCTTGCGATTGTGAGATGGCCCCCCTCCCACCCTCTTCTTCGTCACAACACTTACACCGACGTCTGCCAGAGAGCCAAAGTCATCTGTGATCCGCGGGATGGCGGTCGCGATGATGCCCTCGTCGAGAAAGGTGCAGAGCACGCCGAGGGCCACCGCCAGCCAGATGACGAAGACCTTCCACCCGGGAAGGTCGTCGGCCGTTGCGGTCGGCCGCGTCGTGCTTTGGGGGGCATCGTGCTGGTCGTCGTCGGTCTTCTCGCTTGCATGACTCTTGCCCCCGCTGCGAGTATCAAGTGAGCCCGATTCGTCTGTAGTCATGGTTGAGTTCTTGGTGGTTTGAGCTTGCTTGTCTCCCGCGATTCAGTATCTCGACCGTGAAAAACGAAAGAGCAGCACGACGCCCCCAATAACTATGCCACACTCTTTCTCTTTTCCCCTTCTTCGCCTCCTCCTGCTTCTTCTTCCAAACCCGCGTTCCTTGCCTCTGCTCTTACAGTTAGCCCCAGAGGGTGTGGCTACTATCACCGGAAAAAGGCCGATGGAGTACGCCCCGCGCCTTCGCCGGCTGACCGCCCTCAGGATTCGAGCCTAGCATGGATCCAACCACCCCGTCACAATGGTTCCCAAACCGCATCAGGAAGGCCGAAAAGACGCAACAGGCTCCCGCGAAGCTGCAGCCGGGCCCCGGGAAGCACCGGGGCGTACGATAATACCTAGCGAACGTGATGAGCCCCGTTGCTGACCACCCCCTCCGTGGGGCCGAAGGATCGGGCATGCAATACCTAGTTAGCGCGGTTTCAAGCTTTCTGTGCGTTCTTTTCAAGCTTTCTACCGAGGGGCTTGGCTACCGACGATCGCTGGTCCGAGGAGCCGGGAATGTCGATGAGTAGAGGGACCCGGCAGCCTACATGAACCCATGCAAGGCACAAGATGTGAACGCGTTCAACAGCGCCCGCGCTACAAAAGGACCGAGTTACAGGGTCATATGCAGCCGGTGGCGAGTAAACTCAGATAGCCAATGGCTGGGAATGTCTGCTGCTACCACCGATTCCAAAGGGAAAATCCACCTACTCGTATTTCGACATATGTGGATATATTTTACAGGACCACACTGATAAAACTGGGCGAATCGGAGCCCGTCAGAACGATGATTCCCTTCCATCACGGGTGCCTATTCGAACTTAGGCCTAGACATTCCCACTCTCGGGAGACGTCTGCAGTAACCTGATGCCGCAGCTTGCCGCACCCCAGTGAATTTGATTCCAGATATTGAAGCCGAGGCCGGTCCACAGAATCCTTCTAACACTACCCGGCTGTAGGATTGTGTCACAAACGGAGTCATCCCCTCTGAGGCCATCAAATCAAGGTCACAAGACGCACCGTGTAAGGACTGACGGCGAGGGGTACGCCGTCGAAGCTTGCCCTTCTAGGCAGGTAATACAGCTTTCCGGCAGTCTGAGCCGATTCATCATGCAAGAATGAGTGATTATTTTCTAAGAGGCACTTACGAATGGGGAGGCTGAGCGAGCTATACGGGCATGTGTAATGTGAATGGTGGCATGGGTGGATCGCGTCACATTTCGAGTCTGCCTCGTAAGAGTGAGGCAAGATAGTCATGTTGCTCCGATAGGTGTTGTTGAGGTTCAGACTTGGGTGTCATTCTGATGACAGCCTATGGATGAGTCCATGCGTGAACTTATACTATTAGTGTCGTCCTTGCACTCCCGCCTTGGCGCTGCGTCTTGAGGCTGGTAATTACCTTACCGAGAACCGACCTCGTATCTGATCACTGCAACGACTATACACAAGATGTCATCGACAGAAGGGAGATGGAAGCCCACCCCGAGGCTTCAATCTGTCAAGTTTGTGTTTGACACACCGACCCCGTCGGATGCGCAAACCCCAGACGAGATCGTCTTCGAGAATCCGTTCCCTGCCGATGTTGCGGGTGTTCCCAAGCGCTTCGTTGTCAAGTTCCCCGCCGCGCAAAGCCCTAAGCAAGAGGATGACGTTGTACAGACGCCTCAAAACTACGGCGAAGAATCTCCCGGCGGTGGGTCGCAGTCCAGCGAGCCGTTTGACATCAAGAGTGCGTCCGCAGATGCGAAGGCGACTACAAACCAGCGATCCCGTGTCCGAGGCCCGGTCTGCGAGCTGGAGGGAGATATCAAGCCCGCGGTATGCGCTGTTTGGGCTCTGATTCTATCGTCTCTGACGGGCAGCGAAGACGTTCGCTTCAAGATATGCGACACGGGTCGCTCATGTCCACTATCCCAGGCCAATCTTTCTGTCGACCGTAACCAGCAGGTTTCCACCTTTCTCAGATGCGTTGCAGACACGCCAGCTGTGTCTGGCGTTCCCAACACTGAGTCGAATATGATGACTCCCGCAACAGACGATGTTTTCCTCCAAACCATCGTGGCCTTCTCAACAACTGTGCTAGGAGTCCGAGAGTTATCGGATGCCACTGACTGGGCCATTCGACTCGAGTGTTCAATCGATAACCAAGAGTTGGAGCTCTCCGCCACTTTTGACCAACAGCGGTTCTCTCGCCTGGAGGTGAGGCTTCTGTTAAATGACCTGGAGCATGGTCTTTGGCAGTTGAACCACCTCAAGACACAGCAAATGACTTTGGGCGACATCCATACGCTAAGTCCTGCCAGCCAGCGTCATCTTGTACAGCTCAACAGGCCGTGAGTGCTCTTCATATTATCATGCTGAGTTTTTGAGGAACTAAACGAAACAGGCTTCCGAAACAAGAAGATATTCTGGTCCACGATGTGATAGCCCAGCAGGCCGAATCGCAGAAACAGGCTCATGCAGTCTGCGCTTGGGATGGCAACCTGTCGTACACTCAGCTACAGGACCACGCCGACAAACTTGCAAATCACCTTTCGAGCATTGGCGTCGGGCCCGAAGTCTTCGTCCCCGTCATCTTCGAAAAGTCAGTCTGGAGCGTTGTGGCCATACTGGGAGTGATAAGGGCAGGGGGCGCTGTCGTGGCCCTTGATCCATCACTCCCTACAACCCGGATCTGCATGATTGTCCAAGACGTAAACGCATCCATCGTATTATCATCAGTCAGTAGCCAAGACAAGATTCCTGAGCATATACTTCAGGAAAACAGGGTCATTGTCAACGAACGACTCTTTCCAACACTCTCTACGAGAGCCGCATCCTGGCCAGCTCGGCTGGTTACGTCCAACAATGCACTTTACGTAGTTTACACAAGCGGCTCGACGGGGAAGCCAAAGGGTGTGGTGGTCACTCATACTTCCTTTTTCTCCAGCTCAAGGGGATTCTCCAAGGCCATTCACCTTGACTCGCCAAAGGCTCGCGTATTGCAATACTCCTCTTTCTCGTTCGACATTTCTATGCTCGAGATCCTCTCCACCCTGATGGCCGGCGCGTGTATTTGCATTCCGTCTGAGGAAGAGAGAATGAACAATCTGGCCGGATGCATCACAGGGATGGATGTCAACTGGGCCATGTTGACGCCGTCAGTGGCGAGCTTGATGAGCCCAGAGGAAGTCCCCAGCCTAGAAGTGCTCTGCTCTGTTGGTGAAACACTCCCGCAGGATGTTGCAGAAACATGGGCCGGCCACGTTAAAACCATCAATGCATATGGTCCTGCGGAATGCTCAGCCGTCACTGTCGTCAGCAAACCCAGAACCAAGGGCGTCAAGAGCATTTCCATCGGGAGATCCGCGAACTGCGCTGTATGGATCGTCACCGAGAACGGGAAAGTTGCCCCCTTCAACAGTATTGGCGAGATTGTTGTCGAGGGCCCCCCTCTGGCCCGCGGCTACCTTGGAGACGAAGGGCAGACTAACGCTGTCTTTCTTGGCGATCCGAGCTTTCTCCGTGGTATCGTGGCGGATCCAATGCGATGCTACCGGACGGGCGATCTCGGGCGGATGAACGTTGATGGTTCGATTGACTTTTTGGGAAGAAGAGACAGTCAAGTGAAGATCAATGGCCAACGCGTCGAGCTTGGCGAGATTGAGCACCAGTTGAAACAATCTCTCCAGGTAGCCCACCCATTCCAGTCTTCCGAGTTTACTTGGGATGTTGTAGTTGAGCTCCTCCGGCCGATTGGGGCAAGGAACGGCGTCCTCACAGCTTTCCTGGCTCCCAGGAAGATGACCGGAAGTCTCGCGCACTACAGGGAGCAGGCTGTTGCCAGAAAAACAGACCCGGTCTGGAGAGATACTCATGACAGATTCAAAGAAGCCTCCAGGGAGGTTTCTAGGGTTCTTCCAGCCTACATGATCCCTAGCGCAGTCATCCCATGCTATGCATTGCCCCTTTCGGCCTCCGGGAAAGTTGACAGGAAAGCACTCCGTCGCCTTGGAAATGAGACGACAATGAAGCAGTTATTGCGGATACCCGAACAACACAAAGACGACTTCTCCAGTGCTAGCACAGACAGATCTGGATTACAGTCAACCGACCTTACAGACTCCGAAGGAGAATCATCAGTCGGCCAGCACACAGTGTCGTCCGACGCACAGCCCTCGGACCTCAGCTGCACACCCGTGGAACTTACATTGCGCAAGGCTTGGGCCAAGATCCTCGGAGCTTCTGAAGACACCATCACGGTCGACGACGACTTCTTCAGACTTGGCGGGGACTCCATTGGGGCCATCAAAGTCGTTGCAGCATGCCGCCAACTGGGACTTCAGATTAACGTCGCCAACATCTTCAAGAACTCTGTGTTGAAGAAGATGGCTTTGGTCTGCAAAAGTACTGAAGACCGCTACGTCAAGCCAATAGTTCGGTTCTCTCCATTCCAACTCCTACGCCAGGACGCAGTACCCGAGCTTCGCGAAGAAGCGTCATTCCAATGTGGTGTCAAGTCGGAGGATATCGAAGACTTGTTCCCCTGCACTCATATGCAAGAGGGCCTGATGGCAGTCAATCTTACACGACCAGGCAGCTACACCGGCCGGTGGATCCATCCGCTGCCTCAAGGAATAGACCTGGCCCGGTTCCAAAGTGCTTGGGAGGACACCCACGCGACAACGCCAATCCTGAGGACTCGGTTTGCTACGACTTCAGCCGCAGGTTCCCTTCAAGCGGTAATCAAAGAGAAGATTCAATGGCTCTTCCATGATGATCTTGATGCCTACCTGGACAAGGACGACTCCGACCCTATGTTTCCCGGAGACTCGCTTACCCGGTTTGCGCTCATATCGTCGACAGATGGCGCTTGGACGTTCGTGTGGACCATCCACCACATGCTGTACGATGGCTGGTCACTCGCAATGCTTTGCAGAATGGTTAACGACTTATATCATGGCCGCAACGTCAAGCCGGTAACCGACTACCGACACTTTGTGCTGTACACAAATCGACTCTCATCCAGCACGTATTCAGATTATTGGAAGGGAGAGCTCCTTGAATCTCCTGCATCTTGCTTCCCCGTCGTACCAAAGCAGGGTCATCGGTCCTTTGCTAGAGCCGTTGTTAGGGACGAACTTGCTCTCAATCTCGATCCCTCTGCTGGTATCACCATGTCGACTCTTGTGCGCGCAGCATGGGCTGTTATGGTTAGTCATTTCTCCGCATCGGACGACATTATCTTCGGAGCAACTGTTTCCGGAAGGCAAGCGCCTCTCGATGATATTGAGAGCATTGGGGGACCAACAATTGCGAGCGTTCCTATTAGGGTTCGGCTCGATAAGGAGATGGCTATTCTCAGTTTCCTCCACCAGATCCAAGACCAGGCGACATCAATGATACCCTTCGAACAGGCTGGAATCCAACGCATAAAAACTCTGAATGAGGATACAAAGCGAGGCTGCGAGTTCCACAATCTTCTTGTGGTGCAGGCTGGCGGAGGCTGGGACGAGACAGGGTTGGGTCCTCTCGGGAAGCCGGTATACCGTGAAGAGTACACGACTTTCCCAGTCACATGCGAGGTCTGGCTCCATCCCGGGCGAGTCGAGTTTGCAACTCACGTCGACGAGGAGGTGACAAGCCGGATATTTGTAGCACAGGCGATTGAGACTGTCAAGGTCATCATGACCCAGCTCGCTTGGGCTGCATCGAGGCCGAATTCTGGCCTCAAAGTAGCCGACCTGGTTTTTGATCAGTTTACGGGCCCTGAGAAAGCATCTTCCCATGACAAAGCAGTTGAAAAAGTTGCTTCTACACTGCACGGAACTATCACAGAGAAGTGCCAACTACAGCCCGAACGAGACGCCATCGTTTCAACAAACGATTGCATCTCTTACGCAGCTCTGGAAAGCATGTCCTCCGCCCTTGCCACACATCTAACAAAAAGCGGCGTATCTCCAGGAGAAATGGTCCCATTATGCTTCGAAAAGTCAGTATGGACAGTCATTGCGATGCTTGGAGTTCTGAAAGCAGGAGCTGCCTTCGTTCCGTTAGACCCGAGCCAGCCCATCTCCCGCTTAAGAGGGGTTGCTGCGCAAGTCAAAGCGAAGATTGTCCTCATGTCGAAATTCCAGTCAAAAGCGACAGATCTTGGTATTGATACACGCATTATTGTGGATCGAGACTCACTTGAGGCATTCACCAGCTGGTCGAGCTTCGAGACCCTCGCCCCTCATTCCGAACCTGACCGTCCGGCATACGTTATTTTGACATCCGGGTCTACTGGAACCCCGAAAGGCGTTGTAGTCTCACACTCCGCTTTTGCTTCTAGCGCAGCTTCACACGGTTCGGCCTTCGGAATGTCTTGCACCAACCGCGTACTGCAGTTTTCCGCATACAGTTTTGACGCTAGCTTGTTCGAGATCCTCACTACACTTATCCACGGCGGAACAATATTTGTTCCTACAGAAAAGGAGCGCCTGGAAGCCATCGGAGAGTTCATTGAGGGACACCGCGTTAACTTTGCTCTCTTGACGCCGTCAGTCGCCCGGATCATCGAACCTACAGAAGTTCCCTCGATAAAGACCCTAATTCTGGGGGGAGAGGAGCCAGATCGACTGGTAGTCAAGAAATGGCTGGATGCTGGAACCAGGCTCTTCAACGCGTACGGACCGAGCGAGTGTTCCGTTATTGCTGCCTGCTACTCCTGTTCCCACGAAACGGATCCCCGAACAATTGGTATCTCTGTCGGATGTTCATCATTGATAGTGGATCCAGACAACGAGTTAAGCCTAGCTCCTGAAGGGGAAGTTGGCGAGCTACTCATTGGAGGCCCAATTCTGGCCGATGGATACCTGAACGATCCGGAACGAACACACTCAGCATTCACCAACACTCCCTTGTGTTCAGTAGGCACTCGGGCGGGAGTTGACAGACGCTTCTACAAGACAGGAGACCTTGTCAAGAAAACCGAAGACGGCAATATGGTCTATGTTGGTCGAAAAGATATGCAAGTTAAGATTAACGGCCAAAGAATTGAGCTGGGTGACATTGAGTCTAACTTGGCTGGTTGCCTCGATGTCAACCTTGCTGTTGTTCTTTTCCCATCGCAAGGGCCATTTTCGAAACAACTTGTCGCCGTTTTGGAGCTTCAGATGGGCCATAACGCAGCAGCCTCTGGACCCCGGTACATGAACGCCTATTTCAACAAGAAGGTGGACAGCATTCGTCGAGAGCTAGCTGCGAAAGTACCTAGTATCATGATGCCAACTCATTGGGCTGACGCCATCACACTCTGGGACGATGGATTTCCGCTGTTAGCATCGGGAAAGCTGGACAGAAAACAGGTTATGACCTGTTTAGAAGCACAGCCTAAAGGGAGACACGCAAAAGCTGACATCCCAGCCAGAGCGGTTGGAGGGTCTACAGCCATACTTCGAGGAGAGATCCCCGCTTACGATTTGGCGGAGAAGATTGCGAGTCTGGCACCTTCCAAATCATCTTCTAGGCCAAGTCTGTCCATGGGAGTTGATGATGCCTTCCTTCATACGGCTGGTCTTGACTCATTGAACATGATGTCGCTCATGCACTTCATTCGCATGAAATATCGAACAAAAGTCAGCATGCAACTACTGATGGATGAGACAACGAGCATCCGAACACTGGCAGCATTGATCACCGGCTCTAGCACAAGTCGAGGCAACATGGCAAAAGGTCCCTCACCAGAAGTCGGTGGAAGAGTGGATATTCTAGCCCAAGTCAACCGGTATGAAGAGAAATTGCTTCAGTTGTCGCCAAAATTTTCTGGGCCTGCTTCCCAGAGCCTCGTCAAGACATGGAAGGACAACAGTATCAAAGTCTTCCTCACTGGGGCCAGCGGGTACTTGGGCACGCAAATATTGCGCCAGCTTCTCGAGAGTCGGAATGTCAGTCGTGTGACAACTCTCGTGCGCAGTGCGAATCTCGATGAAGCAAAGAGTCGGGTGATTGAGGCAGCTCGGAAGGCCCAGTGGTGGACCGAGTTCCACGAAGACAAGCTTGAAGCTTGGGTGGGCGACTTATCACAGCCACAGCTCGGCCTAGAGCAAGATCATTGGAGTCTCCTTAGCGATGGTCAGTCCTTTGACGTCATCATCCATAACGGCGCAGTTGTTCATTGGAACAAGAGCTATTCAGCCCTAGAGGCTGTCAACGTTGGCTCGACTGCGCAACTACTTAGCCTCGCAGTCCAACGCCCATCATTGAGGTTCGCCTACGTCTCGGGAGGTCGACAGTGGAAGCGGAGCCCAGAACCGGACGAGGATATTGCTCGCGAGCTTGCAGATTCGATTGGCTATAGCCAGACAAAGTTCGTTGCGGAGGTGCTGACCAGGAGGGCTGCCGAGAGATGTCCCTCCACTGGAAGGAATATCGCAGTGTTTAGGCCTGGGCTCATCATTGGAACACCCACAGAGGGTGTAGCCAACTTGGACGACTACATTTGGCGACTCACATCGGCTAACATCAACATTGGTGCTTATAACGACAGCGATGAGGATGCATGGTTGCACGTATCAGATGCAGCAACTACCGCCGCGGCTACCATTCAAACTGCCCTGAACCCCCATTCACAGGCACACGCAGTCAAGAGCCAAGAAGACGGAATGACTTGGGGTGCGTTTTGGAGGCTGATACTATCTGCGGGGTATGGTATTCGTCCAAGTCCTGCGTCAGAATGGCTTTCGGCGGTCAGGAGGGATCTTTTTGCGCGTCAGGAGGCGCATCCTTTATGGCCACTGGCGCACATGCTCGAAGATGGCTCATTGGAATGGGCGTTCCGCGTCAATCATCCGGAAGACTGCCCTGTGCGACTCAAAGTTGCTATCAGAAGGAATATCGACTTTCTTGTTCAGGCTGGGTTTCTTCCTAGGATTTGATGTGTGAAACGGCCATTAGACAAGTTATGGAGTTATGGCAGTATGATATATGGAGTTCCAATCAAAAGCTCCCTCAAGGCTCACCTGGAAACGCGGCTCCAACGGTACAATCTAGGGGAAGATTGAAAGCAGAGAGAGCGAAGCTGTGATCATCGGGTGTGCACCATCTAAAAACCTCGCTTACGACTGTCAGGAAGCACAGTTGTCTCTTAGCCTCTAGTTACTTATTATTTTCATACATTTCTTGCTAACATCTAACCCTTGGCGATTGGTCAACCATGACCACCGCAATCATGTCTTTCCTGCGAAGGTTACCATATTGCTTTGCAACCCCCAGAGGAAAATCCACATAAATGATTCAGTCGTGGGCTGAATCGTACGCGCAAGATATTTCTGACGCTCAAGATGGCGTGATGACCACGTCGTCCCCAATATCCCGCTTGGGAGCTGAATCATCCCTACGACGTCCCTCCTCTCGAAAGGGGCGGTGGAGGAAACTGGGCCGCTATTGATATCTCGCCCATGTCGTTCAGCTGGACTAGGCGCGTGCTGTTGTAGGCGTACTCCATGGGGGCCACCGCAGACACTACGTGCTGGCTGCCTATGCTGTTTTGGTTGAGCGGAGTATTATGACAGCTACGATTTCTTGATAAAGAAAACCGCCATAACATTTGTTACGTCAAGTGTGATTGGCCGACTTGTCCTTCAATGGCGACATCAGGTCTTGGAGGTGCATCTCCTACTCCTGGGTCCGTAATATAAAAGTTCTGATTGCCAGCCATCTCTCTGACTTCGAAAGGCTTAAATATTATTATAGAGGCTAATCGACATCTAATGAGGATGGCAAACCCATAGAGCATCATCGACGACATTGACAGCCTTGCTGTCCACCTGTTTCCCGTTGGCGTCGAAGGGGCAGATACGGCGCAGACCACATTTAATGTCGCAGGAACCCTCATCGTCTCCCTTGCATAGCGCAACCTCATAGCGACTGGCGTGACGGTCGAATCTCTTTTTGCAGCGGTCGACAGTAATTTGATACGGAGCCATGGGACCCCAGCCGTTCAAGGGAGTGAACCCCCAGTTGTCTGTATCCTGGTTGTTCGTGTTGGAGCGACAGTTTTGATGAGCGGCGACGTGGGTGTATCCATTATCGCGCATGTACCGCTCCGTGTACTTGTCGAGCATGAAGGTGTAAGACGATTTGTTCTCATCCGCACTAATAGAAACGGGACGACACTCGGGAACTGAGCGAGTGTAATACTCTTCACAACCGTAGGCGTTGTTAACAGCCAGGAAATCGTTGTCCGTCGGCGAATCCCATGGATCTATTTCCTTGTCTGTGATCGTTACCATGGCATACGCGTAGCCTCTTTTGGTGTTAGCTCTCATGCGGTAAAGCATGATTGAGTTATAGTCGAACGGCACCGACGTATCAGCGGAAGCGTGGATGGTATATTGATCTTGCCATCCGTCCATGATAGCATCCGGAAATACATGGATAAACTGATCACGGTCGGGCCGCTGTTGCTCATGGATGAGCCCAATTACGTGGCCCAGCTGTTTTGTTGAGTCAGTCTCATGAACCAACCAGTTCAAGACGTGCAGCTCTTACCTCGTGGGTGGGTACGCCATCTTCCATGCAGCCTTTGTTCGTGCCGAAACTCTGAATGGTTTCCCCTAGGTTGGGATAATCGAGGTTAACTATGACTTCTCCTAAGCCAGGAGAGCCTAGGTTGTTCGAATAGCAGCCATCATCATGCTGTGATAAATCGGTTAGCAATGCACCATGTATATCAATCAGAATGGTCTTCATCGTACTCTGTTGAAATACACCCAGGCGAGTTGATTTTGTTTTGGAACGAAGCGGATGCAGGTGCGCTGTTCCCACACTCTCATACTATCGCGAATAGAATTCGACAAGTCATGAGGAAGCCCTTCCAAGATGTAGGGGATTTCTCCCTTATCCCATAGTATCACAGCGTCCATGGAACCGCGTTTCTCCAAAGGAATGGCTTCAATCTCGGAACGGTTGAAGATGTTAGTGGGAAACACAGCGGCGACGACCGGCTGTGATAGTGCGACGGCCATGGCCGCAGCAGCCTTGAGAGTGATTGAAGGCATGTCGATGGTTTGTGACTTATTATGAAATAAAGAGCGGATGCTTGGTTCTGGCTTAAAGAATGCTGCAGAACACAGGCGGGCAGTAAACAAAAAGCGAATGTGGTGCCAAATGGGCAAACTAATTAATTGCTGCAGCTGCAAGCTTGAGTATGTGAGAGTTGAAAAACTTGAGATCTCCCCCTTGGCTTAAGTATAGGTTTATTCCTTGGGCTGTTTTGCAGGTTCAAAGTTCCTCGCTGTCGCCGGCATGTTGCATGTCGATGTGGATCCTGCAGATTACCGATGTCTATTCTTTGCTGCGAAGGGGCCGGGTTTCGTGCAATCCATGTAGATCCCCATTGCCTGTAGGCCGCTGGGCTGTTCTTTAATCTCTTGGAAAAAGTTAATAATATGCGCCAATTACTATTTTTGCGACGGATAGAGTGAATTGACCACCGCTGGAAGCTTTCTATAGTTATTCTCCGCAAGCCAGCAGATCAAAGTACGGTCTGTTATTTTGGACATTGCCGGTGGTATTGAAGGCCGCCTTGCAGAACAAGCTTCTGACATGACATGATGGTAGCATGCTGCTCATTGCCTTCCACAGAGATCAGATGAACTGGGTGCGTGCCGAAAGAGTTTGCAAAGTGTAAACGACACTGGAGAGGTTTTCCGCCTCTTCACTATCCTCGTCTTTTCCGCCCTCCCTCCATCCCTAAGCAGGAGATAAAACACTTTAAACGATAATGCACAAGTGAAACCAGCCCTGCACATAATCATGGGAAGAACTTTGAACCGAATCAGCATCATGTATGCTTACTTACGGCTTGGTATAGCTGACTCGGGAATCTCATTACGCTGTCTTGGAGTATAAGCGACTAGTGACTCGAGGGCTGCTTAGCCACAAGAGCTGTAAACCCAGTTTGACATGGTGCCAGGTGCCTCCTCAATCTCCCTGAGACTTATGCCTATACTACGAGGTAATTAAAGCTTTTCTTTGGCCCCCGATATTCAACAACTCTTAATACACTATCGCTGGGTGCTTGACAACGCAGTGACTACTATGGTATGATGGGTAAGTTTAAACTCCATAACAGGTAGTGTGGAGTTGTGACCCACGTATGAGACTCTCACTGGCCAGAATTATGATAGATGTGCACAAGAACCTCAAAGTACCGTCGCTGAAATAATCAAAAAAAAGCACGGCCACATTTACCTGACAAGGGGGTTAAACTTTGGCCCGATACCATAGTATACGGAGCAAGATGACAGATTTAATCACCATTAAAGCGCATTGTCTGTGCAAAGCATACACTTTTTCGGCTTTTGTGACCAAGTCTACTCTTCCGCTCATGGCTGTGTGCTGTCACTGCACATCTTGCCGTCGCCTTACTAGGTCGGTCACTCATTCTAGATGCGCAAAATGGCCTAATCCCTCTGAAGACCTTTCTGGCCTCAAGAAATACTCGTACAGCAAGCACACCGACGTCTTCTTCTGTGGAACTTGTTCATCCAAGCTTTCTGCCGCATGTCCACTCTAGGATCGAGTGCCGGCGGAGCTTCAGTTTGGCTCCCAAGGTTCGAGAACGGCGAGCCCGTCATGCGATGGAAGCAAGCGAGCGGTAGCCAATAGCTCCCACGGGACTGGCCGACGTCGACGTCCAGGGCTATGCCAGTTTCGCGTTACACTCTGAAAGCTTCCCCAGCTATGACGCCCTTCGCTGTCATTGCAAGGGTATGGGGCTGATGCTCCGCAGCTCTGTGGACCTGGAAGCGGATCCGGCAGTCGATTCTATACTCCTACCGGATCTCCGTACTAGGTATACCCAGTAACAGGTTGCCGGTAAAATGCCAGTGCACTTTTGGTCGGCGGCCAGTGTCTACCCCGATCTAGAAGGATTACCACATATGAGCTAGACATACCATATTCTATCACCCTAACTCTAGGTGACCCAGACCCTAACCAAGACCCTAACCACGAACCCTACATATATTTAAAAGCGTACGTAGCTATAGGAGATACATAGGGTGAGTGGTTAGGGTCTGGGTTAGGGTTACCTCGAGTTAGGGTGATGGAATATGATTATTTTATCTGTGGCAGTGGTGGCAGTACCTTCCAAAATAGGCTTAAATTACTGGCAGACTACCAAAAGCACACTGGCATTTTACCGGCAACCCAGTGACGTTTGAAGTTCAAGGCTAGACTCTAGTCTTGACTCGTGCGACTCGTGCCGCCTGACATACGGTTCGGATGTGTCGGCCTGGACTTATCCAGCATGCCCCCTAGCCCACATTGGGTTTGCCTATGGTGACGAGTCGGCTTCCGGACTGTCCGACTTCCCAAAAACAGTCGCAGCCCTCGAACAAGCAGTTTCTCCCGCTGAAAAGAAAGACCCCTGCCTTGCGACACTAGCGGTGTACAACAGCTCCACAGACTTAGAGCAGTACCTAAATGTATTCTACGCTGTTCATGACCGCGAAGACATGAACGACATTGCGATCGGCCTGTTGGACCATCCCGACGGTGCTCGCGCCAAAGGACCACTAGCTTGGTCTTACGGCAAGGTCGGGTGGGAAGCTGATGTGGCTGGAGGATGGCGAGAGGAGCTTGTTGGTTTAGTGAAGACCCTTTCGAAAGAGTGGGCTGTCTTGATCAATGAAAGTAGCACCCGACATCGCTGACGATTGAAACGTCCACCAAGAGGCATTCATGTACTGGAAGTGCCATCTTAGGCCACTTGGCGGATACTATTGCTAAGGCTCTTGCTCTCACCCCTCTTCTGAATATTACGACTTCCGACACTGCCACTCGTCTACTCTGCACCGTCAATAGTACTGGAGTTCAGTCCCCCCCCCTCCCCCCGGGTCTGGCGAGACGGTTGTTTCTGGCTATCAAAGACAAATTGAACAAATAATGAAGATGGGTTATGGTGCTTCTACGGCTAGCATAGAGCTTCTTTACGCTGACGGCGGTCGCTCGGTGGTGAACATCTTAACACATCCGTTGGGCAGACGGACAGTCACTATCAACTCTTCTAACTCATTTCCAATTACCTCCTATGATCGACCCGTGGTACTTCTTCCACCCTTACGACGGTCAAGTTCTACTCAAACCATTACGATTCAACAGGAGACTTTTGGCCACAATGCCCATACAAGCTCTTGGTGTCACAAAGACCCTTCCTGGTGCCGCAACATGGAGAGACGAGGAAATGTTAACATTCGTCAAAGGTGTAACGTCGACAGGATATCACTATTCTGGTACTTGCGCCATGCTAGTAAAGGCACTTGAGGGCGTTGTTGACTCGGAACTCAAGGTCCATGGAGTCGATATTTTGAGGATCGTGGTCAATGCTAGCATCATGCCTCTTTCGCAACCGACACGTATGCAGGCTACAGTCTATGCCATTGCTGAGAGAGTGAATCTCTACATAGGTCCCCCTCAATCGAAACGACACATATCTGTTTGCTGACTTCTGATCCGACAGTTGCCAGCGGATATTATACTGGGGAAACAGTGGTAGGACTGAGACTACTAGTGTTACTCACTGGGTTCTGGAAAACATTATCGAAGGCTATATACAGTATCAGTATGCAAGTAACGACCTAGAGCCACATCGGGCCATCATACAACGCCAACGCCAGCGCCCGGCCGTCCAGTGAGAAGGCCGCTACAGCTAACCCTGTACATAGCCTTCCTCGAATCGCTATCCAACCGCGTCCAGCAATGATGCCAGCACGGCGGCGCGTAGGCATGCAGACCGGGCCGCGGGCATGGTCTGTGGACTGCTTAAAGTTGGCGGGAATTCGAAGTGGATGTAAAGTTTTCCTACCCAATACCTATGCAAAGGCAATAGACAGCCTTGCTGCAAAGGGACGCTTTGGAGCAGTGTCTATCCGAAGCCTATGTATGTCACGAATCTGCAAATATTACAGTGCAGCTTTACGCCTACGATTCGTTCTGTAGACCACCTCATGGATTTTGGGGTTCGAGTATCAGTTAAGGCTGGAGCGAGACAGCCGGCTCTACATGCTCCATGTCTGCATGGCGCTAAATGTCAGCATGGCGCTACATATATTGGTTTCTCGAACTAATAAGGTCCTTTAACGCAACTAAACAGCTGAACGGCAAGGGACTCTGGCTGCTCGCCAATGCGCTTAGCCAACCAGAAGTCCCCAATGGTTCGAGTCAGCCGCTCTTATACATAAGCGCTGACACTGACACCGAAACCCCTATACTGTACAGCAATGTACGTAGTAATGGGGTTGCTGTGGATGTGGCTCGGCGCTGTAACTACCGGGACATGTTGGACATCTGCTTATTGTGCAATACGGAAAAGAAACTCCACACTTTTGTAGTTTGCCTCACTACGCGGTAGCCTAAATCCTTCAGACAAGGGGACGGCTTGGAAATAGACATCTCGAGACCGGTGGAACGGAACCATAACGAGTGAACATGCAGCGCTATCACACACTAGGGAGCATATGACCTAAGACCTGATCCAGCCTTGTCAGACCCTGTCATTTGCAACCAACTGAATCGTGCGTTGCAACGACACAGAGGTCACACGTGATTCATAAGCGGTGTCGGCTTTATGGCAGCCTAGACGTGTGTGACCATTTCGACGCAGCCCGCCCTGCGTCAAGGACATAAGTTCGCTCTCTTAACGCAGCTCGCAGCCGCATTTCAAGACTCGTTACAACCCTCTACCCAGCGATGCAGGAAAACGCACCAGACACATCCATTGCGACCCCCATCGAGAGCCCCGAGTGCTGGGATTCACAAAGGCGTCCGCCAGCTGTGTCGTCTTTGGACAATGTCTTCGAATAACACAAACGACGGCAGCGGCAGCGGCAGCGACGATGATGATAACAGAACAGAGTTGATTGTGGCGCTTGTCGCCCTAGTCATCTCTGTTCTTGCCTTCGTCATATCCATGCTCCAAGCTCTTCAGCAGTATTATGCTTCAGCTACGGGCTACTCTTCATGCACCCCCAAGGTCATGGGCGATTGGGCTCGATTCACCCATCGCCGATTCCGATGGTACGAGTTTCGCTTCGAAGTAGAATTCGAAGTCCCCATCATCTTTGTCGCGCCTCCAACGAACGCCAGTGGGCCCCTCGGATTGCACAAAGATAAGGAGATCACGTACATGACTGGAACCTCCGATAGTTACAAGAAGACGTTCACCTGGAACCAACAGCAATACGATAAGATCGACAAGAGCCTACGGGCTGGGAACAGCCGCCAGGCCATCCACACAGCAGACAACGAGCTTGCCAATTGGCTGGGTCTCCTGATGGCCATCCAGCGTATGGAGAAAGAGTCGCGAATCTGGCAGGACAACGAATACTTCGGCCACAGTAACCCCCAGTGGGAGGATCAGACCCCATGCCACCCGCACACACCGGCTGTGGTTTTCACTCACACGCTCACTGTGGGGATGCAACGAAAGAAGAAATCCTGGGACAGCATGCCGGACAACATGAAGAAACCCTATGCCACCACTACCATTTCCCATCTGGTCGAGATTGCGGGCATGCTCGGGGTCCACTGGAAAGAGTTCAACAGAAACGAGGACCGCTACCGTGCGCAGGGCAACGGCTTCAGTATCACCGGCTATGATGTTGACGATCTTGGAATCGTCTTCACGTTCGAGAAGATCGGGCCGACTTGGTTTCATGAGAACCGCATCGTCCCCCACAATCTCGTCAAGGAACTTTTCTTTGGATACTGTCCCACGATCTTTCGCCCGGTGAACAGCAGCAACCACAAGTATGCTGATGAACCCAAGGACATTGGGACGCTCCAGCTTGGAAGTATGTCTGCAATTGCTGAGACGCTGGTGGTGATTGGCTGCAATACGAACGCCGTTCAGTATTTCCGGAAGCCACAGTCAGACACGCGTCACGTACACTTATTTCCAAGTAAGTAAATATTCGAATTTTCTGGTAGAAAGGCCTCTGACATGAACGTTTTTATAGTTGCATTCGAGCTGCTGGGCATGGTTGGAGTAGTGCTCCAGATCCCCGGTACTGCGTTTCGTATGCTTCCAAACCCGACTATCTGGCACTGGGACCGAAAATCGTTCTCACTGCGCACCTTTCTCGGCGATTACGTGCAGGCTTTGAGTGAGGCATCGGCCTATGATCCCCGTCTCAACCACACGGAGAACACTCGCATCGCTGCAATGATCAAGGAGGCAGGCAAGATTGAGGACAAATTCCTAGAGATGGAGTCTCGAGATGGTCCAGAGGCAATCCTGAGGCCCACCAGCAACACGGAAGAAAAGATCTACTCTAACGATCTCGTCATGGTTCTGCATTCGGCGATCTCGCGGTGCGATGAATTCCTCACAAACCCTCTTCGGATCAACCTCGTTCAAAACGTTTTGCGCGTTCACTTGCAAGAGGTCCTTCGGATTCTAAACGACACGGAGGGAGAGTACAAGGCTGCAGAAAAGGGTCGCGAAAATAACGAGCACCTCCAAGACCCAGTCCTCCCCGGGGTGTCTTCTGCTGGTAGGGCGAATGAGGAAAGGGAGGAGGTACAGAAGGAGATATCCCTGCTGCAGAAACTCGACTTGGCCTCGTCTAGTGAGAGGCACGGTGTACTTGCTGACATTTATTTGTTCTCGGTCCGCAAGCGTGTTATCGAGGTTGTCTGCAGGCAGCTGCTCATTGGCAAATCCCGACGAGAGCGAGCCAGGTCATTCATTTCCACTGCGTCTGGGGAGCCGCAGAACCACGACCAGGGGCAACGTGTTAACGACATATGGTGCATGCTCGTTTTTAGAATGGTGTGCTGGCTACTGTTGCACGACTTTCACGGCAAGGACATCCATGTTGAGAAGAGCGAGGTTTTTGGCAGTCGATTACCTGTGTATCTCTCATAGGAGGAGGCCAGCGACGAGTGGTCTATGGGGCGGGAATGAGCATGATGATGAACTAATGAATCACGAAGACTTTTTTGAGTGTAGGACGTGTATCCTTCATCCAGACACATCTGGGCCGAATCTGGGTTTTGGTAAATAGTTTTATTGTCAAAACGCGCTTTGCATCATGGTATCTCTGCTATTAACTGAAACGACTATCGACACGCCTTTGTAAAAAAATCCCACGCACTCATCCGCCAAGTCGTTGGTCGCAGTCCTTTCGATAAATCAGTGGGTACCGTTGGCGCCGTTCGCTCCGTTCTCACGCTTCTTTAACTCCTCACGGACTCCGGGCAAGACGTAGCGGCCATAGTCGATAGCGTCGTTGAGGTTGTCATACCCACGAATGGAAATGAGCTCGGCGCCGAGGTCAATGTAGTCGAGAATGGAGTCGTTGATGGTTTTGGGAGACCCGACCAGAGCCGTGGAAGCTCCCCGGGCGTTGGTTGCGGTGACAGTGGGGTACCACAGAGCACGATCTTGGACCTCGCCCTTCTTGGCGATATCAAGGAGACGCTGAGAGCCCACGTTTTGGGGTTCCGGGCCCGTCTGGCCAGGCTTGCCCTGCCCGGCGGCGATATTGCCCTTGAGCGCGTCAAGAGTGCGGTACGCCTTGGCCCATGCGAGCTCGTCCGTCTCGGCGATGATGGGACGGAAGGTAACCCAGATGCGGGGCCGGTCCTTGCGGCCAGCCTTTTCGGACTCGGCGTAGATGCGGTCGATCTGCTCCTTTGTTTCCTTCAGAGGCTCACCCCAGAGTCCGAATATATCAGCGAGGGAGCCGCCGATGCGGTATGCCTCCGCGGAGGAGCCGCCGACGGAGACGGGGATAGTGCCCTTAGTAGGGCGGACCTTGTTGGTGAAGCCCTTAAATGTGTAGTACTGGCTGTCCCAGTCGAAGGGCGCATCCGACTCCCACGCACGGCGGAGAATCTTAATGTAATCTTCCAGGCGACCGTAACGCTCGTCCTTGGATAGGAAGTCACCCTCCTTGGCTTGTTCGGCATCACTGCCGCCGGCGATGAAGTGCACAACAACACGACCCTTGCTGAGCTGGTCTAGTGTTGCCAGCGCCTTGGCAGCAACTGTAGGGTAGAGGGTGTTTGGCCGCAGGGCAATAATAACACTGACGTTCTTGGTCACGGCAAGAATCGTCGCGCCGATGGTGAAGGGATCGAATGAGTCGGAGCCATACGGAACGAGTGTGTAGTTAAAGCCATAGTCGTCCAGGGTCTTAGCGTAGCGGACCAAGAATTCCGGGTCGATGCCAGCACCGGGGATCGGAGCGATCTCCGTTGAGGCGTTAGGGAAAGTTACACTAATGAATTCGGTCGGCATTTTTGCTGGTTTTTGGTCTGGGTATTGATGATATGCTCAAGGACCTCTTTGTGGGTGAACGATGCCACAGCCTATATACACGCGTTGCAGGATATGACGACAACTGCAAGATAATCACGCCTTACACCCCGAGCCGGTTTCGGTAAGGGGTTCCCCGGTGAAATGTCGCCATAACCCCATCTTATCCGAGTGGTATCAATCACTCTGCCAATTGAGTAATAGTGTCTTTGCGGTTTTCTTTTCCGACGCCCTTTCAAGAATCGCCAATCTGCAGGGGAAACGGTCGTTCGGGTTGCGCGCAGACGCTTTGGCCGCGCAAACCGGGGCAACTCCGACAAAGCTTGAGCACTTGTGATTGCGCAGTTCATGCCCACCCTCCATAGTCACAGCAACACACCACCATGATAGAATAGGGGTCTCCAAGTTTGTGAGAGTATCAATCAGCATAAGATTACCCCGCTCCAACGCAGGACGCAATCCTCAAGGTGTGTTCCACATATCCACATCTTCGGTCCAAGTCGCCACATCAGCAAACTGTACCCGGGTGCTCGACATTGGCTGATTTATTGTTCTGGCCCGGCTCTTATCGTGCCATGACTTACAAATCAAATTATCGCAAGATGAGTGTCATATGTCGTGATTTGTCACTCGATACCACACGGCTGAGTACCTATCTTTGCTTTCACTGCCTTGATATAACACACATTATCGGCTGGCGAAAATCCCGCATTGAACTAACTGAGCATATGTTTAAAAACAGTACTCTTTATGTAAGAGTGAATGGCCAGCAACCGCTCGAGAGATTTCCTGTTAAGCCTTGATATCACGCATTATCTTGTACTTATCGCTCCGCTACCCGCGAACTTGCTTTCGGGTAGAGCCAGGCTAGCTAGTGGGTTTGTCTGGTGGTGAAGAAGTATATAGCTTTAGCGTTGATTATCCGAAGGACTGGGTCATTGGACAGCATTTTGAGTATACTTTGGCGTTTGAACACAAGATGTGATTGTTGAATGAGTTGCAGATCCCGGGGTAACAAGACCTTTACCTCCTATGGGTCAGAATCTGACAGCTCTGATCGAGAAGTGATCAAACTTGAAAATGACTCGAAAGGGTGGGAACACATAAAGACGTTTGGTCTTTTATCAAGATAATAGGTATATAATACAAATTCCCAATCCCTCGTTGATTACAACTGCTCGAATAAACAAGGCTTAGGACTCGTTCCCCAATTTGGCATCTCGGCGCCGAGCTCCAGGTACACGAGGCTCTAAGAGGATACACTATCTAAGCCTCGAGCACATCAGAGCCCTATGTTCATGCCACAGTTAGGGTCTTCACGTTCTCGTCTATCTTCGCCTCCTAACCACCCAAGTCCCTCGTCTCGTCTCATTGAAAGTAGTGGCCCTTACTCATTCTCTTGCGGAACTAGGATATGGCTCATACGTTGGATCTCGGGCACATAAACCCTACGATGCTTGCAAGACTCATAAAGTTCGCTGTCCCAGGATGGCCATCAGAGAAGTTGAGAAATGCATCAGCTAACTTGGCTAGCAGATGGCGGGCCACAGGGGCCTTGCACTCACTGTTTTGTACGGCGCTGTCTTTTCATTTCCTCACTCTCGACATGCCACGTTTCGCTGGCTGATTCTAAACCAGATTTCCGTAGAATTGTACCACTTCAGTATCAAATGACTCACGCATAAGCGCAATGGTGTGTGTGAGCTGTGACTCTACATGTCTTAGACGGATCACGATTACTGTCAACTAACAGGCTTAGGTGGCCGCAATAGCTTCGCATTCTTCCCAGAGATCCCAGAAATCAACGTGTTAGCACCATCAACGCGTCATTGAAATCCAAAGTAAATAGTCTCATCGGGGGGTGGGGGGTTCAATGGTTCTCAACAGCCGAATACACCGTGCCAACCTCATGACAATGACCACACGAAAGGTAAAACCGTCTGAATCGATAACGGACCGCAATCAGTGAAAAAAATGACAGGTAGTTCGAGCCCAACAATCGCGAGACCTAGCGCTTGGTTCCCGTCAGACTGAGGGCTTTTCTCCGGGCCCGTTGACACTAGCCAATACCATCATTATCCTGGAGGCGTTGACTGCTATGTCGGCTTCTATACGAGGGACCTGTGAGCTCGTAAAAAAGCCTGCAATCATGTCAAAAGCAGCCAAACGATTGCCGATAATATCTTTCCACAACTTCACTGGTCGGTCCATTAGCCTATGGATTCAAGAAATCAACTTGAGGCATGTACGCTATCAGAAAGAATCACCAACTTCCATTTTAGAAGAAGCTCCGTAAGATTAACATGAGCAAGCCTACTAAACGAAATAGAGCCTCTCATGCTAACTATGCGATGGGCCTCTGTTGACAGCGATATCGACTGCCCCATTCCATCCGTCTCAGATTCGACAATCAGGGAGTTCAACTGGTCTCTGCGTTTTGAGCAGTTTGCAAGGTTGCTCACCCGCTCTTAAATATCTCTCTTCCCAGTGGAGAATCCTGGCGACTCAAAGTCATACTACTGGAATATACCCGACTAGTTGCATGCCGATCTGGAAGCTTGGCAAGGGTTATTGACAGACAATGGCTTAAAGCTGACAGGATCCTTTAGCCCTCGACCTGTTTCGGGAACTTTGTCCCGAACCGTTACGCTCCTTGCTCATGATCTATATTATAGACTCTTCTTTGATCTTTCACAAGCAACACTGGCTTACCTGCCGACGATGAAGTCCGCTAGAATGAAGACAATCTTGGCCGCTTTTCGGTATATTCTGGAGCCGACTACGATGATTACGATACAGCCTCGCACGGTCTCATGGTATGTTGAGGTACAGATATCTCCTTCCGGCTGGGATCGTCACTTATCTCTTTAGTTATAGGCTCCTTGCCGAAATGCTCATTACCGCCTTGTGCGTGCTCTTCGACGTGATCATTCATGACCCGAGATAGCCAACATGGCCCCCCACCTGTCACTACTTGACATGGTTGGAAGCTATGCTATGCTAGGAGCCTAGAGTATTCTAATGGCGACCCGATGCCGGGATCGCTTATCGTCGAGTGTGCTCAAATTGCGCGGCGTTATATAAACGAGATTAAAAACTCCGAATCGAAAATCTTGGTAGCTCCGCAGCATCATCAGTGATGTTTACTATAGTAGCAACCCCACGCAGCGAGTTTCAAGCCTCAATGTAGCTAGCAAGCCATAGAGGCAAGCGCCGTGACCAAGGATTTCTCGGGTGAAAGTTCTCACAATGTGCTGGTTAATAGACTTCATGCTAAAATTGTCGGAGGCGTTGGCAAACCGAAATTTGTCGTCTGGTCTATACTTCTCCTCTTATAATGAAGAGGTATTAGTCACTGACACTCAGGTAGCATTAGACAACGAAAGGGTGCGTAGTTATAGTACCAGTACACTTTCATGGTATCAAGCTCTGTCATTCGCCATCAGTATCAGTTCCCAAGATTGTTGAATATTCAACTGCAGCACCCATTATCCCCTTGACACGATGGCGTGATGTTGTTTCAAGTTCAAAACCCTATGGCTTTGGCATGGAACGGCGTCTCGGCAGCCGAAGTCCGTAGGTGCGGCCTTGGCAGGACTGTACATCGAAAACCGAGATGGGAATTGCAAGGTCTTCGGTCACAGTGGGCTCCGGGATCCCGGGGTTTCTTTGGGTCCGCTTCAAGGATTAGCCGGGTCACGGGCGGTCCAAAGAGACCTAGCGTCTCCACGAGCTCCGCATAGGGATTTGCCTGACATAGTACGGATACAGCCCATGTCTTTCCCTTATCTCTGTTGTAAAGGAAACATAAAGACAGTATTTGCCGGAACGCCCTTCATTTTTGGACGGCCAATTCCTCATACCATGTCGGTCCCGCTTTGTTCAAATGGCATCTGAGAGTTCAGGATCGCAACCGAGTACCCCGGCTGCTGACCTGCCGCGGGCCGTTCTGGCCTGCGTGTTTTGTCACCAACGGAAAATTAGGTGTGACCGCAGGTCCCCCTGCGCCAACTGTGTGAAGGTTTGTCGTCAAGTTACATGCGGCCGGCGGCAAACTATCCACTAACACCGGGGGACCGTAGGCTGATCAGCCATGCATTCCATCAAAGCGAGCACCCTCAGGCTCTGGGAGACGTCGCTTCGCAAAAGATTTGCTCCAGAGGTTGCAACAGTGCGAGAGTTTGCTGAGTGAAGTAGCATTTCGTGGGAAAGAGGGCAATCCTATTGGCACCGATACAATGGGACCAACGACGGCGGTATCCAGCCCGACGCCATCCTGGGTGAGCTATGAGGAGACTCGTAAGCAGCTCACCTCGAGACCTCGCGGCAGAATTGTTTACAACGAGGGCCGCGCGACATTTATGGAAAACCCATTTAGAGGAGACATTATCGACCATGTACGTACCCTCATGTAATTCCTCCTTCGCATCCTGCAGAAGCCTGACAAGAATTCAGCTGCAATCCGTAACATTGAATGCTGATGGCAACGACACTGAGCAATCGACTAATCAGTCCACATCTACCAGCGTCTCTGATCATGCTGAGACGGTTCAAGTGGAGTCCATGGATTTTGATACCTTCACATTGGGTCCCGTTGAGATGCTCAGACTATGGCAGGTTTTCTTGGAACGGGTGAATCCCATGACCAAGGTTGTACACGTTCCAAGTCTAGAGCCGCTGGTCTTCGAAGCCGTAACAGGCGGCATAAACCTTAGCACCGACTTTAAAGCTCTTATATGTTGCATCAATGTCGTTGCGATTATGGCTTTGTCAGAGGCTGAGGCTATCCAGATGCTCGGCGCTGAAAAGAGCAGCGTGTTACGTCGTTCAACACTGACAATGAAGAAGGCACTGGCTGAAACTGACTTTCTGAGAAAATATAACATGAGGATTCTACAGTGTCTTGTCCTGTACTTGGTATAGCTTTTCCAAGAGAGCTTCTAAAGTCTTCGGGCTAACAGGGTGCAGGTTTCTGTTCAAGGACAACTCGACCGGCATGCAGCATGGGTTCTAACCGGAGCACTTGTCAGAATAGCGCAAAGAATGGGCCTTCACCGCGATGGAGAGCTTCTAGGCTTATCACCTTTCGAGACAGAAATCAGACGGCGAATATGGTGGCAGATCATTTTACTGGAGTCGAAGTATGCCGTTCTGGCGGGCTTCTGCGATGCTATCTTACCGCCTAACTGGAATACCAAGCTGCCTTCTAACGTCAACGACGCCGATCTCGTGCCAGGGTCCCTGGAACCCGTGAAGTCGCGCGAAGGGGCTACTGAGATGGCCTTCTGTCTGATGACTTACGAATCTCGCTTGTTTTTCTACAATAACCTGGTTCCCGAGTTTGAGGCAGCTATAATCGGCGGAGGCAACGTGAACACTGAGAATTACAAACGATTGGCCACACAATCACTCGGCAAATACCAAGAAATCGTCGAGAAATACGAAAAGGAACTGGCCACTGCTGAAAGAAAATACACTGATGCCAGCGCTGGCGGTATTCATCTGATGGCGAGCAAGGTCCGCTCGCTCGTGGTACAGAGGTTACGCGACATGATACTCCACGCGCGAGAACCTTGGAACGAGGAATTCGACGGGGAAGGTGGCCATCGGTCATTTTTCAGGGCCTGGGTCATTTCTTTTGAAAACCACATCAACTGGTATGACGCGGCAGATGACAAGTTCGCATGGTACCACAAACTTCATTTCGAGACAGATGCCTTCTCTGCCATGATTGAGCTGCTCCAGTGGCAGCCGGTCGGGACATTGGTGGAGAGAGCATGGACTGTCATCGACCGACTCTATCATTGCCACCAAGATATGTATGACATGAGCAAGAAGGATAACCTCCAGCGGGCCGAAAATCTTCTCGCCGGCTGGAGCAGACGGGAACTGGCGTTTCGTAGACTGGGATTCTCGTGTAGTACTCCTTTTGTTGTGGCGAAGCTACGGACTTTTGAGGTGTTCAGACAGCAGCAGTCCAGCCTTCCATTTGAGGAGTGGCCTGTACCGACGTCGGACAAGACAATTTCCACCTAATGACATGGAAGCCTTGGCTTTGCGTATCTCCTTTGCTCATCTAAAAGGTTTTTCCAACCTCGAAGATATGCCTTCCAACCAATTAATATCTTGGCTATGGTTCGGCGACCACTGCTGGATTTCGATGAAGTGTCTTCAACATAGCATGCAATTAGCCATGTCTCAGTTGCTCAAGATGCTCTCCGAGCGTGTCACAGGGACTCACTCCCTGAGGCACAAATTCAGAAGAAATTTGTCATCCATTCTTAGGTACTTGACGAACAATAGCGGACGTCACACGCGGGTACATCCTCATAGCCTCATTCAAGACGGCAATCATGTATGTTAGCTTGCTGACAGAGACAATATTGATTTTGCTTGAGTCTTTTAAGCGGAGCGAACCTCTTCGTTCAGTTTTTGAGCACCTTTGGATTGGTACCGATGAGATAGGTTGTGCATGTAAGCGTGGTAGCTGTTAATTTAGAGCCTGCGATTACCATAACCGCAGAACTGGCGGATAATTTGTCCAGTGAAAGATTTTATCAGTCAAACATTTCTAGCTGCTATTCTTGTTGTTCATTATGATTCCTTGGAATAATTGCCCATTTTCACCTCCTATTCAGTATGCCCTAGAAAGGCCTCTCCTGTCTTGAACAATGTTCAACCGCTCGTTTATCATTTTTAATCTGTGCTCCTAGACATTGCGAACCTGAGATCAAGTCCACCCATTGTGAACAGGCCTTTTACTACCTATCAGCTGAAAATCGGAACGATTCAGTTTGAGGCAAAGGCCGATGATCATGACGCCGTCACCCCCCCTATGAAGGGTTATGCCTGGGCAAAATGGATATTTTGGGTCATTGCACGGCTCACAGGCCCATCAGTGAAAGGTCCGGGGTCGTATGTACACAATTGGCACCAACGTTATTTTGAAGACACATGCCCATAGATTCCGGCTGCTCCAGTCTCGTATGGATGAAGGATCAGCACGATGACCTTGTCCAAGAAAACCTTACTGTTTCAGCTGATCTCATACGCTGTCAGATATTCGGCCAAAACTCAGCAACGTGATGCAAGGTTTTCGAACAGAACAGATTGGGTATATTGAACAATAAGCAAAGAAACTCCTGTGCTCTTGTGGAGTAATGCCGGGTTAACTAAACAGAGTTGGAGTTGTCCGCACAAGAGAATGCCGCTGAACCCCCAGACACCTTGAAGCTATCCAAAATCCCAACGATTGAACCATAGGCACCTGCTATCATCAGGAAGGAACCGCTGACGACGACGAAAACACTGAAACAGACCATGGCAATCCATCTCGGTCGCTTCTCAAGCTTTCCCTCCGTCCAATGGTCATAGAGCCACATGCAGCCCATTGGCTGGAAGGAAAGAAGGGTTCCAAAGAGGGCACCCACAAGAGAAACGAGACCGTCAAAAACTGGGATAGAGCTGGCAATGATGTACGCTATCACAGCAATGCTGAAAGTGCATGCAAGCCAGATACCCCAGTGCTTCATCGTGTTCTCAGTCAGGTGCCGGGATCCACGCAGCATACGGATGAAAATGTATTTGGCGGGAAGCTATGCACTCGTTAACCGACGCTCTGCAGTGCTACTTCAGATTCCAGAATAGGCGCAACTTACATGGATAACAAGAGTTGTCGTCACAATCAAGCCGGGGAAAGCGAGGCCATAGCATACTCTCTTCATGGTCGCGCCAGCCGAGCCCAGGGCAGGGGAAGCAACGAAAGATCCGCAGAAGTAGTAAACAATACATCCGATGGCGATGTAGGTGGCGGTCACGCCACTCTGGCAGATAATGAGAGCGCGAGTGTAGTGGCGAGGGTCCCGCATTTCAGAGACAATGGAGAAGAATGCCGGCGTGCCAGCAAAGGCGAAAACCAAAGTAGACAGCGCCGACGAAGCCTGCGCGAAGGTTGGGCTGCCAACGAGCTTGTAGTCAGAGACCCAATGGCCCTCTTGCGGAGCGGCAGCTGGTCGGTCTTGGACTCCTACCGCAACGGTGAGGGTAAAAACTGCATTCCATTAGCTGGTTGCCCATGTCCCATAATGTATCCCTTTCAAGCAGCAAGGTGCGGCACTTACTTGAAGACATGATACAGATGAGGCCGATCCATGCGAACCAAGTGATCTTCCCCAGTGTCTGAATACTTCCGAAGCCAAAGCCGATCAAAGCAGCAATAGCAACAAAGCCAGCAGTGCATGCACCGTGCATGGTCATCGAATTGAGCGCGATCGAGGCGCCAAGCATGCCGGAACCAGCAACAAAGATCCAGTCTGTTGAAAGACCCAGAGTCAGCCGCGATTTTTTAAACCTGGAAGGAAAATCCACCTACAGAGACAGAACACGACACCGAAGAACTCGCGTCCAACGCGGCCGAAAAGTAAGCGTCCAACGTCGTCGATGCCGTAGACTTCGGGGTGACGGAGCTTGAAAACCCCCACGATGTAGTCGGACCATGTCGTGACGGCGGCAATGCAGATCAGAGCAATGACGCCCGGGACAATGCCCAACACATCAAAAACACCGGGAATGGACAAGACACCCAGTCCTATCTGAGTCTTCATCATGAGAGCCACAGTTCCCTTCCAGCCAACCTAACTGGGGACTTAGTATCTGATCAGGAGTGGTGCATTGGGATTTCCTACATTGCGGTAGTTGGGTCCGCCTTCTTTGATTTTGCCAAAGACAGCATCGTAGGATGCGTCCGGGTCCTCTAGGACCTGGCCAATTTGCGAGTGTGTTGAGACAGATCCCAACCCTTCAATGTCTTCCTTCTTGTAAGCCATATTGGTAGCAGTTGGACACCTTCCACTTGTCGCTGTTTCGTAAATGTGTGGGTATCGACCGTCGTCGGGTTTCACAAGAGGCACAAGCCACTCTCAGTCTGCAGCACTGTTGAAGTTGATGAGGGTTTTGGGATGGATCGAACGTGCAGGGTAGCAAAAGACCAAAACTAATGGTTGACGGAGTTGAAGGCTCGTATAACTAAAAAAGAGGAGCCAAGCGGGCAAGCATTGACTTTGACATGAACTGTTGCCTATTAGAAATGAAAGTCTAGAGGCACGAGAGCAACACGCCCAACCGGGACTGGTAATGATGCGGCTTTGTAAAATACTTGCCCGAGACCTGCCTCGCCGGCCTTGGAACTATGGAGCACCGGTGGGCATTGGATGCCAAGATTTCCTTCTCTATCCTTACAGGCCTGCTCCCGCAAGAACCGAAGATGGCTTGCTATCGCTCGATTTAGATTACGTAGCTATTTAGGATAACCGCCCCATACTTTCCCCAGACTACGGGCTCTACGTCACATAGGGATGCTTTTCAAGGGTTCAGGGGTGAAATGACTCGCGGTCTTTTTCAACACATTGGTATTCGTAAATCATCTCTCTATGGGTTGATGATCAACTACACTGGCTGGCCAGATACCGTTCCGACACATCCCTCGGAATAGAGAGGTTTGTCTCGGTGCATGTATGCACCCGTAGTTCCTGGCTTCGAAGGCTTCTCAACTCCTGAGTGGTTGGAGATATCGCGGAACAATCGAATAAGAGTAGCTGACCCCTTGCAGGACTATTTGTGTGTTTTCAGAAAACACCGCAGAGCAACATCGCAACTGCGATATTGACAACGGCCCGTTTCTCTTGTAAAGCAAACTTGCGCATGCTGCACCGCCCTGACAAGTGCATCATCGTGGAGACTTCCCCGCTATGATAGCCAAGCAAGCGGAGATGCCGTGGGCGCAACTCGCGGACAACTCCCTTGGAGCATGGGTGTATCGCCGAAGAAATCCCTGCCAGGCGCAGTCTCCGTTTCGAAATTAAATCATCGGGCCACCCGGCCATCCTTCCGTCCCAATTCTGTACCGTCGGGATGGCTTTCCGACTGTGCAGGGGGGATGGCCCACCAACAAGATTCACATTGAGTTTCTCTTAGTCACTTGCGTAGGACTGCCTCATGCCGATGATGGGGATTGAGTCTCAAAAAGTTTCATTGGCTTCCGCTTCCCCGTGGGGAGAGAGGGCATGGCCATATGAGATGGCGATGGCGTCAACTCTTTGCCAACTGAAATACCGAGGCTCCTTGGATTCCCCCCATGAACCAAGCGAGCCAAAGTTTGAGATAATCGGATACGGCGAAATATGGATTTTAGCGACAAATTGTCCATTCCAATACCTACTCTTGCACTGAATTTAGAACCTAGGACGGTGGTTCCTCCGCGCGAATTAATGGCTAGGTGGGCATAAAATATGATAGCAAGCAATTGCACCGTTAATATCCACTCGCCGTGAAAAAGAATGGAAAGTATCCACAATCGGACAGACACCTATCACCGCAGAGTTGAGATTCTCCCTCGAAGACCTATGAAATACGGATGATCGATAGTAATCGACATAATCGCCGTTAGCATACACCGCCTACAGGCGTGCCACATACTTGTTTCGGCAATCATCCTCCGAAGTGGCCAGGTCGTTGTGTTGGAAGATGAGCTGTGCAATGTGTATATCTGCTTGTGCAGTATACAATTCGTCTGCAGTCTCATACGTCTTGCCTTTTCGTGGGAGAACGCTATAAGGAATATTCGCAAGTTGAACCATATCGGTCATGTTGTGAGTTATCGGCCTGCCGGCTAGGAAATAGTATTCCAACTTCTATGAGCAGGGTTAGCACTAGTCAACAAATGATAATAGGCCGATTTTCCCGATTTTCGACGCCGCACTTTAGCACAATTTAATGTCTCACAGTCACGGTTATCCCCGTTTCTCCACTTCCTCATCACGTTGTCTATTTTTAATGCATTCGAGGTGAGGCTTCAGCTATAATAGTGTAGAATTCAAGTCAAAGTTGCCAGTTTAGCACGAAACTAGCCGATACGCCAGTTCGAGCAAAGATACATGTGCCACTGTGTTATGCTTTGTAAAGATGGATTATAAGTTGAGGAAATTTCAGCTACTGTATACTGTCTTACATTAGAAGCTAAAACTGGTGTATACTAGTTTTTTGGTGCGCTCTATTAGCCACTTGCCACTCTGTATCGTATTTCTAAGTATTATTTAGCGCTGCTGACTTGTGCACTTACATCACAAAGAGTATGAAGAAGACATCGAAATCGCACATAGCTGTATCAGGTTGCATTGTTTCTGGACTTGTATACAGTTGATACGCGCTCTAAGATCGCTGCCACTCAGTCTGGATTAAACATCGCACTGGCGATGTAATACGATCGAGATCCCATATCCGAATTCCCCCAGTTCATTTGTTGCTTGGGTACAAGAACTCAGTCTGAAGGAAAAACTCTTCCTTGATGAGTCTCGGACTGACAAAGCGACGCATGGCATCGGCGCTTCCTGCCTTGTCATTCGTGCCACTGGCGCGGGCGCCACCGAAGGATTGTTGTCCAATCAAGGCAGCGGTGGTCTTGCAGTCTACGAGAACACCAGTCAGCTCTTGAAAGGTTTGGGGATGAGAACGATGAGCCTTACTGATGTAGAAGTTGCCTGCCGAGTAGCGCAGAGCATCCTCCGCCTCCCGAATGGCAATTCGATCATTGGCGAAGACAGCACCGGTTAGGGCAAAGCCGCCTCCGCTCTGGTCGACCTTTTTTAGAGTCGAAGACCATTCGGAGTCGGGGTAGATTGAGATGGCCAGAACCGGGCCGAAGATCTCCTTGTTGAAGAGACGGTGGTCTGGGGAATCGGCCAGGTAGACTGTGGGATTGACATAATATCCATCGGAGCCATCGCATGTGCCACCAACCAGCAACTCCAATGAAGAGTCTCTGTTGCTCTCGTCGATAATATTCTTAATCTTATTGAAGGAGCGCTCATGAATGACGGGGCCCATGAAAGCATCCAATTTGCCATCGGGGCTTCCGATGGTGATTTCATTGACTTTAGAAGTAAGACTAGAAATGAATTCTTTAGCCCGAGATTCAGGGAGGTAGACACGAGAGGTAGCAGAGCACTTCTGGCCTTGGTACTCGAAAGCCCCGCGAATGGTGTGGTTGACGGCATGCTCAATGTCGGCAGTCTGGTGAACGAGATGAAAGTTCTTCCCGCTGGTTTCGCCGACAACCCGGGGGAACTCGCGATATGTTTTTTTTCCAATCCCCTCGCCAATCTTAGAGTAGAGAGAGCGGAAGACGTCAGATGACCCGACAAAGTTCAGACCAGCGAAATCGCGGTGGTTGAGGACGACCTGGGTCACTTCTTCAGCGTCTCCAGGGACAAACTGAATGACGTTTGGGGGAAGACCAGCTTCGAGAAGGATTTTATAGAGCAGTTGACTGGCGTAGATGTTGTTCGGCGAAGGTTTCCAGATAACGACATTTCCCATCAGCGCTGGGCCGGAGATGAGGTTGCCGCCGATCGCGGTGAAGTTAAAAGGTGATATAGCGTAAACGAAACCTTCTAGCGGACGCCACTCCACGCGACTGGACATCATGTTAGTCGAACGACAATATAGTCAGATCAGGATTTCGAGAATGGCCAAGTCACTTTACCTCCACATGCCGTCGGAGCCACGGGTAGGCTGCTTTTCGAGAATTTCGGCCGCGAAGTTGCAGTTAAGCCTGAAGAAGTCGGCCAACTCGGCGGCCGCGTCGATTTCTCCCTGCCACATGTTTTTGCCCTGGCCCAACATAGTTGCAGCGATAAGCTCATATCTGTGCTTTGTCACTACAAGCTCCGCGGCCTTGAGGAATACGGCTGCTCGGTCGACAAAAGGGGTGTTTTCCCAGCTCTTCTTTGCCTCTAATGCCGACTCGATAGCTGATGTGACCTGTTCTTTCGATGCCAGGGGAAAGTTCGAAAACGTGGTGGCGTGCTCGGATGGGAGGACGGTGTTGAGCGATTCTGCTGCCGCTTGAGCTCGCCCGTTATAAAACAGGGTACTTGAGACAGGAAGTTGACCGCGCAGCTTGCTCAGGGCATCCTCCAACTTTTTGCGCTCTACGGAGTTTTTCTTGTAGCTTGGCTTTGATAAAGAGTCAACGTTTGCATACCTATCCAAACTCAAATACTGGACGTACGCTGGGCTCGTTTCTCGGGTCGGGTAGCCTGAATGGTGCTGTCGACTTTGTCCTACGTTGTGACAGGATGATAGAAGCTGTGGCCCAGCGCATTTCATTTCCAAGAGGTCTCATAAGTCTCGCGGACCTCGTAAATTTGGCGACTAGCATTGCAGCTGATGCGTTCGTTAAAGGACTAGTAAAACATTGAGGCTGCGATTGTAATCTCGCCTTCTCGAAAATGAAAGAGTTGACACTAAAGATTCCCCTACAGAACTTTCTATGCTTGTAGCTTAGAAGACGCCGAGAACCTCGAAGCCTCATCATCTTATCTGAAAATCAATATGCGGCACCGGCATAGCTCCCGTTATCTCTTTTTTCCTGTAGGCCAGTCACTGCTTCTATTCATGTTGCTTCTCTAATCATGCCGAGGTCGGACGGAGCGTATCCCGGAGCGGGGTCTCCAGAGACCCTGCCGAACTCTGGCTGCAGGACCCGCCATGAGTAAAGATAGCTTCCCCGCCTATCCCGGAGGTTAGGCTCAACAACGGCATGGTCTTTCCGTGCTCCATCGAAATTAGAAGCTCTAATTGGGATGTAAAACGATTGCTGTTGATTCCAATCCTAACGAACAGAATGTTGGTATGCCGCCTTTTCTTTTTTTCTAAATGCAGCACACTTCAGAGAACAAACTGCCATAAGTGGTGCAGGATCTTATTGCATGACAAGAATGGAGAAGCAAGTGTTTGAATGCAATACTATATTAATGATTACAACGACACGAAGACTTTGCTATAATTCTTTGGCTGAATTCTCCGACTCTCCGCTCTTTACAAACTTTGATAGAAGTGCTGCGCTGAGTGTTAGTTAAACTGTTGGCATCATCTGATAATAGTGGCTCCAGCAGGGACTCTGGTTTCTGATCACAGCAACTGGTTATAGGGGCAAGCTTACTGAACCCTTCCAAACATAACTTCAAACATGTATGTCTTTCCATACGAGCTTTTTGTTTATCCCGTCTCTTTTTCATGAGATTTCTGGCTAAGAAAAGAGCACTAGAAGGGAAGTTACTGATGTAGGCAGGACCCAACTAAGGGAAGGACTATATAGTAGGAATGTTGTGGTAGTATAGACGTATAGAGACAGCAAACATCTGGTCTGATAATAGCTAGAATTGAAGCTATTGACTCACGTCACTAAGCTACACTTCATACCTTTTACCCATGCGGGGCATCCCCGCGACTCACCGGTGATAGAAGTGGGGTTGATATCGGAAGGGCATCCGACACTGCATCGGCTCCACAACCCTCCGAGCACGAAAATGATCATGGGAACCACAGGGTAGATAACATCTATGATTACGTAAAGTGACCATATCATCTCTGCTCTACATGTTACCGAGACTGGATGAACATACATCTGGGCTCGCCCATGGTCCCCCATGTCCAACACTTCCACACCTTCGGTGTTTTGATTGGTATCGTGAATCAACGACCTTTTGTTGGAGCTCATGCATGCGCCTCTGACTAATTTGAGGCCATGAGTTGAGAATTATTGGTTCGGCGACTCGAGCTGTCTGCCCTGTATGTCCGTGTTGCTCTTCAGGCATGCTTGGTAGATGTTTTAACGTGGCTGGTCCCGCATCCGCAGGACTGAGTCGGGGAAGGGGCCGATGATAGTCAGACGGAATCATAAGGCGAAGAATTCACGACGGTTAAATTAGTCAGTCTGGCCCTTAGAATGGTGTACTTGGACGAATGTAAATGCTCTTTGTATCTGTCTGTGTAGGACAACTTGCACAGTTCTAATAAGATTAAGTGACGCCAGAATAGATTTGGCTTCTTCCCGGGTAAGAGGTACAGATCCATTCTGTTTTACCCAAAGCCAGAGGAATCACACTCTGAACAGCTCCTCTTTCAATGCACTACTTAAGGCAGATTCTTCCCGCCTCTAGTCGCTTGCCCTACCCCCGAGTTCGTCTTGTCTTCGGCGTACCGCTTGTATACCTCGATGTAGGCGTCTTTGTCGCTAAGTGTGTCTTTTACACTTTGTCTTTCTTCGATAGCATTATACCACTGGCTCCATCTCTTCCAAATCCTGTTTTCGGTCTCATCTTCCCCTTTGGTTGGAATCCCAAGGCCCCCCGGCTTGTAGTGGTCTAAGAGAAACAGCCGCATCGCCCAGGGGGCAAGCATGACGTCGACAAGACTGAAAGTTTGGCCTAGAAACCAGGGTCCCTCTGGGTCCATCTCCTTGATGAAGGTCTTGATGTTACTCAAGAACTCTTCTCGGACCTGTTCGATGCTGTACTCCTTTTCTGGAGTGTGCTGAATGAACTTGTAGAAGCCCGGCACGATGCGGGAGTTGATGTGGTCTATCCACAGCCTGCACCTTGCGCGGTCATACGGTGTCTCCGGAAGGAGGTGCGGTCCGTAGTTGTTGCCGGCGTACGCCTCGTTGAGGTACTCGCAGACCACCGTGCTGTCGTACAGCGGCCGTTGTTCGTTGCCCTTGACGTCCACGGGGACGGCCAGGGTCGGGACCAGGCCACGAGGGTTCAACTTGAGGAACTCGGGGTCCTTCTTGTAAGGGTTGATCTCGATATACTGGTGCGGGATCTGCTTCTCGTATAGCACGATCCATGATCGCTGCACAAAGGGGCAGAACCAGCCTCCGTAGAGCTTCAGCGGGTGCTCTTCTGAGTGCTCGGCGGCGAACCGAGCTGCGGCACCGGTGGCCCGAGCCCCAATTGAAGTGTCGACGTTCGTCATGTCGGTTGGCTCCGTGGTTTATTTCTTGGAGCAGATGTCGCGAAGCAAAGTTTCGTAAATGGTGAAAGCCCGCAGTGTTCAAGTCGCTGGAGTGGATGAATAATGACGTGACCCCTCCAATGACGTGACTGTGATCTTGTGACTTTCCAAAAGGTGGAGAAGCGGCCCGTTGACGGAGGTTGGCCAAGTTCGGGGGCCCACTTCAATCCCGCGTTTGCCGCTCTATGGCTCCGGGACTATACAACTCGGGATGTATCGTTCGGACTGGCAACTTTCTTTCATTTGCAGCTTATCGTACTTTAATTTTATCTTTCATATCACTGATAACTTAGTCCTGGGTTTATGGAGCCTCGGCTTGGTACCTGAATCTATAGGTGACGATTGTGTCATATTGGCGCTGAAAATTGACTACAGGTAGGTCGATACAGTGACATGCAGAAAGCCTGAAGTCAACCACTTATTTAGCCCCTATTCACATGACTTCAGACTTTCTGCATGTCACTGTATGCTGTGCTGGTGTCGATGATAACGATATTCCGGCTTCTCCTTCTCCCTTTCTCTCTTCTTCCAGATGGCTTAGTGGTTGGACTGAAAATAACGCGCTCTTAGATGCCACCAGGCTTTTTTTTGAAACTCACAGTATGCGGAAACACACGTGAAGCAGCAGTGTTACGGGCGGGCGGGGAGTAGAGTGGGTTAAGCATGTCGGAGAAAGGATGTCGATGCCGTTCATGTTACATACAGGAGGCGGGCTGGATGGAGGAAGGGGACTGCGTTATTGAGGTGAATTGGCGACGGCTGTAGAAACACTTTGGTCTAGGTTGCTTTGCAGTTGAGGACCAGGAGAAGCAGTCACGAAGTTATTGTCAGGACAATGCTATTTTTATGGCAATATGAAGAAAACGTAATGGTACCTATGTAAGAGAATGGTAAAATAACTCCAAATCAGAAATCAGATAACCCAGTATCAAGATAACGCCGCCAAATGCAAACATCCGCCATCAATATGCAATCCATGTCCGCCTTAAGCCTCCTGTCACTTCCAGTCCTTCTATTCCTCAACACTTAAAGCTTGAAACCTCCGAGGGGGTTGGGGTTGGGAATGACGTATCCACCCTGCTGGACAGGGGGGACGATGGCGTCCCCCTTCTTAGCGGCCAGCTCCTTGTGCTTGGCGAGGGTGAAGTCGGGGCTGTCGAAGTTCTGGTTGATCACGCCAACCATGCCGGAGCGGCAGTGCTGGCCGACGTTCTGAGCGCAGTAGTACCACTGAAAAATGCAGTTGTCAGTTAACCTTGATCCTTCTGTTGAGTGTGGCCGGAACGGGGTAGACTCACGATGGGCTTCTTGTCCTCGACGATGACTTGGAAGACGTCAGGGGCCTGGCCCTCGGGGGTGAAGAAGTTGAAGCCAGAGAAGAAGGAGGTGCCGTCGGCGAGAGGGGTGCAGGGGTCGGCGAAGTTGGACTGGACAACCGAGTGGTTGCGAGGCAGGAAGTGCCACTCGACGATATCGCCGATCTCGGCGACGACGTTGTCCGGGTCGAAGCGGAGGCTACCGAGGCCGGCAACCACGGAGTGGGTGACGCCCGTGAGGTGGTTCGTGCGGGACGGGGTCTTGCTGCCGGAGGTGCTGGTGGGAGCAGCGGAGACGGTGGCGGCGGCGGCCAGGAGGACGGCGGTGAGGGTCTTGATGGAGAACATTCTGGCGATTATTTAGGGGTTTTACTTTGGAGAGTTATATGGGTTGTTTTTAAGAATAGAGTGAAAGACAAAGACTCTAGGAAATAAGGAAAAATAGGCAAGACGAGATAGGAAAAGTCGGGATATTTGTTTGATTGCTTGCTTTACTGTGTAGTGATGAGAGAAAAGAACACCAGATGGACGAACATCTCGTTGCATTATATACATTTCCTCAAGATGATTTCGACATCTCAGTCATCGTCGCCTAGATCATGGCGTCGTTGTACAGCCCTACGGAACGATCCTCTTCCACGACGCAGTATCACGTTCCTGGTTGACGGTTCTCACACAGCCACGACATCGTGAGCACGAGACCGCCCAAGAAACAAGACCCGAACGAAGCCGAGCTTTCTCCAGATTACCGGTACGCCAATATTTGTCGAGGGGTATAAACATGGAACAAATCCTAACTGGCGCTAATTTCTTACTCTGGGAATCTGTGCCAGAAGCTGACTGGCCCCTTGCCGCGCAGCTGCGGAAACCAGTGCTGCCGGCGCGGCTAGCGGCTGACCTGGGCTTGTCCAGTGTGACAAAACAAGAAGAAAGAAAGAAAAAATCACGATGGATGGCGCTGACGCACATGGCGAAGCCGGGTATCGGAAACTCCGCCCCAATGTTGCGTTGAACATTTTCCGCGCATGTCTAATTTCGGACGCTATCATTACCGATCATGAGCTAACGGGTCACTAGACAACGTGGCACGTGGTAAATTAGTTACATGCATCAGCCTTGCGGACTGCGGTCTCGGGAGCCACGGCCACAATAGCTCCAGGCAGCTGTCTTGACCACGCACACGTCACGGGAATGCGCTCTGTTATCCAGTGACGGCGACAGTCTGCGTTGCAGATGCTTGCGCTGTGCGACGTATTTACAGCATACTCACGCGAGCCTTCGCATGGCGGTTTGATTGTGCATTCGCCTTTGGGGCTTCCTTAATGACAGGGGCAGCAGGCCTCGGAATTGCATCCATCGCTGGTAAGATTCGAGGTTAACGAATCAGGTTATGACTGTCATGATCTCTTCCTATTCCGCTGCGAACCAACGTTGTACGATGTATCCCATGTTTCCTCGCTATGCAAAACGCAGCCCAGATCAAGATGCAAAAGTCCTCCTTCGGCCGTAACACAGACAATACCTACGTCCCGAAAGACCCACCACTGTCCCGTTATTTTCTTCGGAATCCTACAAGTACATGATATAATCAGGACAGTTGGCGGCCTTCACTTGGCGTCCTTCCCGTCCCCCCCGTCCGCCTCGTGCCCGTCGTCAGACTCTTCCCCCGCCTGTTCCTTCTTCTCTTGTTCCAGCTTGTACCACGGCCCATGGATCGCGCCGGTCCCAGCGCCGACCAGGAGGCCGAGCCCGGTCGTCGGAATCGCCGTGACGCCGCCGACGACGGCGCCGACGAGGGTTCCCACGCCGGCGCCCAGCCCTGTGCCGACTCCCGCGCCGATGCCCGCCCCGCCAATGCCGCCCTGCCAGACGCCGCTCTGCAGCCGCTGTGACTGCTTCTCCAGCGACTTTGACTTTTTCTCGTGCTCGGCCGCCTCGGCGAGGATCTTCTTCTTCTCCTCAGGGTCCTCGACCCCCTCGGCACGCTGGCGGGCCCGCTGCGCCGACTCGGCCTCCTGCTGCGCCTCCTGAAGCTTGGCGGTCGCCTGCGCGATGACCTTGTCCCTCTGCGTCTGTTTTTCTTCCGGGGATGGGGAAGACATGAGGAGGGGAATAAAGGCGAGACGATGGAGGCCGTATCCTTTTTGACGGGGTTGTGAAATAGAGTAGGTGGGATTCAAGTGGGGTGGGGGATGCTCGGGGATTTTTCGAAAAGGGATACCCTAGATGCAGTGCAGACGCCCGTTCTTGGTCAGATTCCTCGGCAGGGAAGTTGAGAAGAAGGTTTTCAGCGGCTATCTGCAAAGGGTTGGAACGTTTTGGGATATTCAGTATCAGGAAAAGTTGGCAGCGCGTTGACATCACACGGGTCATTCTTTATTCTCGCCACAACCCCCCCCCCCTGCAGGCGACTGTGGCGGGATGATCTACTCCAAGGCACGGTGACGTGCAAGCTCGGTTTAGTGCATATAAACGGGGAATCACATGGCAGCCGTCTAGCGAAACAGACTTTGGCGTCTCAACTGCATATTAAACCACGGGTAAAAGACCTACCTGGTTTAATCTGCACAGTAACGATGATATGCCTTCTTGGGAATATGTAGCGTTCTGGGTGAGATTTGTTTCAGATATGCCAGCGATTGGTGCCCTTCCCGTGACCTCACGATCGCGTTGCGTGGTGTGCTCATTTCTGACCAGGTTCCTCCCTACCATCCCGTGAGAAGACGGACAAGGCCCGGCCCGTACATCACGCCCGTCCCTCTCATCACGACATCCGTCCAGGATGTAAGAGGTAAGAGCAGGGGCCTAGGGGGAGTTGTCCCATCTACTGGAGAATCACGGCGTGATGGGATTGTGAAGGGACCAAAGGGCCCAGTGGGGGTGAACTTGGATCGGACATCGTGGTCTGGGCCGCGTGGCCACGCGAAGGAGGCGCATCACTGCCCCAAGGGAGAGGAGAGAGTTCGTCGTCTATCTAGTCATAAAAAGTATATACCCTATGCCAGGCCTGTGTCCGAATATTGGATATTCATCCAGAAAGCTACATTTCACGACGCTGAAATGGGAACGACAAGACGATAAGCGTACCGTGTAGACTCCTCTACTACGGGAGCTACCCATTCGCCCACTCAAGCAGGGAAAATCAGTAAGAATCACTTCCATCTCAACCTCATCACTCATTCGCTCACTCGCTCACTCGCTCACTCACTCACCGTTCACTCACTCGGCTGTCCCTACTTAAAAATGAACGACCTTGTCGTCGACAAGCCACGTCACCACCTCCCTCCCCCCTTTTCCTGCCGACGATCTCTCAGGCGCACTCAATGGCTCGCCTTTAGCCTTGATTCTCTCCTTGGCCAAGACACTCACTTCCACCCGACAGGCGCCCAGATCATTCCCCCCTCTCTCAAGAGGATGGCTTCCCATACATGCAACTACCGCACGTCGGCTCAGTACAGCGGATCGACGGATGGCTACGTCAAACCCCGCCGCACCCACAGGAAATCTGGCAACAGGCGCAAGGGGTGCAAGTGCCGTCACGTCACGGGCGACGAGACGCGCCCAACCTGCGTTGACAACGCGACCGTTGACCACCACTATTCCTTTCTCGAGTTCCTGCTCGCCTCCGCCTCCGCCTCTGCCCCGTCCACCGTCGGCGTCGACGGCCACTAGCCGGCCAGCGGCAGCGGCGGCAGCGGCGGCAGCGGCGGCAGCAAAGCATCCCAGCCGCTGCCAGACCATGAACTTCGCCCTCCATCACCCCTCGTGGTAAACGACTTTTGTCGCAAAAACCGACGTCGATATCGTTCCCGGCGACGCCCCCGCCAACGACCCTGGTCTTCACACTCGAGCACATACGCCGCCTGCACCACCTCGAGACCAGCATGGGCACCTTCGTGTGCGCCGATGACGACCCCACGAGCACCCCCCTACCCGCCATGTGCCTCGAAAACGCCCTCGGCGCCCCCTGCCTCATATACGCCCTATTCGGCCTGGCCGCCCGTCAGGCCCCCAGCTGCAGACCCGCGCCCTTGTACTCTTCAACGACGCCCGCGGGGACATCTCTGACAACAGGTGCATCCCCATGTTTCTCTTCGCCTCTTTCCTCGACAATCGCCTGCCTTGCAACACCCCCCTCGCCCACCGCCGCGACTTCGACGCCCTCCTCGACCAGTTCAACTGGTACCTCGGTCTTCAGCGCGGCGTCAGCGTCGTCACGGGGCACTCGTGGCGCGTCATCAAGCCGCTCCGGCGCAAAGGACTCCCTCGACTTCCTTGAAGCCGCCTCCCGGCCCGCCTCCTCCGCCATGCCCTTTGGCACCCGCGTCGTCACCGGCTTCATCGACGTCCTCAAGCTGCGCCCGTCCCCCGGGGCCCTCGTCACCCTCGCCTTCTACGCCGTTACCCCTGCACTGGTGCCGTCGCTTTTTTGCCGACGCGGGCCACTTTATATTCCAGTCCACCGCCGCCCACTTGGGTGACTACTGGTCTGAGTGGCTGATCTTCCGTATCACTGCAATCGTCGGGTATAGGAGGGCGATAGGCGCGTGCGCGCGTGCATGTGTGTGCTTCGGACAACTGGGGGGGGAAAGACCAGGTGAACCTGTAGGGAAATCTCCAACGTTCACCACCTGCAACCTCCTGCGTCCGAGGCACACGCGGGGGAGGCTGTTGTGTTTTGAGTACTGCACGTCATGAAAGAACCCGGCAAACTGGGCCCGAGTTGTTGGGATGCAAGGAGACGGAGAGTGAGAGATCGCGCACAATCTATCCGCCAAACACCCGCCCGACCCGGTCACATCTACGAGTCAAGATGCCAAGAGACGACTGATTCAACTGAACGGACAAGATGCAGGTCTCGTCTCAACTTCGGGTTTTGCGCCGCCGCCGGCGGGCTAAAACGACATACCATAGTCCGAAACAGGCCAACGTCCACTTGAGAGCAGCTAACCTCACCGCTCGCGAGTGGCAGAAGCACCTGGCCGCCTCTGCCAAACCACACCACTGCGAGAGGCGCCCCGAGAGTGTCGGCTTGGTTCGGGCACTCGGGTCTTGGAAGGGTGATGGGGTGCGGGCTGTCCCAGAGTCTTAAATGTCTTGGGGAAAATGGCGCGTTGACTCGGTGGCGCTCATCACCGGGTTTCCCGGTTTTGGTGGTAAACGAAACGCAAGGAAAGAAAAGAAAAGAAACACACGGCCCTTTGCGCGCGCGCGACCTGACGTGTTGGCTTCGAATCGCAGTACGCCAAAACAAAACATCCGCGAGTCGGTGCGGCAGCGCTCAGCCACCCATGGTCCCTTTTTCCCTGCTCCCCTCATCGATCCGCGCCATTTCTCCTCCTGCATATGTCTCGAGCCCGTCAAGCGCATCTCCCCCAATGAACAACCAAGACCGCCATGGCCGTCGGACGTGCCACGGAAGGTTTATCAAAAAGGGCCTGCGCCTCCCTTCCCCTTTTTCGATCGTGATCTCCAACAGGGGGCGAATTGCGTGGCCTGCCCTGATGATTCCTCCCGTGCGCTCCCGCCCTTTAAACAAGCAACTACCACCGGCCTCTTCAAGCTGGCGCAGCCATTTTCATCCAGACCATTTGAGCGGCCGACCATGTCGCTCAACCCATCATTCCCAACCGACAGGTTCGGCCCTGGCTTCACGGTCCCCTCGGCCGTGACAGTGACGGAGGGAGGACGAACCATCACACTCACACCCACGCCGGAACCGCAGCCGACCTCCGAAGGCACACCATTCCCCGATAACATCCTGCAACAGTCCGGCCTCGCACCGGGGCAGATCATCGGCATCACCTTGGGCGCCACCTCGAGTCTCGTCCTCTTCGTCGTAGCCTTGGTCTGGTTCTGGAACCGCCGGAGGGCCAGGGCGCAAGCCGCCCGCGACGAGGCCCTCGACACTGTCATGGACGACCCGGAAAAGCCCGACGAAGCCACGCTGATGGGCACCAATAACGGAGAGACAACGGAACTGCCGGCTCCGAGAGGGTTACACGAGATGCCCGAGACACGAGAAGGGCCAGCTGTGGAACTACCGGCTCCCGTCGAGAGGCACGAGATGCCAGCCTAACAATTTCCAACTACGGCAGCGAAGATCAGCAAGTCGTAGACTTGACGTTTTGAATGGGATCCGATGAACGAATATGGAATGAGACTTACGATACCCTCGCTACGCATTGCCATCAATTGCAGCATAATTACGGCACGAGTCGAACTCTGTGAGAAAGACTCCCTTTCATAAAAAAAAGTAACACTTCTGGAGAGTATGGATGGTCAAGGTCAATGTCTTGTGTAAAGGAGAGATTGAGATGAGCCAGCTGTTAGGCGACCGATATGTACGACCAACGCATGTTGTTCCATTAGCGTAGAAATATCTCTGCATCGTAATCAGAATGAACACAAATCAACACAATAAGTCCCAGTCTTGTCGTCGGTGAAGATCTGCCAGTTCACTGTGCTACCCCCATCGAGAAGGGGGCCCGGCAGTCTTGCCGGGATCCTGGGTCAAAATAGCGCGACCCAGCGCTTGATTTACCGACATTGTGTACACAGGCCCATGAAAGCCGTTCTGTTTGTTTCTGAAGTTCGAGAGAGGAGAACTTGCTTCCAATCCTTGATAACCACCTTGAAGCTCCCTATTGCCATGTTGAGCACACCCCAGTTGATTGCCTGTTTTGCAGGAGGACCGCATAAACGGCGCGTGGCAGCCCAATCCAAAGGCCTACCCCTTGTTGCCAGCCTCAGGGGGGACTCCTGGCTGCCTACGACTGATTCTCACCGTAGGTTGACGGGGCTATACTAAGGTCGATGTCAAGCTCCTTCATGAAAAGGTCGTCAAGGGTGCTGCCATCACGAGCGTAGACCCATGCGCCGGCAGCAGTTCCTTCCTTGTCGTTCTGCGAGTCGCCAACAACGACCCAGTCGTAGCGCTTGGGGCCTGAAACGGGAGACGAGAGCCAGATCTGCTTGTTGGGGGGCTGCTTATTGATCACATAGGTGCCGACCTCCGGGAAAGTGACAGTGAGAACACCGGCCTGTATCGTTTTTGTCAGATTCTACATTCGATGCCAAATAGAGGGTCAAGAGTGGCTATGAGACAAAGTCCAGTTGTGCTTCGTCAGAAGGTCATTCGCTTACAGCATACTCAACGTCAACACCCTCACGAGCATCAGCTATCTCCTCTAGCTGCGTAAGAATGGTCTCGAGGTGAGCGTCGGATAGTTCGTGATATTCGGCATCTGTGAGTTCAACGACATTCATCTTGACTTCTTCCGTGGGCGTCTCCTTGACCTTGGGGTCGTCAGTATCGGGCATGATACCGCGTGTAGAAGCGGCCGACGTTGTGAAAAGCTTGCGGGCCGGGATAACAGAGGCAGCAGGCTTGGAGGCGGACAAGAGGAGAGCAGAGCGGCGCGGGACTGCCAAACGGGCTTGCGATGCGATGGGGAGGGCGCGAGCGGCCGCGCCGGTGAGCTTGGTGATGTTGCAGCGGGCCATGGCAACTGTAGATGATTGGATTCAAGCCGGATTGACCGTTTCTGTTGTGGTGTCGAGCTATTGATTCGTCGATCAGTTGTATGAAGGAGAGAGAAGGGAATTGTGGTCGATCAATAAATTAGCTTCTTAGAAGAACGGCAGGCAAAAGGTAGCTCTTCAGCTCCTTCCCCACGTCACTGCAGGGTGTGACGGGAGCTGCAGGTGCAGCTTCGATCGGCGGTTGATGGAGAGAGCAAAAGCTTGGACCATTCTTGGGTCCGGCAGGGTGATTACGTCAGAAAGTCATGTGCCTGGTACGGCCAGTGCACCTTTCGATTTGGAGCGGGTAGCGGAATGGCCTTCGCAGGTGCTGAGCCAGCTAGACCCCACCAAAGCGTAGCGCATCGCCCGCGGGATCGATTACTCGCCAGCATCAAACACACCAGGAAAGTCGGGATGCTCAGACGACAGAGAATACAATGATCAACGCCTTCCTGGTCTTCAACGGCCAGGGTCAGCCTCGGCTGACCAAATTCTACACGCAGCTGGTATGCAGTCGCAAGGGACACGCTTAGGGACGTCGATTGACCCATCGTCGCAGGAAACTAGCATGCAACAGCGCTTGATCTCCGAGATCTTCACTCTCGTTTCCAACCGCCCGGCCGGCTCCTGTAACTTCCTTCCGCTTCCTCCTTTACTCGCTGCCTCGGGTACCTCACACTCGTCGTCGGAAGAGGAAAACGACGTGCCGTCTCTCGTCACCTACCGTAACTACGCGACCTTGTATTTCATCGTCATCTCGACATCGACCGAGTCGCCCCTTGCCCTGATCGACCTAATCCAAGTCTATGTCGAGGCACTCGACAAGCTTTTTGAGAACGTATGCGAGCTAGACCTCATCTTCAACTTTGAGACGTTGCACGCGACATTAGGCGAGATGATTGTGGGAGGAGTGGTGATAGAGACAAATTTGGATCGCATCGTGTCTGGGGTAAGGGCGCAAGGCACCGTGGCCAAGCGACCGGTCAATGAAGGCCGGAGCGGGGGTATCGGCGGTGGACTGGGCATGGGAAGCAACTTCGTCTGGCACGGGCGGTAGCTTAGGCCATTTCTGCGAGGAATATATTCACTGTTCGAACAATGTGGTGTTACATAGGGCCTGTTTTCGCCGGGTATTCAAAATGCCATAAACTCCTTCTAATGCTGATGCTTTGACGTCGACTGCGAGCTTATTTCGTTGTCTCGGCAGGAGCGGACGCTTCGGGCGCGTCTCTACGTCTCTCGTATCGTTTGTCGGAGTCGAGGACGCCAAATACGCCGCGGAAGCGCTTGCGGATCTGGCGCGATGAGTTAGTACAGTTCGTGCTCTGGGTTTGCAAGGCTACATACCTCTTCGGAGGGCCTATACTCCTTGCCAAAGAACTCAAGCTCGGAGAAGAATAATGTATAGCCAAGGAAACCTGCTGCCCGTCAGAACAGATCCTGATCAGCACCGCAGTGTTCTGCACGAACCAAGGACGGTCGCAAGCTGAGCAAGCTTAACGGCTTTATTCCATCGCGGCCGCGCATACACCAATGCTAGGCGTCGCTTGTACTTCTTTTCGAATCGAAGCTGGGACTGGGGTGAGAGATTCGTAAAGTCGGGAGGCCAGACTTTCTTCGTGCGGTATGGATTGTTGAAGACTGTGAGCTTGGAAGCCGCTTCTTGGGCCGCTCTTCGTACGAATGTGGGAAACATATTCCAAGCGATCGGAGCTTGTTCGTGATCACAATGGCTGGTGGTGGTTAAATGGACGAACTGAAAAGGCATGATCTAAACGGTGCGGCGCCTTCGACCGTTGGCAGCTTGTTAACGTGCTAAGCCACACCTCGTGTCGTAGCCACACATAGCCATTAGCCACATTAATACGTACCGATCAAGGGCCTCTCAGGCTGTCCACCTGCGACACTGCAAGCGTGGCGATCTGAACAGCGGCCAGTGACCGCTAACAGTACCCCGCCATAACCACCCAAGTCATCGCGGGGCACACTCAGCCTCGAAAAAAACATCGGAGCTGCGACGAAATCCCCCCCACGTTAGACTGTGACTCAGGACTCTCTCGACCACGACATCCCGAAGGAGCAGAAACGAGCACGCGATACCCGGCAGTGACTCGTAACGCCCGGCGCAAGAACCATTGTCGAAGCACATAACTACGCATCGAGTGGCTGGAATTGGCCCCCGCTGATTCCACCTCCACGATATCGAACGAGTAACCGCAATCATGGCCAACGAAGCCGCCAAGGCCCTCGAGGCCCTCCAGGTCTCCAAGACCAAGGAGCTCAAGGGAACCGAGAAGCGCGACTTCCTCATTGCCTTCGAGAAGAAGTACCAGCAGAGATGGGCCGACGAGAAGATTTTCGAGGTCGACGCCCCGTCCACGAAGGAAGTCCCTCTGCACTCCATCACTGCCGAGGAGCTACGCCAGCAGCAGCCCAAATGGTATGATACAATCGTGTAGATAAATGTAACGAATGTTGACAAGAGGACAGGATGGGCTGCATGGCCTTTCCTTACATGAACGGTCGCCTCCACGCCGGTCACTTGTTCTCTGTGAGCAAGGTCGAATTTGCTGCCGGTGTAAGAGAAGTCACATAACAAGAGTCGCAAGGGAAAAGCTGACGGCGTGATCCAGGTCGCCCGTATGCAGGGAAAGCGCGCTCTATTCCCCATGGGATGGCACGCAACCGGTATGCCCATCAAGGCTGTGGCCGACAAGCTCAAGAATGAGGTCGCCATGTTCGGCCGTGACTTTGAGGGATACCAGGAGGAAGAGGTTCTCGTCGACGACAAGCCCGTCGAGGCCAAGGCGGCCCGTGACGATATCACCAAGTTCTCCACCAAGAAGAGCAAGGCGAATGCCAAGACGATCAAGGCCAAGTACCAGGTATGCTGCGGCTGCTAGGATCCCGTGAGAATTGTCCCTGATTGCTTCTTAGTTCCAAATCATGGAAGCCATGGGTATCCCTCGAAAGGATATTCACCTCTTCGCCGACGCTTCCTACTGGCTTGAATTTTTCCCCCCTTTGGCCCAGGATGACCTGACAAGTCTCGGCTTCAGAATTGGTTCGTGGGATTCCACTCCCATCAAAGTATGATTGACTGACCGGCAAAGATTGGCGCAGATCGTTTATCACCACCGAGGCCAACCCCTACTTTGATGCATTTGTGCGCTGGCAGATGATCCGCCTCAAAGAACTGAACAAGATCAAGTTCGGCAAGAGATACACTATCTACTCCATCAAGGACGGTTTGTACTTGCCCGTATGTCGAATTCATTACTGTTTGCTGACCCCTCGAAGGACAGCCTTGTATGGATCACGACAGAGCCGAGGGTGAAGGTAAGTTCCTCGCAAATCCTATCATGCGGCTCAATGATCTAAATCTGTCAAAGGCGTTGGTCCTCAAGAGTACACCGGGCTCAAGATGAAGGTTCTCGAGTGGGCGCCCAAGGCTGGAGAGGCCCTCAAGTCTAAGCTGCCCGCCGATGCCAATGTGTTCCTCATCCCAGCCACCCTGCGCCCCGAAACCATGTACGGCCAGAATGCCGTCTTCGTGTCCCCCAAGATTACCTACGGTGTTTTCAAGGCTTCCGACAAAGACTACTACATCATGACCCAGCGGTAAGCTCGCGTTGTATTTCTTACCTAGATGGGGAACTGACATCTCAAAAGTGCTGCTCGTAACATGGCCTACCAAGGCCTTTTCGTCCAGGACGGTGTTGTCGACCAGACTACCGAGATTGACGGTTCCGCCCTCATTGGTACTCGCGTCCATGCCCCCTTTTCCGTCCACAAGGATGGCGTCCGTGTCCTTCCTATGGAATCCATCCTGCCTACGGTACGTTTAATCATTCGCTACTATCTGGCACGACTGACACCCCCCAGAAAGGTACTGGTGTAGTCACCTCCGTCCCCTCGGACAGTCCCGCCGATTGGGTCATGACTATGGACCTCCGCAAGAAGGCCGCTTATTACGGTATCGAGCAGGAGTGGGCCGAGCTTGAGATTGTGTCCATCATCAACACCCCTTCTGGAGACATGATTGCCAAGACTCTGTGCGAGCAGCTCAAGATTGCTTCTCCCAAGGACACTGTTCAGCTTGACAAGGCCAAGGAGACTGCGTATTCTGAGGGCTACTACAAGGGTATCATGAACATTGGCGAGTTCAAGGGCGAGGCCGTCGAGACTGCTAAGCCCAAGGTTCGCCAGTCCCTGATCGACCAGGGTTTAGCGTTCGTCTACTCTGAGCCCGAGCGCAAGGTTGTCAGTCGGTCAGCAGACGAGTGCATCGTTGCCCTGATGGACCAGTGGTACCTCGACTACGGAGAAGAGTCTTGGAAGAAAACTGCTCTCGACTGGGTTGAGAACGCGGACGGCAAGGGCCTGAACACCTTCAGCCACGAGACCAAGAACGCTTTCCAGGGTGTTCTCAACTGGCTCAACCAATGGGCTTGCGCAAGATCGTACGGTCTTGGTTCCAAGCTGCCTTGGGACCCGCAGTTCCTCGTCGAGTCGCTGAGTGACAGTACGATCTACATGGCGTACTACACCATTGCCCCCTACCTCCACAAGGATATCTTTGGCAAAGAGAAGGGCACTGGTGGCATCGGCCCCGAGCAGATGATTGACGAGGTCTGGGACTACGTCTTCTGCCGCCGTGAGCTTGACGACAAAATCCTCTCGGAGTCAAAGATCTCCAAGGAGACTCTGGAGAGCATGCGCCGCTCCTTCGAATATTTCTATCCCCTCGACCTTCGCAGCTCCGGCAAGGATCTCATTGGCAACCACTTGACATTCTTCCTCTACATCCATCTTGCCATGTTTACGCCGGAGTATTGGCCCAGAGGTATCCGTACCAACGGCCACTTGATGCTTAACGGAGAGAAGATGAGCAAGTCGACTGGTAACTTTATGACGCTGCAGGATGTTGCACGTAAGTTCGGCGCCGACGCTGCCCGTATTGGTCTGGCCGATGCTGGTGACACCAACGGCGACAGCAACTTCGAGGAAGATGTTGCCAACCAGGCTATCCTGCGTCTGCACACTCTCAGAGGTATGTTTCTGTCTGCCACACGCTGGGCAGGCCAGGTTTGTGCTAACCAAAGTTAGAATGGTGCGAGGACGTCGTCAAGAACAAGAGCGAGCTTCGGACGGGCGAGTTGAACTTCTTTGACAAGGTCTTCAACAACGAGATGAACGTCATTGCGAAGGAGGCCATCCAGCAATACAGTAAGCATGATATCTATAGCTTTAACGCTGCGGCGCAGCTGACTGATGTTCTCTAGCCGATACATCCTACAAGCTGGCTCTGAAGGCGGCTTTCTACGAGTAAGTCTAGACGGCAAATATTGGTCGACACCCCACTAACGCGAGATGGCAGCTTCAACAACGCCCTCTCTTTCTACCGCGAGAGCTGCGCCTCGGTCAAGATGCACCACGACCTGGTCCTGCGCTACATCGAACTCCAGTGCCTGCTCATTGCCGTCATTGCCCCTCACTGGGCCGAGTCGGTGTGGATCGAGATCCTGGGCAAGCCGACGTCGATCCAGCAGGCGACTTTTCCGGAGATACCTGAAACTGACGCGGCGCTTACGGCGGCGAGAAAGTACATTTCGGTCACGGCGTCCAACGTCAACTCTGCCGAGTCTCTCCAACTCAAGAAGAAGGCCAAGGGCAAGGAGACGTCGTTCGACCCCAAGAAGCCCAAGAAGCTCACCATCTTGATGAGCGAGAAGTTCCCACAGTGGCAGCAGGCTTACATCGACCTCCTCAAGGAGATGTGGGACCCCGAGACCAAGTCAGTGGATGATAAGGCGCTCAACGGAAAGATCGCCAAGATGGGCGAGATGAAGAAGGCCATGCCGTTCGTCCAGGGCCTCAAGAGACGTCTGCAGCTGGGTGAGCCGGCGAGCGCGGTCCTGGAGCGCAAGCTGGCGTTTGATGAGAAGGCCGTACTCGTGGACATGATTGACGGTCTCAAGCGCAGTGCCAACCTCGTGGAGGTGAAGATCATTGCAGTAGAGGAGGGCAGCAAAAAGGGTACGGACCTCGTTACGGGTGCTGTGGAGGACAACTTGCCGCCCAACGCCGAAGGCGCTGTGCCGGGTGCCCCCAACTTTTTGTTTGCCAACGTGGAGTCGTCATGAGGTGCAACGGAAGTCGATGGGTCAAGCCAGAGAAGAAGAAAAAAGATGAAGATGAGAGTTATAATCAATGATTACAAATTCTGTTCAAGAGCACACGATTGTTGCATGGGCGTTCTTCTTGGTGAAGAGAGGAGTGTAAGACCGCGCCATGCATTCTTAGTGCCGGGCTTGGCGCGGAGTCGCGTGGCCGGGTTCCTTGCGAGCTGAAATAGCAGCGGTTCGGTTTCCAGCGAAGGGGAAACGGGAGAGAAATGATACGGAACGAATGGGTGTGCTTCTGTGTAGATTTGGGGACTTCCTTGGAGAGCTGTCGCACTGAGGCCCGAAAGAGAGATGTTTGAAAAGTGGTAGTGTGGCTTAAGAGATGAATGTCTGGGGAACAGTGGCTGGTGCGACACTTCCGAGGTGTGATGGGATGGGGCGGCTACTGGATGGAAAAAACCTGGCTGGAACGGGACCCACGTCTTTGCACACACACACTTTATGGAACCCTGGTCCCTGCCTCCCTCTTTTCCATTCTACCGCCATATTCCGCGCACCACCATCACCACCACCACCAACCAGTCACTCACACCTCTCCATAACTCTCTTTAGAGCACTCGGCTGGAAGACACAGCTATTGTATGTGTGTGAGCGTGTGTGTCGACTCCCAGGGGCCGCGTGGCTTGGCTTGGTCTGGAGCAACATGATATGTTATGATGCACAAAGACGCAAGATCTCTTCCCCCCCCCTCGACACCTCGAGGAAAGGGGGTGAAGGATTTCCATGCAATGACCCGACCAATATCCAGGCACAAGAGGGACAAACGGACAACCGACGCAGCCGCCTTTTTGCTTCTTTTTCCCGCACCTTTGGATGAGTCGATTCCTCTCCCCGCCCACCGACAACGCAGGACCAGTTCTTTAAGCTCCCCGCTTACAGGTCAATGCTCCGATTGTCACCCACCTGCACTTTGTCCCTTGATGCGAAGTGTTGGCTAGGCCCTCCCTCGTCAGGTATGACGCAATTGAGCACGGCGTCGGGTATCGCCAACTTGCTTCAACCCACCCCCCCCCTAGTCCAGCGCGATGACTGGTCCCTTTGTTGGTCGTGACCATGGCTGTAATTGGTACAACCCTCCATGCTACTGGGCAAAGATTCTGGTCGGACGGCCGACGAGGCAGCTCAGCTCAGCCGGTTTGGCTTGTTTGATTTTGTTTTCGCCACCCCAACCACCACCACCACCACCACCACCACCGCCATTTCCACCCTGGACCGAAATGACGAGATGCACTCCCGTGTGTTGCAGGTTTGCGGGAACACGGCAGCTTAGCACCGTTGACAAGCGTCAATCATTCTTCCCATTGTCGGCTCTGGTCGCTGTGGGTAGAAATGCCCCCTCCCCCGCCCAGGTACGGTACCGATCGGATAAATGCCACTCAGGGCAGACTTCTGCCTGCGTTGGGTGAACTCTGATATAGGGACTCGCGCCCAGGAGCTTGGATCCCGGCTCGGCCTGGGTTTGCCTGATATTTTCCCGGCGCGAACCCGTGGGATGATAATGGCGTTCGTCAGAACTCGTCATGGCGGGACCTGCCAAACGAGATGGGATGAGATGGTAGCAATATGAAACAAAAAATCGAGGTGGTAGGGGAGACGCAGGCCTGCTACGACTCATCAGAGGCGTTGCCTCTTTTCTTTCACCGTTGCTGCTGCCATTGACGGGGTTTGGTAGAGAGACAATGAGAGGGTTGCCTGCAAGTGAGGCCATCCCCAGCCATCTCTCTATGCACAAATTCGACGTGGAACCCATCAGAGCTCACAACGAACGCTCATCCCAGCCCTCTCTTTCTCTGGAGCCATCGCTCTTCCGAGCCGTGTCTCTCGGAAGAAACAAACCCACCCGGCTCCCCATGCCCATCCCTGCTCGGCGAACGACAACCCTGTCCCGCCTCGTTCGGCTGCTTCCACCAGCTTACACCCCGTCACCCTCCCCTGTCTGCGCGACCAGTCCAGATCCAGTAGCCACCGGGGCAAGCAAGCAAGGGAAAAAAAAAAAAAGAACAGAGACCATGATGTTGTCGTTCCCGCACCGGATTCCGTAATGGGCCTCTTGGCCTCTCTCCTCAGGCCGCGCTTCCCTGCTTCAGCCAGGCCCTGTACGCATATGCAGAAATCCACAGCACGAAGGTAGCACAGCACACCTCGACCAACCCTTCGTTTTCCACCCCAGGTGCCGTCACAGCCCACCCCCTGGTCGTGATGATGTCGTGCAAAATCGCCATACTTGGCATTGCTGCTGTCACCGACTCGCACAGCGTGCGGCGTACGTAGTGGTACCGGCTTGGTCTTGCCTGTCACGCAAACCCTCACTTCCGGTCTCTCATTATATATCCCCCGTCCGGTTCCTCGCCCACACCGAGTCCCTTCGATTCCCGTGTCTCACTACCCGCAGCCAGTTCCCCAACTCTCGCTCTCAAGCAATCAACTAGGGAGCCTCAGCTTTCAAGTCCAATCGGTCGCTTCCGTCTCGGTGATAACCGGACTTCCTCCTTACTACAGCCCACCTCAAATCAAAAAGCTCCCAGGCTCTTTAAACGCCCCAAGCTACATATCAAAAATGCGTTCTTTCGCCATCCTCTCCGCCGCCGGCCTTGCCGCCGCCCAGATCACCACCATCATCATCACCGATGGTATCACCACGACCCTCACCCTGCCCGCTTTCACCGAGTCCACCCCGCTGGTCACCGTCACCTCCATCGTGCCCGAGACCATCGTGACCGTCACCCCGGAGCCCACGCCCTCCACCACCGTGGTCATCGTCGACGGCACCACGACCGTCCCGGCCGGCTTCACCACCACCACCGCCGTCGTCGTCGACGACCCCCCCGTCACCACCACCATCCCCATCGTCATCCCCACCTACCCCGAGTCCGTCACCCCGGTTCCCCTCCCCTCCGTCAGCGAGTCTGCCAGCACCTTCACCGGGCCGGCCAGCACCGTCACCGGCGCCCTCCCCTCCGCCAACAGTGAGTCTTTCCTCTCAACACGGGCTTATTTGCATACAACTAACACAGTCCCAGCCACGCTCGCCACTCTTACCCAGACCTACTTCACCTCGACCCCCAACGCCACCAGCTCCGGCCCCGTCGTTGTGCCCACCGCTGCGGCCGACAAGCTCCAAGGCTCCGTCGTCGGCCTCGTCGCCGCCGGCATCGCCAGCTTTCTCCTCATCTAGAGAGCCAACGGTCTCGATGAAATTTTCTTCACGCTTAATGAGGGCGAAGCGGGGACGGCCTGCTTCTTATTTATGAATGTCAACATTTCGACGGGAAAATGAGATGTAAGGAGAGGGGCTCCAAGTATGCGGGCCTCTTCTTTTTCTCTTCTCTCGCACATGTATGATGGGTCACGGCTTGGAGCAACGGCGTTGGACAAACTTGCATACGATGATTAATGACTTTAATCACGACGTAGCATTCGGATTGCTACCTAATTTCAAACACAAACATTTCTAAACAACTACTTTTCAAACACCTCACTCTCATAGTGTCGATGGCTGGAACGTGTGATGTGATATCTGGTTGAAGCCTGCCAAGGAACAGACGGAAAGTAGACTTGCGAATTCTATATGTCTGGCGAAGACTGGGTGTCCAACTTCTGCATTCCTTACTGGCCAGTTCAACAATGCCTTGTGCCCGATATGCGCTCCGGTAACATTTGATGCTATATACGCTGGAGCTAGTAGGGCGCAGCGTTTATGCACCGGAGCGAGGCCCCCTTGGGTTTTAACAGCCACATCCCGAACCGCGCCCTTGTTCCGACTTGTTTGCAGAGCTCATCCTCTCTTGCGGTACAGCTCAATCTCCCCCCTCCCGCCAGCCAGAACAAAGAGGGCTCAGGACAGGTCGTGACTCAGGTGCGCCGTAAGACCGAAGCCTCGTATTGCGGTGCGCACAAGTCGCCTATTGACCGCAGGCTCAGGAGGGTATCTGGCTGTGCTTTGAGCTCACACTACCTCGTTGACTGCCGTTCTGTTACAGACGACCGAGGTAGTTGGTTGCCCTTGCTGATGGGGACGGCGTCTGCAACCGCCCTTTTCGGCGCGGCTTCCCGTTGAGACCGGGACTGGCATACTATTGTACATGGCCTGGCCTCTCAAGCGGTGATGGGGACCTGGGAGGCGACCTCGTCGGCGAGCTCGGGGTCGTCTTCGGGGTCCTTAGGGAGATCGTCCTGCGCGCGTTCTTCTGTCAGCCGTGCCACCCTGGTCCGAAGTGCTTTCTTTCTGGAAAAGCAAGATGAAGAAAAAAAAAAACATACCTTGTCAAAGATGACGCGGATCATGAGGCTACAGCTGGGACATACGGCAATATCCTCGTCGTCACGCAGGTCGGCCAGCGCGATCTGGAACTTGTCACCGCAGGGGCAGGGGTAGTGGTAGATCTGCATGTCCTCGTCGTAAGTCATGTCCTCGATCTCGATCTCGTCGTAGATGGAAACATTGTCGTCGGACATTGCGGCGGTGTCTTCGTCGCGACTGTGGTGTTTTGTGCTGACCGGACGAGTATGTGTTCGGCTTCGGCTCACTGGGATGTGGCGATGGAGTCACCGTCGGCGCAGAGTTCACTGAAGAGGGGGGATGCAGAAAAATGGTACAAAGAAATAAAAATAAAAAAGGTCTCTAATGGTTTGCCCCGCGGTGTGGCTGGTAATGGCTGATTTTCCCCAGAGTCAAGCCACACTATGACCTGTGGCAAACGACAAACTTGCGCCTCAGGCAGCCACACATGGGATCAAATCACATGCCATCGGCATCCGATTCACATGGGAACGGCGGACCCAGACATCCATTTCCGGGGTTCGCCAATCACGCCTCTCCCTTCTGTGGGGCCATGTTTTCTCCAGTGTATACTCTGGGGAGCCGAGGGACAGCGAGGGCAGCACCGGGGAAAGGGTTCCAGTCCGCAGGGAGTCCCAAACAAAGACCCGAGCCCCGACTCGCATACGTACCGATCTAGCCTGTTGAAGGAACCAACAAAGACCGAAAGCATCGTCCGAAGGAACGTGTGACCCCCAGTCATGGCCGTTGGCGACATTCTCTCCCTTCTCACCGACGCCGAGTAATCCCAATAACCCCGCCTCCCCGTCTCCGCGATAACCCAACCGACGAACGACTCGATCCGGGACGAATGCGCTGACGAACTCGATCCCTGACGCGGACGATCATAACCCCAGTCCTAAGCTACTGGTGACGAGGCGCGGCGTGTCCTGCCAACGACGAACTATCCCGCGACAACATCCCCCATCCTCTCTCATCTTCACCCGTCGAACCCCGGTATACCCATTCCCAAGAAATATCCTTGGCGGGGCGCAACGCATCGCCCGCGATGGCCGCTCAATCCAAAGTGTCCCTCATCGGGATCCCCTCGAACCGCACCATCACCAACCTCGTCCTCCAGCTGACCCAGCTCTACCTCGCCAACCGCTCGCGCATCTCCCGCGCCGTCTGGATCACCCTCTTCGTCGCTCTCGCGAACCGCATCCGCCATGCCATCTCGGAACAGAAGGCCGCGTCGGCGCGCGAGGCCGCCGCCCGCGAGACCCGCGCCACCGTTGCCGTGCCGGACGAGGACGTCACCAAGAAGCGCAAAAAGGTCGAGCTGAACCGCGAGTTCTTCCGCTCGCTCATGCGCCTGCTCAAGATTGTCATACCCGGATGGAGGAGCAAGGAGGCGCGCCTGCTCATCAGCCACTCCTTCTTCCTGGTGGTGAGGACGTTGATCAGTCTCAAGGTCGCCGCGATGGACGGCGCCATCGTCAAGAGTCTGGTCAAGGGTAACGGGAGGGAGTTTCTGACGCAGATTGTGTGGTGGATGCTGATCGCCATCCCCGCGACGTTTACGAATTCAATGGTTTGTCCACGACGCTTTGCGGGCCCCAAATGATGAAGATGCTAATACGGCGACGCAGCTTTCCTACCACCAAGCAGAGCTGTCGCTCAAGTACCGGACACGGTTGACGCAGCACATCCACGATAAGTACCTCTCCAAATTGACTTTCTATGGCATCTCCGCCCTCGACGACCGGATAAACAACCCCGATCAATTGATCGCCGTCGACGTCGCCAAGTTCTCCAACAGCTTAGCCGAGCTCTACAGTAACCTGGCGAAGCCGATCCTGGATATGGTAACTAACCCCCCCTTTCCGTCCCTTCCCTCTCTCTGTCCAACCGCTGACCACCACTCAGACCATCTACACCCATTCGCTATCCCGCAGCGTCGGTGGCGAGGGAGTCGTCACCATGGCCCTCCTCGTCCAGCTCTCCGCCAACGTCATGCGCGCACTCACGCCGCCTTTCGGCAAATACGTCGCCGACGAGGCCCGTCTCGAGGGCGAGTTCCGCTTCCAGCACTCGCGCCTGATTGACCATTCGGAAGAGGTCGCGCTCTACCACGGCCATGAAGCCGAGAAGGACACCCTCGACAAGGGCTACTTCACCCTCATCAAGCACGTCAACTACATCCTCCGGCGCCGCTTCTACCACGGCTTCATGGAGGACTTTGTCATCAAGTACTTCTGGGGTGCCCTCGGCCTGCTCCTCTGCTCCGTGCCTGTCTTCGTCAAGATGCCCGGGCACATCTCCATGAACATGGGCGACCGCACAGAGAGTTTCGTCACGAACCGACGCATGCTGCTGTCCGCGTCCGACGCTTTCGGGCGCATCATGTTCTCGTACCGCGAGATCATGGAGCTGGCGGGCTACACGTCTCGCGTCGACTCCCTCCTTGAGGTCATGAACGACATCCGCGCCGGCCGCTTCGAGAAGAAGCTCGTGTCCAGCTCGGGAACCGAGAACAACGAGGCCGTCCTCAAGGGCCGCGGTACCGTCGTCGAGAGCAAGGACATTGAGTTTATCAACGTGTAAGTGCCCGCAACCCCATACCCACTCATGGAAGAAACTAACCCGAGCAAGCCCCATCATCTCCCCCAACGGCGACGTCCTGATCAAGGCCCTCTCCTTTTCCCTCAAGCAAGGCGACCACCTCCTCGTCGTCGGCCCCAACGGCTGCGGCAAGTCGTCCCTCTTCCGCATCCTGGGCGGCCTCTGGCCCGTCTACGGCGGCACCGTCTACAAGCCCCCATTCTCCGACATCTTCTACATCCCGCAGCGGCCTTACCTCTCCCGCGGCTCCCTCCGCACGCAAATCACCTACCCAGACTCCCTCCGCCAGATGCGCGCCAAGGGCGTCACCGACGCCGACCTCCTCTCCATCCTGACCCTCCTCGGCCTCGAGCACCTCCCGGGTCTCTATGACGCCGGCTGGGACGCCGAGGCCGAGTGGCGCGACGTCCTCTCGGGCGGCCTGCAGCAGCGCGTCGCCATGGCCCGTCTCTTCTACCACCGCCCGCGGTACGCCATCCTCGACGAGTGCACCTCGAGCGTCACCCTCGAAACGGAGAAGGTCATGTACGACAACGCAAAGGCCCTCGGCATCACCCTCATGACCGTCAGCCATCGCCGCAGCTTGTGGAAGTACCACAGCCGCATCCTGCAGTTCGACGGCCAGGGCAACTACGTCTTCACCAAGCTCGACGCCGACCGCCGCCTCAAGCTCGAGGACGAGAAGGAGGACCTCGAGGTCCTCCTGCGCCAGGTGCCCGAGATCGAGAGACGTATCGCCGAGCTGACGGCTGCGTAAGCGAGCGAAAAGAAAACAGTCGCGGCGGCTGCTGGGCAAGGGAGAGAAGAGGGGCGTTGTTACTTACGAAGGCACGGGTCCAAGGAAAAAAACACGAACCTGCGTAGTATTTACAGGGCCCGCCTATAAGAGGCTCGAGTGGGAGAAGGGAAACGGAGGGAAAGGGGGTATCATCAGCATGATTTCATTGATTTACGGAAAGCCGCAATTTGTACATAGTATAGAACGCACGACGACACACACACACTGGATCTGGCGTAGAACTGGCCCGGCAATCGAAAGACTTTAATGTTACACTTTCATTTTTCATCCCTGGTTAGGCCTGTGAACGAGCAACCCCCCCCCCCCCCCCCCCCTCCCCGCCTGTACGCACACGGTATGGCTGCGCCCAATCCTCAACACCCTCGCAGAAAGAAAACCAAATATTACAATGCTACCCGGCCTCGCAAAGGGTCACCATAACTCAGTCTGCTCGGTATCATTTCCTGTTCTCCAACGCAAATATCAAACTGCTTTGGGTCGCTCACCTCACGCTGTGCAGATGCGAGGTATCAAACCTGTCCTCCGCTCGCCATATTCCAATAATATCCCATCAGACGACTTCAAACCCTTCCCGCCAAGCCCTGCTACAAGACCTAAAGCCCTTCACGGCCCTGGTGTTCAGCCGTAGGGGTTGTTTCGGATGGAGACGGCAGTCACCGCTATGTATGCCGTCCTCAAGCAGCAAGATACGCTCGCTATCTGCCTAGCACTCGCAGCAGACCTCTTGTTGACATCTCGAACCTTGGGCTTGTCCGTCCGAGTAAGAAACTTTCCGCTGCCTTGCCTCCGCTAGAAACGGGAAAAGGTCTCTCTCTGGCTGGCTGCCGACTACACTAGAGACGCAATGCCTCGGCACCGGACGCTGTGCGTCTGTTCCCAGGTAGTGTAACAGCCCCAGCAGAATTCGTAGCGGCACTTGATGCCTATGATAATGTGAGCATAGGTTTGCGCCAGGTTACAGTGTAGCACCATTCCAGGGACAGGAACGAGGCGACTACGCAAAAGGGATGAAGTGTTCACTTACATGTCATGTGCGAGCTGTTTAATGGGCGTTAGCATACATGGGTTTGCTCAAGAAAAATATCTCGAAAAGAGACTCACCAACCAGAGTTCTTCTCAATGGCCCAACCACATCCAGGGCACGGTTTTGTCGTTTGGTCCACAGTTATCCGACTCTGTTCTTCTTCAGCTTTGCGCCGGGCAGCAACTTTCCTGGCTAGGGCCACTGCTCTGCGTGCCCGTTCCCTTTCGTCGCGTTCCTTGCTCTCACGTTCATGTACCTCTGCCTGCTGCTCCGCCATGAGGCCCTGGGCCACGGCGCGGTCGGCATCCTCCAGGGCCTGTCTCGCCGAGTCCAGTTCCTCGTATTCCATCTCGATACGGGAGCGAAAGTTCTCGGGATCTCGTAGCAACGCATCATATTCCTCGCATGTCAGATTTTCGTGCCACACGACGTTGTGATTAAAGCAAGAGCGCTGGCCGCAGTGTAAGCAAGTCACCTTGGGCTGACCTTCCACGTCGTGGAGCTGACCGGAGCCGCAGTTTGCTGTGCACCAGATAAATCTATCGGCCTCGGCCATGGCCGCTCGGAGGGCCAGAGCCTCGTACCTGATGACCCGTCAGAAGACGATGCTCGCTGTTGGGAAGTGTAACTCTGGCAGACTTACCGGGCAAAGGTTTCCTCATCTGCGTACTTCTGAATGTCGACGTATTCCAGAAGCTCGCGACACTCTGGACACCGAATGTCTGTCCACAGCTTGCTGTTGAAGTCTGATTTGATGGACATCTGCAGACACTCTAAGCACGCCTCGGGTGGGTGCGTACACGTAGGCGTAATACTTAGGACAGGGAAAGATGATGAACCCCTTGTCTCGGCGCAAATGGGACATTCTCTCGAACCTCCAACATCATTGAAGGGAAGTCTCTGTCGCGTAACGACGACATCTGTGGTGTCTGTTGCCTTGTGATATCTTTGGCCGAAGCTACTCCTTATTAGCCTTCACAGAAACGCAAAAACTCTGAGAATGAAAGCATTTGATAGTCACAGTTCCGAAAGTAAGCATTCTGTAAGAGGAAAGCGTATCTGATTTTGTCCTAGACCAGAGGGGACTCGCCCACCTGAAGTCATCAGCTCCGAGATCAGCAGAGCGCGATCCGGAACCCGAGTCCTGGCTGCGCAAAAAGGCGACCGTCATGGCCTGTTCCTTCTGCTCGAGGAGAGCCATATACGGGTTGTTTGAGGTCAACGAGGCCAGTCTCGAGTTGGACCTGGGCCTTGAAGCAGGCGATTGAATGGGTGGCGTGCTAGCGGCGGTGCTAGTAGTGTCCCCCGTGTTCTGCGGCGAGAAGGGCGCGATATCAATGTCGGCAAGAATCGACGCCGGCGTGGGGAGGAGATAGCCCCTTTGCCGCGGCTGAGACAAGGCAAACGAAGCCGCCGTCTCTGTCTCTGACGGAGTCGCCTTGGGTGCCGGTATGGGTAAGTCAAAGTCGGCCATGATCTCGGCGCTAATACCGCGGTAGTAATGATTACGTCGCGGGGGCTCCCGGGAGGGTCCGGAGAGTTGATCCTGGGGAGGGGGTGTCACCTGCGTCGAGGGCTGTTCCTCCTCTACCATATTCTCTACGTCGATGGCCATTTCCCAGTCATACTCGGGGGGTGCAGTATCGAACCCTTCGTCGCTGAAACTCCCCATCAGGGAGGAGTTGGCAATGGAATGATAGCTAGGCGGCAGCCCGGCGTTGGGAGGGGCGAACATTCTGGTCAAAGAGGCAGAATCGACGGGGGGAGCATATCTCGGGCCCGAAATGAGAATGCGTCGTTCTTTGGCTGTTGCAGTTGGTCCCCGGTTACTGATCCTGCTCAAGAAGTTGATGTTATTGTCGGGCCGACTAATGATGGGCTAAGAATACCGTTGACAGGCAAGTCGTCAGTATGCAGGGAGGACGTCAAAGGGTTTGTCAAGTAGCATGGTATAAGTCCGGTCAGGGACTCCAATTCGAGAGTGTCAAGGTTGCGAGATGAGGCAGGTTGATCCTCATCAGCGTTCGTAGGTGACCGCTCCCGCATGCGGACAGGGACCAGCGAAGAGGAGACACAGACAGTCGGGGTCCAGACTCTGTCCTTCGTTGATCGTGCTGGAAGTTGCCAGGGAGTTCGTGCTTACGTGCGTCAAACATGGCGAGGTTCGGCACGCTCGCTAGGGTATCCCAGCCTTTATGCTTGGAGTGGTTACTCGGACCTTTAACCTTGCATCGGCCGTTCGAGCATACGACTGATGCATCCAAGCCGCAGGCCAAAGAAGTGTTGCGTACACTGAGTGGATGAAGCAGTATATTAGGGTGCTGTGCCAACGAGAAGGGATGGCCCGATGGCCGAGGGATGAGTTGGCCTCATCTTGGGATGTTCCGCAGTCTGTGTTGGACAAGAATGGCAGTGTTGTTTGTCTGAGAGAAGGCGAGGCGCTGGCGCCCGACGCATGCTTCGAAGTGGTTCTAGACTGAGGCGCCGGCTCTATCATGCAAGGAGTAACATGGACTCTGTGAGGCGGGTTGTAGTGCAGCTTGGCTTGCTTTGCTACGCGATGCCATGCTCTCTTTCAGGACGATGGCGGCCAAGGCATTAGAGTCAACGAACAGGAGGATCATGGGGCGAGGCTGGACAGGTCAACTTTGGGCCATGGAGGCAAAAATGGTTCCAGGTCTAAGTCCGAGTCGTTCATGCAATGGAAGGAACGGACCTGCAAATGCAAGGGAAAAGGAAGAGGAAGGAGCTTTTGGCGGAGGTACGTATCTCGGCAGGGGCCTCCCTTGACTAAAGTTTATCGCTGTCGCCCGCCGTTAGGTTAGCGGCATCTCCACTGGAAAGAAATCTGGCTTGATTAGCACCACCAGTGGCTTCGGCTTACACCAACAATCCAGGCCATATGTTGAGATGCAGTAGGAAAGCTTGTATAAGTGAGATCTCATCCATATTCGTTTCATCTGCCATTGGAGCCTTGCCATCCCGCGATGAGTATGCTACCAGCTAATCTGCATGACATACGTGTCATGTCCTAACCACATGCGCAAAGTCTCGTAACGAAATTGTAACCTCCTAGATAGTTACTGGGAAAGTAAACCAGCCTGCGTAGGAACCTAGCCCCCCCAGCGGAAAGTTGCCCACCCGCCCGCCTCTTGCCTTTCACGATCGCTCCTAGCACAATAGAGATGGTACAACAGCGTGCGGTCGCCGCTCTCATGGAACTTGATCCGCTTCTCCTGCGGACCCCACGCTACCAGCATCTGCTGTCGTCGTACCGTCTGCGGCTCCTTGATCGAGTCGTTTCGGCCAATCTGTCGCATATAAAGCGCCGGAGCAAGAGTGCAGACGTTGAACATGTGGTGGCAAAGTTCCATCTTTGAAGGTGGCGGGTCCATCTTGGCAAAGTTGACAGCCTTGCGGTTCTGGAGCACGTTCTTGCAATCGAGGTCTACTAGATTGTCAAAGAAGTCGGGTGACGTCTCTATTTCCCCGTCGGGGCCGCATATGATGTACGGGTTGATATCGAAGTAGAAGTGGTTTGTTGACACTTGCATCTTTTCGTATAGCTGCATCGCCGGCTTGATGCAGTGGTTTCCAAAGCTATTCAAAAACCACTCCGTCTTCTCCCTCCTGCAAAGTATCCTGAAAATGCTCGCGAGCTCCTCGGTTAGTTCCCGCGCTTTCTTGTCCCTGCAGCTCTTAAAGTCTCGTGAGCTCAGGATGGCATTGTATGCCTCGGCAGTCCAGGTTCGAATCGCGAAAAGATCTGTGTAGTGGGTTAACCCCAATCCCCAGGTGCAAGAGATGCTTCCTACCTCGCTTAGGCTCCACCTGGTACTGTAGGGCCGTCTCCACGAAGCTGAGTACTTCCACGTAGTCCGCAATCGAGCCGTAGAGAGCTTTTTGAAAGATGTTGTCGTTGAGGAATCTCATGATGATGGCAACAACGATATCCTCGTCCGTCTCTGGAAACGTGGAACCTCTAACCAAATCCGGGTACATGTGTATGGCTCGCTTCAAACGGAGGGCATCGGTGGGCTTCCGCCGGGCATTCGTGAGAATGTCCTCGACACCCTGGTTGTAGTCATCGAGGATAGGGTCCATGAATTTGGACACCCAGTCGGTGATGCCTTCAACGAGATCGTCATATTCCTGCACCCCTTTTAGAGATGATCGATAGCAGAGCACAAGAAACTGCACTTACGCGTCCGACTTCTTCGGGCGTGATCTCCTTACGGTAGGGTTGCAGGCTGAAGATGTGAGATTGCGCATCTCTAAGCTGCTCCTTCAACGTTGAGTTCTCTGTTTTGAGCTGTTTGAGCTTGGGGGCCGACGAATCTTCGTCCGTTTCCATCTCGTCAACGGCGGAGCTCATGTCGGCCTTGATCTCGCCAATCCGTTGCTCCGCACGCTCTGCCTTTTCCTCGGCGATTTCGGCCCGTGCCGTCGTCGATTCGAGTTGGCGTCGAAGTTCCTCAATCTCCTTTTGCAGGGCCTGCCCATGTCTACTGTCCATGTCGTGTCCTCCACCGCTGGCTCGGAAGGCAGGGATATTGTTGAAGGGTTCTTTTGGGGGCGGAGAAACATCAGCCTCGAGATCAATGAGGTCGCATTCGGCCAATTTGGACGACTTGGTGGCTGAAGCAGTGTGTTGGGATTGATGAGGATGGTAGGGAGCAGGATAGTTGTGAAAGCGGGTGGCAACAAGGCCTCTCGGCAGAGGTTGCCTTGGTCCCTTGCTCTGTATGCCATGCTGCTCCGGAACTGACACCTCAATCTTTGCGAACCCCATATCGTGAGATTGGAAACTGACGGATGGACTGACCGGCTCGGTGGTGATGGTTACTTAGTTGTTGTAGACTGGCCTGTAGCGAGGTCTCATTTTGTCGAGGATGGTAGATGAGACGTCACTGCTGAGGGGATTCTTCTCTGGCACGAGCGTTATGCGGCCCTCGCGGCACTGTGTTCAGGTATGCCACAATCGTTTGGTGTCTTCCATGATGTCGACGGAAGATTCTAGGCAGCGGGATCGACAGAGCGGAGACTGGACGACCAGAGCGAGGTCCGAGAGGTATGAGAGCGCAGGCATGTGCGGACAAAATGTACATGGTAGGGAAACGAACGTTATGCACAAAGGAAAAATGTTTGAAGCGCGTCGTGCGATACTTCATGCCTTGGTTTGCTGTGTTAAAGTCTCCGGGACGGGACCTTCACAGCCGCACTGGGCATGTGATGGAGGCCTGGTGCGGGTCAATGGACCCCGGGACGCCGGAAGCCAGGCAAAGCCTATGGGGAAACCCAAGCTTGTCATGTCAACATCCGCCTGTTTCTCTCGCTAATATTTGTACCCATCACGATCGCGGACACATCGGCTTTTGGTGCTAAGGCAGTTCCCTCCCTTACCTGATATATCTGCCTTGTAGTCTTTGGGTTTGCTTGGAGGGGGGACATCGCAAGGCAAGTCTTGTTGTTTGCCTAGAGAACATTGACCCACCTGGCGCGGTCAGACGAGGCATAATATTGCCCTATCTCAGCTTGATCTATCCGGCCGTGCCAGTCTGAGGTGTGTATCTTCCAGTTCGACAGATGCCCACGCAGACCATCGAGGAGTTCAACCTGTAGGAAAGGCAATGTTCGTTCGGCGGGACCTGCGAGTACTATTGTTCCTGGCCCATTCCTCTCTTGCCACCCATGCTTGATTTTGATTGACTTGGGTGTACTTACTTATGCGTAACTCAAAGGTCTCAGACGCCTAAGATTTCCATGTCTCGCTCGGGCGCAGGTCCCGCCCCCATGATACCGGGCGGACACCGGCGTCTAGGCGATGGACACTTCAGATTCCCACGGACTGCATGATGCTCAAGCGGGATATTCATACTCGGTGACTTTAGTGCTTGAAATCGATCGTCGGTCGCCGTTGCCATCTCTTCAATATGGCATTTCGCTCTTTCCACGTTACTCCCTCGTCCCTCGCCGCAAGAGGAGAAGGCCACCTTCCCTATTGGCCAACCTGGGTGCCGCAGAACAGGGAATGGAATTCCCAAGTACTTGTACCTGCCTTGTTGTGCAGTGTAACACAAGCACCTAGGTACCAGCTACCATGTCCGGCCAGCCGCCTCCTTCCTCTCTCAGAACCTATGTGCCCACCCGTTCATGTAGACTGGCAGGTATTACTTACCTCTCTACCTGTGCATACCTTCCTTGCTTCCTCGAGGTTCGTTCGAGGTGGACAAGGTTCAGCCGATGCTCCTTGAAGCCTCGCACCACCAAACGTTCATGTCTACACAAGCTTCCTCCATTGAAGCTAGGCATGCTCTCCTCGTTGCTTTGGTCTGCCGACCTGATGTTGATATCAGGCATTGCATTTCAACTGGATAAGGCAGTCTGGACAGCATCTTGTCTTGCTTCCACCTTTTTCTCTCTTCACCTCGTCGGCGCCACTGCTTCTGTCTTGTCTCCCAGCATCACGTCTCCCTCCTCCGGCTTCCGCTTTTTCTTGGTTCGAGGCGCATTTCATCACGTCGAGCCCAGTTTTGTTTTCTTTGTGAGAACAAGAATAATCAGGGTGTTAACGTCGATAGTTATCTCTGTGTGTTCTTGCCTTGCTTTGCTATTTACTTTTCTTGGAAACTTTGGCCTACATACGTTTTGCGTAATACCTTGGGTGTCGGCGCTTTATCAATTTCTTCTTTTTCTTCCTCTCTATTACCCACCCCTAACTCCTCTATATAACCAAGCCATGTCATCATCTTCCAAGATGGAAGACTTTGGGAAGCTCTCGGTGAGCGAGCGCAAGATCGTCGTCGGTATTGACTTTGGAACAACATATTCTGGCGTCGCTTGGGCTGAGACCCAGCGTCCCGATCGACGGACCGCAATCACTACATGGCCCATCAGCAGAAATGTCCTTGAAGGCGAATCTTCCGACAAGGTCCCAACCAAGCTCAGATATGTTGGCGACGAGGTTCAGTGGGGTTTCTCCATCCCCATCACCGCACCTCAGGATGAAGTCATTGAGTGGTTCAAGCTGTGAGTGTCTCCTGTCTTTGTCCACGTCTAATTTCACTGTCCTTCAGGGTAAAATGACCAGTTAGAATCATTTAGCTTACATCGTACCAGGGACCTCGATCCCTCTCTCCAGAGCATGGGTCAAGCCGTCTCTGCAGAGGGCAGGGGAGGTCGAAATGTAGACAAATTGGTGACTGACTACATCTCGGCTCTCGGTACCCACTTAAGATATACCCTGAGAGAGAAACTTGGCGAGCAAGTCGTTAAGACCACTCCTCTCGAGTTCGTCGTCACCGTCCCTGCCATCTGGTCGGACCTCGCCAAGGATAAGACCAGGCAGGCCTGCCAAAAAGCCACGGGTCTGACTGCCGCCGCTCCTATTCACCTAGTTTCGGAACCTGAGGCCGCTGCCATCTATGCTCTTCACGGCCTAGATCCGCACGGCCTCAATGTTGACGACACTGTTGTAGTTGTTGATGCGGGGGGTGGTACCGTTGACTTGATATCCTACACCATCACAAGTCTGAAGCCCATCCTCGAGGTTCAAGAAGCCGCTCCGGGGTCCGGCGCTTTGTGCGGTTCCACCTTCCTCAACATGCGATTTGCCAAGTTCTTAAAGGCAAAGCTTGGAAAAGAAGACGGCTTCGACGACGATATCATGGCCGAGGCCATGGAACAGTTCGAGAAGAAGGTCAGTTTCCGACCAATCAATACTTGGTCTATCGTTTGTACTCATCTTCTACAGGTCAAGCGACAATTTACCCTCGGCGCTGCCCCTGATGACACCTACACTATTCCTGTGGGAGGCTTGGGGAACAACAAGGAGCTAGGGATCAGCCGTGGCCGATTTTCCTTGAAGGCTTCAGATCTCCAGACGATTTTCGAACCTGTTGTGCTTGAATGCATCAAACTTGTCAAGGACCAGATCACTGCCAGCAATGTCCCAATTCGTGCCGTCCTCCTGGTTGGCGGGTTCGGGGCCTCTAACTACCTCAAGGAGCGTTTGCGCAACGCCATCGACAAGAGCATCCAGATCATGCAGCCACCAAATGCATGGCAAGCCGTGGTCCAGGGAGCTGTCATGAAGGGTCTAGCGCAAGTGTCCCCCGAGCACCTTACGCAAGTTAGGATCCAGAACCGGAAGGCTCGAAAGCATTACGGAACCGAATGGCGTACCAAGTATGATGTCAAGCTTCACAAGAATTTGGAACAGAAGCGGCACTGGTGCGGCCTCGATGGTTGCTATAAGGTGTACACCATGGAGTGGTTCATCCAACGCGGCGATAATGTCTCCGAGAACGAGCCCTTTTACACATCTTTTGTGTGGACGGGTTTGGTAAGTCAGGGTCGAATCAAGAAGATTAAGATGGATATCTATGCCGACCGAACTCCACGATCCGCCCCCGTCGCTCGCGATGACAACGTTTCCATGCTAGTACACATAGAAGCTGATGTCAGCCATATCCCGGAGAATATGCTTGCCCGTCGCCGGGGCCTTGATGGACAATGGTATTATGAGCTGAACTGCAAAATCGAGGCGGTTTATCTATCCGCTTCAACTGCGTATACCTTGATATATAACAGTAAGTCGCTTCACATACGCTGATCTCGCATCTCATTACTTACTAACTGGCAACAGACCAGCGGTACAGCACTGTTACTGCCGAATATGTCTGATACTGGCAAGCGCTGAGTTAAGTAGGAATAGCATAGGGGCTTTTGTGCTGGGTATGATGTCGTGGGGGTAAAGCAAACAATAGGGTAAGCGCGTCATACATGGTCGATTCTTGTATGTATCGCAGTTGAAGGCTGTTAATTACATGGATTTGTAACATGCACCAAACTTCATCAGAGATGTGCTTTCCTTTATGTCAACCAACTATCCCGAGCGAAGAGATGATCCGCATACCCTTGAGCAGAACAGAGAAAGGGGTAGCCATGTCCAGAACTGACATGCAACGGAGCAGGAGGTTGTGAGATGTCGCTGATTCCCGTGGGAGTAGACACCGTTAGGTATGACGTAAACGCAGAGGATTTACTCAGGAAATCAAGAAGCCCACCAAGCTGCTCGTGTAAAGTTTCAAGGGTGCAGGAAGCCCACGTTCAGTACTTGAGGTCCAACTTCTGTACCATATGAGACTGGGGCAAAACATGCCAGTAGTTGATACCATGATAACGGAGAAAAGCACAAGTTGCACTTTCCGAATACATATCCGCCGGGTGAAGAATAGCGTCACATCCCATTATCCACATCAAGAACAACTAAGAAACAGTCTCCTCTGTCCATCGTGAATGGATAAGATATTTCCAGGTCGTTTGCCAACCATGGAAGCGCAGCCTAAGTTTTGAATCTCAACATTCAGTATGCCCCTTCCCTTTTGGCCCACTTCGGCTGCGGCGCAGGCTCAACCTTTCCAAAGCCAGTCGCGCTGACCATGCCGACCTCCCACTTAAGACCCTCGATCTTGGCGCCGCCCTCCTCCATGGCCCATAGAGTGATGCCGAGGTGGTTTGGACCCTGGTAGTTGAGGATGCCCTCGGGCACGGGAAATCGAGTTTGCGGCCCGATATGGTGCACGAACTTGCCAAACTGGTACCCGTTGACGAATATCTGGGCGCGGTAGGCGGACTCAGTGGTGTTGGCAAACGTCAAGGACAGGGGGATGTCGAAGCCGGCGGGGAGGTCGAGGTCGAACGTCGTCGAGTAGTAGGCGATGCCGGCTGTCTCGATCCCAACAGTGGGACCCTTGCTGGCCTCCCAGGACTGCGAGGGGGGCTCGGGCCAGTGATACCCCTGACGCTCGGCGAAAAGGCCGCCTTCGTTGAGGGGGCCGCGCTCCTTGTCGGTGTAGTCCTCGCCGCCGAGGTTGCCGGTGATCTTCCACCTGATGTCGGACATCTCGTGGCCCGAGAGTCCGTAGTCGAGGATGCCGCGGGGGTTCTTCTGCTGCTCCTCGCCGACGACCCAGTTTCCGTTTAGGCCCATGTGGTCGACGGCGACCGTGAAGACATATTCTCTGTCCTTGGTCAGCTTGGGCAGCGCGAAGGTGCTGTTGCGGCCGGGCGTGACGGCGTCCCCAACCCAAGAGCCGATGAACTCGCCGTCCAACCAGACAGAGGCTCCGTATGCGTTCCCCCCCTGCGTCGTGACGTTGAAGATCGACTCCTCGCCGTTAGCTTTGAAACGGCCGCGGTACAGCAGCGAGCCGGTGTGGTATCCGTAATCGCCCCCGTACAAGCTGACAGGCGTCTTGAGCGGGTGGGCGGTGTTGTACGTCTCTTCCAGGTCGGCGTCGGCCCAAAGCTCGTCCGAGTAGCCGGGTTTGATCTCGGGCAGGCTGTCGATGTACCTCCAGCTCATCCGGCTCAGGCAAGGAAGCTTTATCTCGGGGACAGCGAAATCGACAGTCGCGGTGACGACGCCGTGTTCGTTCTGCTCAAAGTCGAGAGACTTGCCGTTGAAGGTCAAGCTCTTGAGCGGGGTCGGGACGCCACCGATGACCTCGATCGTGGTGGTGCTGTTGACGTCGCCGGAGAAGCCCAGAGAGTCGCCGCCGACTGCAACGTTGCGGATGAGGTAGCCGGCCTTGACAATCACGTCGCAGGTGGCGAAGTCGCCGACTGCCGGGGGGACCCAGAAGTTGTAGGCCTCGTTGCGGGCTAAGGGCGTGTTAGTCACACAGTCAATACATCTTTGATTCTTGTTGGTGACACACTCAAAAGATAGACGTAGAGGTTGGACTGCACGCGAACAACCTTGCGCTCGTCCGAAACAGCCCATCCGAGGACGGTGTAGCCGTCTTTCTGCTCGATGGAGACATCGGAGCCCTCAATGACGTTCTCGTCGGTCACATCGGCCTCCTCGCCCTCGACGGCTAATTCGTGATGTTCGCCGGGGCCGCCGTAGACAACAAGGACGGTCTTGTTCTCGTACTTCTTCCTAAACATAACTGGCATAAGCAGAAAGGCCTTCGGCCAATACGGTTTACGGGGATCACCAACCAGGTGAAGATTTCGGCCGTGGAATATACCAGATTCTTGTCGCCGACGGGGTAGTCGCTGACGTGGATTTTGGAGTCTCTCCTGGTCAAATAGAGGCTGTCGCTGAGCTGGGGCACTTCGAGTTCCCCGTAGCCAACAGTTTTTACTTTCAGCTTGTAAGACACTGTCTCAAGGGACTCGTATTGGGTGTGTCTGATATGACGTGAGCAGGCGTCTACGAGTAGGCAACACCGGTAACGGACCTTGCAATGTAGAACTTGGTCGAGTTGGTCGTAGCAGGGGTGACGGTGATTGCGTCGTTGTTCGTCCATTCGAGAGAAGAGTTGTGTCGGTCAGCCACAAGATAGGCGGGGGAAACGTGAAGGAAATTGGACTGTAGCTTGGTCTCGCTGTACTTCTCACGGTTGACGAGGCGCTCCTCGCTGATTTGTGCTCCATAGTCATAAGAAGTGTAGCCGTCAGAGTGGCCAAGGTTGCCCCAGTTGGTACCACCCCAAGTCTATCCAGAGTCAGACAGGCACAACGAATCCAACCGACATGCTCAACTAACCATGTAGATGTTGAAGATGGTGACGCCAGCGGCGTAGTTGTTCTTGTAAAGAACACGCTCAAACTCGTGATTCAGGAGTGCTGCGCAGTATTCAAACCCGGCACCGCCCCACGGCTGGAAACCACCGCCTTGGAACTACAAGCGATTAGTACCATGTTTTGGGTGATGCAACTGATCCAATCAGTACCTCGACGATGGTATACGGGGTCGTCGGTGCAAGCTTGTTGTTAGTGGCAAGCCAATCAGTTGGAAGGCCGTTCGCGGGCCAAACAGTGGGATTCCAGCAGTCAAAGCCCAGGGGGTAGGCATCGTGGCCGTAAATGTCGACTTTGGCCGGGGTCAAGGCAGTGATGGCCCCAAGCTGCCAGGCTTCGTTATTGACGTAAGGGACGACGACGCCCTGGCTACGGAACTGGTTGTCGACGAATTTCCAATAGTCGTAGTCCGGGAACGGGTACGGGTCGATGGCTGCATTGTACTCATTCTCCATTTGGAAGAGGACGACAGGGCCGCCATTGGTGATCTGCGCTTTGGCAATGATGCTGCCAAGGGTAGCTGTGTAGCTGGGATTTTGTTTCTTCAGTCAGCGGATGCCTTACGGTATAGCCCTTCTCTTCTCTTACTTTTCACTGGCCTCAAGGTAGGCCTCGTCGTTGCTTCGCAGGACTCCCTGGACTCGTTGAAGCCAACCTGGAAAGCCACCTCCGCTGACTTCGGCATTTATGTACGGCCCAGGACGCTGAAGGAAACATTAAATCGTCGTTATACCCGCATTCTGTTGACTATGGGGCTCACGGCAAATAGGTAAAGACCAGCTTTCTGGGCGGCTTCAAAGAGCGGCTCGAGAGCGAAAATGCCCTCGGCGCGGACCTCTCCCGGCTTGGCCTCGAGCAGCCCCCAGTTCACGTAGAACGAAACGGAGTTGTATCCGGCGGCCTTGATCTTTTGGAGGATGTCAAGCCAGAGGGACGGAACGGGCATCCTATTGCCGGCCGTTAATGTCTATTTGGAGCAGTGCAGTCCAGAATGATAGATTTACCTGAACGCATGGAACTCGGCACTGAAAATCATCAGCCTCTTGCCGTTGATGAACAAACTCTTGTCATCCCAAGTAACCTATGTTATGTTAGAAGATTGTCCTTGCCTTGAGATGAGCCAAGGTTCAAGTCGGATAATACTCAATTTGAACCCCCACTGTCCGGGGTACTTACGATGTCTTGCTGTCTTCCATTGAGAAGCTTGATGCCTGCATCGATGGACCTGGCACCGACACCGTCGAACCAGGCCAGAGACAACAGGGCAAGAGCTTTAAGGCGAGATAGTAACATTTTGCTCGAAACAAGATATTACAACCAGAACCCAGTTTCGGTTATATGACGACGCTGTCAATAGAAAATAAGTCTGAACCATCCGGGACTTCCTGGAGCCAGGAACCAGCGTCTTTTTGACATCAACGATATGCACACGATCTTTCCAGGTGTTGGACCGAAACGACACCATCCGCAGGCAGGTCGCCCCATAGCGGCGGAATCATCGGCATTACTGCATCATGAATGGCCGGCGTACATCAGGCACTGCATCGCCTTTTTCCTGCGATCTCACCCCGGCAGGCTTCCCCTCTTTCTACAGCAGTCTACATAGGCACCTGTGCTAATAGGTACATAGAAACAAACGTGAAATGACGTGCAGGATGCGTGCCACTCTTGTACTTGATCGGGTGGGAAGAGAGGGCATTCGTCGGATATCCAACCAAACCCCTGTTCATCCTCCCGGCTCGAAAGCCCCGCGTTTTCCCCCAATCGTGCACAAGGAATTTTGTCCATGCAATGAGTGAAGCAAAGTCTGGCGAAGACGGGAAAATAGATAAGACGTATCGCTCGTTTCCAATTTTCTCTATTGGAATAACTTACAGACGCTACTTGGTGACTGCAACGAGTTATCCGGATTTGGATCCACCTGGCCTCTGATTTGCCAATCTCGGGCACCCACTTCACCTTCGTCTGCGAGCTGTTGTTCCTAGCTGACTTCCATCCTAGACCACTGTTGATAGCAATATACGCATATATTGCTGTGTCCGTTGCATCCTGCCTACACAGCTGTAGACTCGGAACAAGCATTACATCCGTGACTATATACTCCAATAGAGGATACGATGGCCAGTTCCTTTGATTCTTCTTCAGTAATACATACCTCCCAAGTCACAGGTATCACCGCACTGTCCCTGACACAATTGACATCGTGAGCAATGTTGAGTAATCACTAATATATTTTTTGTTTGCGCATCATATAACTTGACTAAGCTCTTCCAAACAGAGAGTCTACTTAACAATTTGTGATATTTAATAATAATTATGCCTGCTTGAGGCCTAGGAGATTGCTAAGTTTGAGCACGCTGACGGTGACTTTGTTTGTAGTACTAGGAGGCAAAACACCTGCTCCCATAATGATCAGGTAATCGGGATCCTCCTCGAAAACGCGCAGATTGCGCGTGTAGGCGCCGGCTTCGGGGGAGTCGTAGGCTACCCAAGCGTCGGGGTCACCGCCACGGCGGTTGATAAAGAGAGGAGCGCTGTTGCTGCTGACGACAATGGTGCCGTTGCAGCCACCGACGGGAGACCAGACGACATTGGGGCTGTTAATAGGGAAGACTCCGCCGTTGGTGCTCTTGATATAGCGGTCGGGAGCATCGGCGAACTTGCGAGGGTCCTTGGCGATGCGGTAGTAGATGGGGAACGAGTAGGGAGTGATAATATCGGCACCGCCCCATTCAAATGTGTACATATAGTCGCCATTGGCTAGCTGGGTGATAAACGGCATGCCGGGGCGGTCGGTATACCTTGGGTAAGTTACGTCAATGACGACGTCTGACCAGTTCTTAAGGTCCTTGGTCGTCTGGTGGGAGATTTCCTGCCCATGCTCGGATGAGCGTTGGTCGGCATAGTACAGAATCAGGTCATCCTCGAAGATACTAGGATGTAAGTCAGTATCTACGCCCAGTAGACCAGTCATCTAGGACGTCGTAGTCTTACAGAATGAATGGTTCCCACACCGGGGTCTCCTCATTGCTAGGAATGGCACGGCCGCCACGCGCAACGTGGGAGAGGAACTCCCAGGTGCGACCCTTGTCCCGCGAAGCATACAGGTCGATTTGGGTTTCGCTGAGATCGGTGGGGATACTGTTCCCAGCCAGGAGAATGGTCCCGACAGGAAAGCCAGCAAAGTCCTGCCGCAGCTCATACAGGAAAGGCTGGTAGCGCAGGCCCCAGTTGTTGACTTGGTCGTGGACCTGGCCGACCTCTTCCCAGGTGAGGCCGCCGTCGAGTGACTCGTAGATGGGAAACCAGACCAGGGGAGGTTCGGGGGAGTAGTTTTCCCAAGTAGCTAGAAGACGGCCGTCGATGAGCTGGACGGTACGAGGATACAGGACGCGAGGGTCAGTGTAGTTGTCGGGTGGCTGGAAGATAAGGTTTCGCTCAAAAGTCTCGAGGGCGGACGCGATGCCGCACGTAAGAGCGCCGACAGCGGCAATGAGGGCGGAACGGATCATCATGTTGGCGACTGCAACTTGACGACCGCCGTAGGTTATTATGAAACGTCTGACGGACGAAGTGGACGGACATAACAGATCCTTTCCGGACTGAGACGATGAGGCCTTTTATATGGTGACACCGGATATTGCATCCCTAGTCGACACTTCCATTCCCCTGGTACCAGATGTGTAATTGTATTGGCGTTATTGACTATACCAAGATGGCGCGATGTGACATGCCCTGGACTAGCAGTGTAGCTCCACCTCGGTTACCTCGGTAGTCATGTGGTGATGACCTGTAATCTTTTTCTCAACTATCGCGATTCTTCCCGACTGGAGAAGAGGTCTAGGAAAAGCCATAGGACAAACAGTCAAGGCCTTGGTGCTGTGTATTGTCAAACGTGTGTCGATGATGAATTTACTGTGACCACTTCTACACATGAGAACTATTGTCACGACGTGATAGAAGCCACGATTGTACACTAGCATAGCAATCATGGACCCTGTTGTTGTGCCTCATTCTATTCGTCACAACTATTGAGTTTGGGTATGCGCACCAAACAAACAGCTCTCTCTAAGAATGACGCAGGAGCTCCACTGAGTTGCTTACACTAGAATAAACAAGACTGGGATTGTGAGGGCCGGTGCAATGTTATATCGAGGTGCATCATCCATTCTCGAAACCCCCAGTTCCCCCAGGTTGTCTGTGGGGTTCGTGCGGGGAAATGGAGTCAGGTACTGGGTGTTTGTGGCTGGGCGCCAGAGATGCGCACCAATTGTATCGGCCAACCGTCTGATCGTGGAGTTAATCCTTGGCTGTGCTAGCTTGTTATTTAATTCTATGAGTTACTAGCCGACACTAACAAAGTCTAGGTCCAAGCTAAGGATTACCACATCTTCTGTTCTAGTCAAGACAAACACTAGATTGTTAAACGCAGAGTGTGCACATTTGCTTTCCATTGGACTCACATCTAGACACACATAGACCTCTGCCAAAGTTGTTCACATAAACTAGAGTCCTTGTAGATGCAACAATTAACAGCCACCCGGCTTGCAATAGAAAGCTCACACTTTGGTTAATGCGTTGCAATCACTTGCTTGATAGGTAGGCGAAATGCCCCAAAGGACTAAAGAGACTATCAGATGAAAAGACAAAATGACGCAATCTCGATACATGTGTTAGAATCATTTTACCCGACTTAATATTTCTTGGGTGATAATTGGTTGTTGGTGCTCAATTCATATGAGTCAACAGGGGGCCATTGGGTGCAGAAGCTATGATGTTCGCTTTTGTTTTTCTTTCTGGGCAGGCCAGCTTAAATCCTGAGAGACGACTAAGCAAAATGGCCACCTAGGAAAGAACTGCAGGAAGAAAACCTACTAAGAGGCTGGGTGAACACTGAAGGGGGGGTTGGGGCTGGGGGGTTGTAAAGTGGCCATACTGTATAAGGTGATAAGAAGTTAGGCCATAATTACATCTTACGTAGCCATACGTCTTATACGTAAGACGCATGGCAACATTCAGTCAAAAGAATACAACATTCCTGTTTGGCTATATGCTAAAAGTCAAGTGACCAACCTGTCATTCAGATAATGGTCGAGTGCATGGCAGGATTTGAACTTGGCGAGGCACTAACTAATGACTGCATAGATTCTCGTATTCCCCCGCTCAACAACTGATATTGCATGCAAGACACCCCTGCGAATGACAGCATGCGGCCATGGCTTCGACGATTTTGGAAATCAAACTCCGATGTTGCGTACGATGAACATATGCCCAAGACACCGATACAGTTGGCAACGCAAGAATTGTCATTTCAGGCAGCGATGTTGGACGGACCTAGCACATGTTGAGATTGAATGCAAGAAGAGACCCAGGGTAATATTCTGTGATAACGGGACGCATAAAGGCTTCGTAGTCCCCGCTTCCCGTTTCTTTTGCGTCGTCTCCCAGAATTCTTCTACATGCGTTGGATTTGTCGTAACCACAAGACGTTTTGCTTTTTCCTGCAACGTTGATAATAAGCATCATAATAATAATCAGCCCTGTCAGCCGCCATGTTGTCTCCTAAGGCCGCGGCGGCCTTCTTCAACCTGTTCCTCCTCGTCTCCGCGGCTCCGAGGAAGCGGCAGTCAGACGGCATTGGGTCATGTACCAATCTCCACATCTTTCTCGGCCGTGGGTGGAATGAACCCTACCCCGGCCGACAACAGCTCCTCTACGACGCAACCTGTAACGGCCTCGCCAGCTGCGACTACGAAGATATCCGGTACGATGCAACCAGCACCGGCTCCGTCGAGTCAGGCCGTGCCTCCGGTATCTCTCAGCTACAGGCGTACACCCAGCGCTGCCCCAATTCCAGGGTCGCTCTAAGCGGGTACAGCCAAGGAGCTAATGTTATAGCGGACATGCTTGCTGATTCCGGACTAAGCCCGAGTGCTGCTCCCGCGAACCAGAGTAAGTGACCCCTTCATAGCACTTTCTTTGAAGGAAGCTTTCAGGTGGAGTGATGTTATATAGTCAGCTAATATTTTCTTGTGAAAAATAGTCTGCGCCGCTCTCCTTTTCGGCGACCCAAACCACGTCCCCAACCAGAGCTACAATGTCGGGGGCGGAGCCGGGTTCTCGGGCAGGTGGCCCCGATCCCAGTCCTCTACCGATAGCTTGAACAATTTCGCTGGGGTCTTGCGTTCGTGGTGTAACGTTGATGACCCCGTCTGCGCGTCTAATTCCGGCCAGGACGGCGGCGAGCTCGCGCACACGAACTACTTCCAGGTCTACACCAACGAAGCCGCATCGTTTATCAGGGAGAAGTGTGTCGGCTCGCAACCGTCGCCAGACCCACCCGGCGGCGGTTCCGTTTGTATTGCTGGCAGGGTCAAAGCTGGCCTAACAGAGAACTACACGGGCCTCTGCAGCTTTGCGTGTAGCTATGGGTACTGCCCAGGCGACCAGTGTGAATGCACAGCCTTTGGTCAGCCGGCACCAAACCCTGGAGGCGATGGGCGGGACGGTTGCCCTGCTGCCGGTTTGGATGAAAGCTACAAGGGGCTTTGCAGCTTCAGCTGTAGCCGAGGCTACTGCCCACCGGGAGCATGCGTTTATTGCTAAGTGGTTGGGGACATAAATGAGCGCTTTTGGGAGTCCGGATATACGGTCATCATAAGGGTGTGCGTCCCGACGTGGTCAGGCATGCATATGTAGCCCGTCAAGTAATCATCTAATCCAGTAATATGCAGTCTATCAAGCAAAGCTTGCTGTTATATGCGCTCTTTGTTTTCTATTCTTTCAAGGTTTTTGGAGGGAAAAGGCGCCCGCCCTGCAAGAAGTATTAATTACGTCACTATCTGAAATTAATTAGAAGGAGGTGGACGAGGCCCAGCCCCTTACAGCTACCCGACTCACTCTACGTAGCAACAGAGCTTATTATCCTCCAGCCTGAAGGGTAAGTAGACCAGGTCTTCAAGCTTTCAGTTCTCTGCAAGGTCATGGTAGGGCCATTCAGGGTCAGCAGGGGGCTTGCGCTGACATTACAACATCTCTACTATATAATACCGTATTATACCTACCTACATACTTCCCTTACCACCACTATGATATGCATCACCATATTAACACTCCACCCTTCAGCTGGCGCTGATGCTACGCTGACACTGACATTTCTCCTCTTCCTGACCTCCCGACAACTATCATGTACCTTTTCACTGTATACCCTCCAGCCGATGTACAAGCATACATTCGCTTCGAGTAGGTACCTTTGCGGGAATCTACTGATTGGACTTCTGTATTCGCACTGTAAATCTGGGCACAGGAAGAGGGCCCAGACGCATCGTAAGGTGCTTCTAGGACCAATACCTGGGGGAATAATGGACTGTAAAGTTAGCTAGATAGGCTGTGCCGGCGCCCTTTGCCACTAGACTGTATATCCTGGCGTCAAACAATACTACTACTATTACTACTACTTCAAGACCACAGAGCTGTCCCCAGCTGCGGTGGATGAAACCTTTCGCAAAGGACTGAAAACAATTATGGCCAGTCCTAGCTATCACTTGAACTTCAAGCTCTCCCATCTTACGTCGGTGGAAAAAGCCGGAATGGCGTCAATTGTTGTGAAGCCTTCACGATAATATGCGGTACTGGCATGCTCCCATTCTATATTGTTAGCTAGACCACAGGAGGTCGGCTGTTTCGCAAACGTCCCACAATGGATGTTCCGATGGTTTCTCCCCTCCTCAGTGTACCTTCTGACTTTAGAGAATTGTTAATCCGAGCCTAATTTGAGAATCCAAGTAATCCTAACAAGATTGTTGGGCCGAATTCCGATGTCATATCACTTCCTAAGCGGTACACTTCTGAATTGGGGTCTGATGGCGCATAAGAAATCCAGCTTCGGGTTGGCTATAAGTGACTTTTGTAATACAGTTGAGCTTGATCTTCTATCGCTATTGGCCGAGGTTGAAGGCTCTTCAGCACAGCAGACCAGGTTTTCTCATTAGGCTGGACTTCTTATGGGAGTGGAGTTGTCACATGAGGGGCGGGGAAGTATACCCATATCGGGCCTTTTCTTGGACGCCAAAGCTGCCATAACCTTGTACTGTTCACTCCAATCTGCAGGTTTGACAGTTCATATGATCTGCAGGACGGGATGTCACCTCATTGCAGGAGACTCCGCACAACTCCGCCCTGAGCCAGCATCTGGGTGTCGTCAAAGACCTTTAGACAATATATTCTACGATTGTGTGTGCAGCTATGATAGATCGAGCCTAGGTTGTGGCGTCGGCGCATAGCAGGTGTTCAGATGCTGGCTAGGAAACGGACCTATTAACCCCGGACAGCTTGCCAGTTTGAGGTATGGCGGCCGACACTAGCAAGACTTTTTCTCCGCCATGGGCTGCATGCCATTTAGAGATACCCAGGACTGCCTGTATGAGTTTTGATCCGGGGAAACTTATGCGGGTAGGCCCGTCTCGGTTGGAGGTACTTCGGCGTTGCTTGTTCTGATATATTAGCTCAGCATTTTGGCTGGTCGGTTGGCCATTTGAAGTGACTCGTGAGAGTCGGCGTCCAGCCGAAGAGTCAGTTATTCATGGACTGCAAGCTTCAAATGGTACAAAAGTGGCTTGTGCTGCCCTTCGACCTCGTTAGGAGATAATCCTAAGCATCCATTGCAGTACTCATTGAGACTTTAGTTCTGATACTGTCATCCGAGATCGCTTCCTAGGTTCATCCAAATGAAGTCAACCACCAACCTGGCTATTGCTAGCCTTTTTATCGGCTTTGTCTATGGACATGGCTACTTGGCCGTTCCTTCCAGCCGTACCAGACTGGGTGCCGAGGCAGGTAGTCCGAGATGTCCTTGGCCGTCATATTTAACTTACAAGAAAAAGGTCGGTATAGATTCTTGTCCCGAGTGCACAATTCGAGAGCCCGTGTCCGCCTGGCCCGACGTCACCGCTGCTACCGTCGGCCGGAGCGGGCCCTGCGGCTACAACGCCCGGGTCGGCGTGGACTACAATCCACCGTCCAACAACTGGGGTAGCACCCCAATAGCAACTTACACCAGTGGCCAGACGGTCGATGTTCAGTGGTGCGTCGATAACAACGGCGACCATGGCGGCATGTTCAGTTACCGCATATGCCAAGATCAGGCCCTGGTAGACCAGTTTATCACCCCGAACTATCTCCCCACCGAGGCCGAGAAGCTGGCCGCTGAAGATTGCTTCCAACGGGGCACCCTGAAATGCACCGATGTTTCGGGTCAAAGCTGTGGTTACAACCCGGACTGTTCCTCGGAAGAGGCTTGCTGGAGGAACGATTGGTTTACCTGTAATGCATTCCAAGCCAGCAGCCGCCGCGCATGCCAGGGCGTTGATAACGCCAGTTTGGGGTCCTGCTACACCTCTATTGCGGGTGGCTACACCGTCACCAAGAAGATCAAGATCCCCAATTATCTCTCAAACCATACTCTTCTGTCATTCCGCTGGAACTCGTTCCAGACAGGACAGGTCTACCTCACATGCGCTGACATCGCTATCGGTGGTGGAGGCAGTAGCCCGCCTGTTTCGACGCGCACAAGCACCGCTGCAGCGACGGCGACCAGCGGTACATGCACCATCGCGAGCAACGTGGCCGTGACTTTTGACGAGATTGTCAAGACGAACCCGGGCCAGACCATCAAGGTTGCGGGCTCGATTACTGCATTGGGCAACTGGAACGTGGCGTCGGCTCCAGCACTATCGTCGGCACAATACACAAGCACCAACAATTTGTGGACTTACACGGTGTCGTTACCGGCGGGCACGGCATTCCAGTACAAGTTTATCAACTTGGCGTCAGACGGCACGGTGACATGGGAAAGTGACCCAAACAGGTCCTATACGGTACCGCGCAGTTGTTTGACAGCTGTGACTATCGGCAGCAGTTGGAAATGACGAGGCTTGAATCAGCAGGGAATATGATGGTGAAGCGCTTTGGTTTTTGGATTCAATCGTTCATGCAGTATGTCCATATTTGTGTGACCTTGTATCTGCTGTGCGTAGTGAGTATCAGCACGATGGAGACATTTATACAATTGTTCTTTCAGTATGGTTCAGCCTAGTTTTGAACGTTCGCTAAAGTGAATGGAGTCTGCCTGCTACCAGTCGTATATACTTTTCACAAGTGTTGCCTAATCATGGCTGCATGATGATGAGGCGAAGTCGTAGCTCGGCAATCACATTAGGCCTCAGCGGGTCGAAGGATCTGTTTCCTGTTCTAGATGGCGAGATCCACGTGCAATCTCGCCCTCGATTAGAAGACTGATGAAACCTATCCATGGCGTTTAGAGGGAGGCCAAAACCTACCACATTTGCCGCAGATCGCCGAATGAGCAATACGGCCAATACACTTTGGCGGCCTCAATCCTTATGAGAAATCTTAGGTCTCAGTGGCTTGTCTGCCTTGCTAGCGTTCAAGGTCCATTCGGTTTAGTGCTTACTCTTCTCTGTCCTGATACGTTCTTGTTCAATGACCTCAGGCAATAGAACCCGATCCATGCAGGCAGCAGCATGCACTGCTCCCCAGCGTCCTGGGCATAGCCAATCCACGACTGTGAGTAAGAGGAGTTGTGCAGATAGGTGAGTCACAGCCACATGAAACCCACTGAACCCTTGCTTGCTGAGGCAACCGACAAAGAGCATTGGAGAGATGCCTAGCACTTCGCTGGTAAATCGGCCATGGGATGATTACCAAGAAGGATTTGATACACTCCACAAGCAGAAAATTTTGATCCATGAGAGTAGATAAATATGTGTCCAGTTTCCTATTGGAATAAGCCTCTTTGGTGTTCAGCATCATCAGTCTCAGTCCCTTCTCATCCACATCCGTCACAATGGCGCCTTCACGCACAACAACAGAGGCCTTGGGCCAAACCATGGTCGACGAATCGACCAAGAAGACCAAAAGTCTTCTCGAGGAGACAGATAACGGCACCACAACGGAAGACGCCAAGAACACAAATGGTGATGTTAGCAACAACGAGACAGAAGACAGCGAGGTATCAGCAGAGGTCGAGCAGAAGAAGAGAGAGGAAAAGACTAAGAAGCCTTTCGCTCCCTTCGGCTCCATCGCATCAACCAAGAACATCTACAAGTCGCCCAAAGATAGCGACGGCAACTGGACGTGGATTGAAAAGTATCCCGAAGACGTCGAGGAGGCAGCCGAGAACGAAGAGACAGAACAGTACGCCGTCGTCGTACGCAACATCAAGAGCAACGACAGCCGCAAGAAGCTCGAGGCACATTCCATTGTTGTACAGAGTCCCTGGCTGAAGAAGGCGCTGGGTGAGATTCTGGACGATTACCCCGGAGTTGCCTGTGAGCTAGAGCGCCTCGAGTTCGGAGCACCTTTCCACCCTTTTGTGCACCGATGGACGGAATTCCGCGAGTACCGCAACAAGAAAGACCTCGATGAAACTCTCAAAGAGCACCTCACGATCCTCCACGACATCTTGCAATATGAAATTGGCAACTCCATCAAGGCATTTGAGGACTATGTTGCCAAGGGCGTCATAACCTTCGAACATCTCTGGATGATCTTTCAGCCTGGCGCCATCATTCTTGCCGCCCACAAAGGGCCTCTGTCAGCATTTGAGCTTGAGGAATCCGAGTACATGGAGAACAGATGCGGGAAATTCCTTCAGCTACGCGCCGATTGCGTCGACTACAGCGGCAAGACTTTTGGGCGTTACCGGGAGAGGATCTCCATCCCCGAGTTCATCGGTACAAAGAAGATCACAGGTCTCGACGCCTCTCCTTTGGCATTCCACCCTGAGAAGGACGCGCTCAGCGCGGCTCTGGTGCGCCGGGGCCAAAAGTTTGAGGAGTTGGCTGGCCACCACTACAAGCAGTACTCAGGGAGCGCCGTCACCTGGGACCGTGAAGGCAACGAGGTTCCCATACAGGTTGAGGGCCGTGTTGTTATTGATATCAACTCCTTCAACCGCTTCAGCCCCTATTATAACACCCGGTACACGAGCGACTGGACAGCCAAGGATATTGAGGCCCTGTATGCGTGGAAACGCCAGCATGGCCTGGGTAATGACGGCAATCTCAAGTTGACGCCAGGTCATCAAATGCTTGCCCGCTCCAGGACACGCGGATACTCGCTCAAGTTGAAGAAATGGTTGGATTTCTACGTCGAGCAAGTTACTGAGATAACCTGGAACACCAACGCCTTCGACAAGCTTGTGCTTCCTGAAGACCAAAAGGAGCTGATCCTCGCCTTCTCTGAGTCTCAACTGGAGGGTTCCACCTTTGACGATGTCATCTCTGGCAAGGGCAAGGGCATCATCTGCCTGCTCTCCGGCCCCCCTGGCGTGGGCAAGACACTGACAGCAGAGGCCGTAGCCGAGAATCTGCGTGTTCCACTGCACACTTTGAGCTCTGGCGATCTCGGATCCGAGCCGTGGGAGCTCGAGAACGGTCTGTCAAAGATCCTGGAGCTGGTTGCGCGGTGGAATGCCATCCTACTTCTGGACGAGTGCGACGTCTTCCTTGAAGCACGTTCAACACACGATCTCGAGCGGAACAAGGTCGTATCGATCTTCCTGCGGACTCTCGAGTATTACGAGGGCATTCTTTTCATGACGACCAATCGCGTTGACAACATCGACCTAGCCTTCCAGTCCCGAATTCACGTTTCTCTTGAGTATCCCGACTTGACACCCGAGTCGCGACGCCAGATTTGGCACAACTTCCTGCGGGAAACGACCCTTGAGAGCGAAATCTCCGATGAGGACATCGCGGAGCTCGCCGAATTGAGGCTCAACGGTCGCCAGATAAAGAACATCCTGAAGACATCGCAGCTGCTTGCTGCAAGGAAGAAGAGTGCGCTGAAGCGCAGTTTTATTGATACTGTGCTCAGTATTGAGAAGAGACGTCCTGCCGCTCCAGCCACTCTATGAAGGTTTCGCCGCAGAAATGCGGGCTGCACGTCTGGGGCCTTGTCGGGGAGTTTTGATATTGCCGGACGATGCTCCGTACTCCTCAGTGAATTCGGGAGGGTTGGAGTTTGAGATGCTATCGCGATCCTTGAGAGCCATAAGTACACATGAATTGACGACCTGTTATTGAACCCTTGAAACTGTGCGAGGCCACAAGTGTAGTCTGCGGATTGCATGTCGTATTAGCTCGCGCCAATATCTCCTTCTACATCTACATAATAGTCCTACCCAAGATCACCTCGCATCGCTTGCACCTGCTGGCCCGCTAGTGTTTCTTTTAGCAACAGCCTATCGGCGGAGCCGGAGACCGATTCCCGCCTCGCCCGATGAATGCAAGCCGGACTTCAATCTCGAGAGCTTGGCGTAAGGGCTGATCGCCATGCTGGGTTTCACGATGCAACATACACACACCTGATCGAGCATTCAAGAGGAATGCATGATGGCAAGAGTTGTCTCTTGTGCGTCTGTTGCCTACTCCCGGTCTCACTTGTAATAGCCAGTGTTCAGATGGAACAAGTGGTGATGGTGGCGGGGTAACGAAACAAGGGGGGGGTGGAGCTTGACGTTAAATGAAAGACGCACATATTACGACACAAAAAGCCGGCGCCTAGCTAAATAATATGTTATGTGTCTTCTCAACCAAACTCCCATCTTTGTAGGGCTTAGTCTGTACAGCTGGATCCAGGCCCAGCGGAGGCGCTCCAGCACAGACATGAGCGCGTCATCGAACCTCCACATCGAGATATGATCACCCTTGAGACAACAGTATGCGATGATTCATTCGCACCCGGCCGCTTTCCTATATGAGCAACCAGCAGCATCACTGCTTGAGTTGAGTGACAATAGGATGAAATCATTGAGCATACACGTCCTCCAATGAACTGCAAACGAATTTCAATCCATGCGGTGAGGCGCACAGGGCTTTTAGACATATGGTGCCCCAGATCCTCATTCATCACGTCCCAGACTTTGACACCTCCCAAAATCTCTCGCCATTACAATACCACCAGACCTTTACAAACACCCGCAGTTATGGACACTATCAAGGTGACAGAGAGACGTTCATTGAAAGTAAAATAATGGATTTACTGACCTCGCTCCAGAACACCATTGCCGAAAACTTTGGCGGGCCAGCCTCGAAGTTGGGAACTCACCAGTTCAGCCTGGAGGAATGTCCCGACTTAACCGGAAAGGTCGCTGTAGTTACCGGAGGTAGCGAAGGCATCGGCTATGGTGTTACTTACACCCTTCTCAAGAACAACATTGCCAAGCTGTATATCCTCTCCGTCTCCAAGGAAGTCGTCGACGGTGCCAAAGATGCCATCTCTAAGGAGCTTGGCGCCGAGAAGGCAGGCCGCACCAAATGGTTCGAGTGCGATATGGGAGATTGGAAGCGCGTCAAGGAGGTTGCAGAGCAGATCAAGAACGACACGGACAGACTCGACATCGTGGTCAACAATGCCGCAAGGGGCATCATGACGTACCAGCTCACGGATTACGGCGTAGACCGTCACATGGCTGTCAACCACATGGGTCACGTCGTACTCACATCACATTTGCTGCCGCTCATCAAGAAGACGGCAGAGAATGGTGATATCGTGAGAATCGCCAACCAGGCCAGTAATGCGCATCAGGCTACACCGAGCGATTGCAAGTTTGAGAGTCTTGAGGAACTTAACCAGGACCTGGGTCCCAATGGACAGTATGGCCGCAGCAAGCTCGCGGGTATCTTGTATGCGCGCTACTTCAACCGTAAGGTAACGCAGAACGGCCATCCGAATGTGTTGATGAACGCGACGCATCCCGGGTTTGTAAGTACAAAGATGAGTAAAGAGGATATCTTCGAGCCGTAAGCCACCACTACTCACCCTTAGTTTGATGGCCCCTTGCTGATTGCTGTAGATATCCCCTTGGAGGCTATGCGATGGCCGTCGGCATGGAGCCTTTCAAAAAGTCTCAATGGGAGGGTGCTGTCTCAATGGTTTATGCTGCAACCACAACCAAGGAGTCGGGCCAATACATTTGCCCGCCCGCAGTACCTGAGCCAGGAAACAAACTAGCTCAGGACGACGCGCTTGGAGACCAGCTCATGGAGTTGACACGGCAGATCATCACAGAGAAGACCAAGGGACAATCAGTTGACAAGGGCTGCCCGATGGATGACCTAGTCCTTCATTAGTGGCACAGCTGCATCACAATTGATTAGTTGTCCGTAGTATTGATATAATAAATCGTCGTGCAATTACAAACCTTGCTGGATATCTATGCTTTCTATCTGTGAAATAATGACCCTTCTTTCCGCTTTTGATCAACGTCGCCTTCTAATCCAAACCCGCATCTAACCTCACTGGGTGACCATACCATGCTCTGTCGGGGGTATCTTTCTCCTGCGTTCAAACCGTTACCCATGCTCTGATTAATAACACCGTATCCAAGCTTCAGCTTCTTCACGTCATCCGGAACGTCGCCTTGGTCTCTATCGGGACCCTCCCAGTGTACCTTATCCAGCGCTGGCCCCCGCGTCGCAGCCACGACACTCGAGAACCGTGTGTTTCTGAGGACGCCCCCGTTTTCCAGAACGGCTAGGGCACCAAGCGCGACCCCGGAGCCTGCTAACAGGATAGCGATAGCGTATACGATCCAAAGGTCCCGCGCATGGTAGCTGTACATGTTAACCATCCGCGACCGCTGGCATGGGTATTCGTAGGCAGAGTGATTGTGCTGGTCGCCGCCCAGCACCAGCCCCCCCGTGTTTTCGTCCGTCTGCGCGGCCCAGACCACGGGGAGGAACTGAGGGGTAGAAAATATAGAGAGTATCAAGTCTTCATAGAACTCCTGCACCATATCTTGGAGATTGAAGACCGGAAAATAGTCATTTCTGGGGTCAAGAAGTTTGGTCTGGATAGCGTCCGTGTTTGCCATTGGGTTGGCGGACTGCTTATTGACCTGCACGGTGCCGTTGAGGAACTTGCGGAGCATGAAGCCCAACGAGTGATAAGCAGCAACGCGACGATATCTCTCGACGTCTTGCGGCAGGACGTAGTTCTCTTTTGGAACTGCCGTGACGTTGTCGGCCGTGCCGTCGTTGGCGTCGAGTCCGGGGATGAAGGTCGTGTTGATGATGGGTGCTAGAAACTTGTGCTTCTTCATGTATGCCGACTGCGTGGCGTCGGTGTAGTTGAAGACGGCGGTGTACTCTGTTTCGTAGTGTTCACACGCAAATATCTTGGGGACGTAGTTCATGTTCTCGTCTTCTTCCTTTCGAGACGCCGGGTGATCGGCGTCTGGCGGCACAACGTGTCCAATCCAGATGACCGGTTCTGTACGGAGAGCCCCCATGTGTTCCGGGTAAGGCGGGTCCATCTTTGGGATACCTCCGATCTCGACATCTTTCATCTGCGTTGTGGAATATTCTCCTCCGCTTGTGAAGGCATAATAAGCAAATGTTCCTTCAGGGAGGAGAATATCGGTGCCGAAGGGCGGCTTGGCCTCGCCGGATTGCTGCGTCAGGTTGGCCGGCTTGGAACCAATCCCCCTGGCTTGTTCGCTACATTTGTAGCCTGGCGCCGTAAAATCAATTTCAAACGTGCAGTTCCACCCTTTCCTGCAGATCTCTATGGACGAGTTTTTTCTCGCCACAACTTCCTGGAGAAAAGCGCCAAGAGTGGCGGTCTGCTGGAAGTTGGGGCTCGGCCCGGTGTAATAGTCAAACCAACCTTCGGGCTCCGAGTCCGCAGGCTTGGTTGAGTTCCATATGGACAATGGCATCTCATACCTACCATCTATCTTGGTGGGTGCCCGCCACTGGTGAGTATCCTCCTTTGCAAAGTTCAGGCTCCGTATGCTGGGACAAGTGCCGTTTTCCAAGATGGTTCGTGGCTCCACGAGAAGCGTATTGGAAGTCAAAATGACAACGAGTGGAGAGAGCCTAGATGTTTCGGTAAACATACTGCTATAAATCCGTCGAGGACGGGAGCTTTTGAGAATGCTTACCAGACAAACAAGGCTAGGGCAGCCGCTGCTTTGGCGCCTTTCAGAAAGTCCCAGGAAAGCAGCGCGATGAAGTTCTCCGTGGCAGCAAACATTGAGTCTAAGGCGGCAATGGTCATGAACCTAGACCTTACAGTTGTCCAGACGCGCTGTTGAAACGCCGATATCACAGCAGCGCCCAAACTGGCCTTCGCCGCGAAGGCAAGGGCCGTCCCATAACGCAACATGCGTACCTGGTCCTCTGCAGGTTTGCCATCGAGGAAATGATAGAAGACGTGATGCCCGATGGCGCAAGCGATGCCGAGGGCAAGCCAGAGATACATGTTCCATGATGCTTGCCAGCTGCAATGGGGCTTTCTGGTGAGAAACGACTTGCTCCTCTCATGAGGCTGCCCTAAGTAGGCCGCCGCGATATATGGGGGTGGCTGAGGTGGCTGTCCATGCTGGTACTGATGTTGCCGTCCCTGCGGCGGTACGCCTGGAGACGCGGAAGAGTACGCGTCATCTACCGGATCTTGCGCGTTATGGAGTAGGCCGGCGCGCGCATCGTGATTGTAAACCGTGCCCGCCGTCAGCTCATCGGGAGAGATGGAGTCTCGGCCACCAAACGCGGGATCAGCGCCGTAATGCGCCGATCCGCCAAGCGAGCTCAGGTCGACCCCATGGTTGTCCATCGGATTAGTCATCGTGTGCGTTGTCTCCGTGACATATACGGTCGGGCCGACCTTCTTGAACGCCGGTGCTGAGGTGAAAGGTACGGGTTTCCGAGTGATGGAGGTTGAGCGACCATGCCACCCCAACGGTGAAGGAGAAACCATGGATGTTGGTTCTTGAGACACTGGCGACACTGCTGACGAGAGCCGATATGGTGGAGGATGCGCTAGTCTGCTGGCAGTGATGGAATCTGCCGAGGGCTTGCGTCACGTTTCGTGGCGCTTTGGTTGGACGATTGGCTGGAATGCTGGCCTTTCTTGATGGCAATGTGTACCTAGACACTCATCAGTTGCTCTTGCATGTGCCACCTGGCAATCGCATTCAGGCAAGATCAGCAAAGCCAAAGAAAAGTTCCCCGCGGCTGGTATCTTCGCATCCGTGTCTGGATCAGGGACCTAGAGAGGCTTCACTATGATTGTGTCGGTCTCTATGTGGATATGGTTGCTGAGTGACAGAATCGCACAGAAACGGCTGTGGCATCCGACCTCCCGCGTTCGGCGGTCCTATCGCCTTTAGCTTTTCCCGCCGTGAAACCGGTTCGTCTCGTCTTTCTCGTCCCAGAGTTTCCGCCGCAAACCCGGTGCGACTATGGGTTCTCTATGTTGGTCGCTACCGGCGTCGGAGCGTCTGCGAATGGCGGGCGAGGAATGGCGACATAAACAGACGCCAGAATTTTTGGATTGCAGAAGTGCTGGCATTGGTTTTTTTGGGGGGGACCAGTGGACCATTATGTATGTTGGTTGAACCCTTGTCAGCGTCCAACCCGTTTTGAAATGATGTTGGTATCAGAGTCTCAATTCGGCACAGGCTGACACGACACCAACAACAAGCGGCACAGCAGAAGTGTATCTTGCGTAGTCCTCTTGATATCGCTCTGCTCACTCCGCTGGCCAATGGCATGACTCCATTGGGCAGCTGAGTGAATGATGCATCATCACATCGTTCGTTCCAGACCTGACTCGCATGCAGGTAAGCACATAATTAGACAGCATATCTGTTGCGCTCGAATAAGGCTCCTCCCTATGCCACGAGGACGGAGCTGAGTCATGAATGAAGCCGTTCAATAGACGCCCTGCTCAATACCACGTCAAACGACAGAAAACACTCTTTTCTGCCGATTATCTGAGTAGTGATCAAACAACCTTGTTTTTAGCAAATAAGTACGATATACGTGCTTGTCAACTTATCGCAGAGAACACTACCTTTCTCCAGACCGCTGCTCACGCTCGAAAATCGATTCCGGATCCTCAAATCTCCTAACTCTCTTAAACCATGCTCCACCGATGTCATTTGTGCCCAGTTTCATCAATCCATCGTACTTGTTCACGTATTCAATGCCATTATAACGTTTCGCAGCGCGTGAGTCGATGAGCCAGGGCTACGCGCCCTGGGGAAGTGGCTCGCGCGATTATGACATGAGTTAAAATATGCCTCAAAAGAGTAATAAACATGGCGTCCTTTCATCGGGCAACCTGCAACTATTTTCCCACGAATTTCCAGTACAACATGGAGTGGCTCCTCGAGCAGTGCCACAAGCGAGCGGAGAGAGCCCTAATCAATAACCAGAAAGTCACAGAATCTCGGACTAGCCTCGCAAGCATCCTCCATACCGGCATCGGCCATTATCTTACCGCGCCATGTCTCAAAAATCCCGACGAGCGACTTGCTGTCATTCTGGCTCGCATCCGTGAGGTTGGAAAAGCTCCCCAGTGCATCTGTGACGGGATTTATAAGCGTTAGTTACTGCCCGGTAATTAAGGGCGTCGTTTTTGTTACATGACAGCATCCGAGTATTCGTCCCAGTCCTCGACAACATCCACGGCGAAATGCCAGCCAGTTTCCTCCGTAACAGAAGCGTCAAGCGCTCCAACTCAAATCAGGTATTGAGTCACCCAGCGACACATCTTATCAAGCGCCTCTTGCCACAGGGTATGAGATTCGTACGAGGGTATATCATCATCATCATCATCATCATTCGTACGAGGGCGTGGTGCGCAAGACTTGAGGTGGTGTGTTAATCTTGACAGATTTGGGGCATTGAAAAAGGTGGTTCACTTGTATAAACCCCATGTTCCTTGGGCATGCGGTTTTGAATCGGACTTTCTGTCATATACCAAGAATAGCAATTTTCTAGGAGGACCTACTGAGGTATCGGGCCAGATGCCAGCGGGTCTGAAAGCGCCCCACTTGACTGGCTAACCAAAGTACGTAATCAAGGGACGATTTTCCTATCAGCCAACCAGGCCAAGCTTATGTCAGCTAAGCTGCAACATCACGTGCTTTGTGACATATGTCAGCCATCTTCAGCCCCTTGCTAGCCATTTGTCTCATTTTCTGTTCATGGGTCGATACCGAACTATCCGGTTAAATATGCCCATCACACGTAGTATGACGTGTAACTCTATTGCCTACTCTCACGAGCTAGAGCACACAGCAGATAAGGTCCTACGAATGAGTGAAGGAAAGCTTGTATTGTAAGAAGAAGAATCCTACGGGTGGAGGAACCCTCGAGCTCGTTCATGTGACACGGCACGTGGTATGGCTGACGGTATCCGCCACACAGACATGAGCCTCCTGCGATACCTACTTTGTCGCGTTATTAGATTCTCATATCCTTGCACATATTGACATCTGATGGGGTATACCTTATGTGTAAGACAGGCTATATCAGGAGCAAGGGCCCTCCGCAGCCCGTCAAATCCCATACGACAATCAATTCATTTTTAGCAGTACACCCACCCCGTAGTCCTCGTTAACCTTTGGCTGTACGTCTTCGATCATGGCGTTCCGCGACGGTAATGTCCCTCTGGCAGGACTGCTCAAGTCCTTTCTTTGGTCCGTTTCAACACCTGGAACAACCATGTTCATGGCTGTAATCGTCGTATGGTACATAAAGTCGTGGTACAGATTGCGACACATTCCTGGTCCACTCCTCAACTCCATCTCGATTGCACCCATGAATTTTATGACCCTTGGCGGGAAACTCAGTTTCAAACTGAAGGACTTGGGTGATAGATACGGTAAGACCGAGCAAGTTGAATAAACAAACTTCACACACCTCATAACATTTTCGCCAGGCCCTTTAGTTCGCGTTGGCCCAAACGAGGTGCTGTTCGGTGATGCCGACAGCTGCCGCATCATCTCGGCGGTCCGTTCAGATTTTGTTAAAGGCCCATGGTACGCCCTGTCCAAGGTTGTTCCAGATCAGGACAGCCTGTTCTCCCTGCGAGACGACCAAGAACGGAAAGAGTTGAAGTCCAAGTTGAGTCCAGGCGTTCGTTTCTCTGGTCGATCCATGTGTTGAATTTGTCTCAATCTGACCGCGTTCATAGTATTCTGGTCGTGAAAATGGCGGTTTCGAACCTGGTGTTGACAGGGTCGTGGCGCAATTCATCAACCTCATTGAGTCCAAATACATATCGACGTCAAACAACTTCTGCCCGATTGAGTTTTCTCACAAGTCTCAATACTTCGCTCTCGATGTCGTGAGCGAGATCTCTTTTGGAGAAGCTTTGGGATTCCTAGCCAAAGACAAGGACTTGTTCGGTTATGTCCAGACGAATGACCAAATATTCCCAGTTCTTGCGATCATGCTGAATATGCCATGGTTAGGTATCATGATGCAACGGTGGCCACTCAACAAGTTGCTACCCTTCGAAAGCGACAAGTTCGGCTTTGGACGCCTGATGGGGTGAGATCACGCAACATTTTCATTCAGGGGCTCGCAGTGCTTACATTCTATAGCATGGCGAAGACCATGGTGGACAAATGTTTGGCTGCAGGTCCAGGTGAAAACCACATGATTCATAGTCACCTGCGCAATGGGGTAACTTACAAGGAACTCCTGGCGGAGATATTTCTCGAACTGTAAGCCGAAACCTACACTAATAGATCGATCTGTTAGGACTGATAACTTTGTACAGGATAGCCGGGTCTGACTCAACGGCAACAGCGATTCGCATGACCATGCTCTGTCTCCTCACCACACCAACAGCTCTGAGCCGTCTCCGTCACGAAATTGCCACCGGAATCTCCAGGGGATTCATCAGTTCCCCAATTCGCGATGCAGAGGCTCGCCAGTTTCCTTACCTGCAAGCTGTTATCAGGGAAGGGCTACGCCTGTATCCGCCGTCTACTGGTCTGAATTACAAGCAGGTCGCCAAGGGCGGTACGAAGCTCTTCGGACAGTTCCTGCCGGAAGGAACACAGCTGGGTGTCAATATACAAAAGATAATGAGATCAAAGGAGACTTTTGGACCAGACGCGGATATCTTCAGACCGGAGCGCTGGCTGGAAGCTGCTGAGGACGGAGAGCGCTTCCGAGAAATGACCGGCGTAGTTGACCTAGCTTTCGGCCACGGGCGGTTTCAATGTCTCGGCAAGACCATTGCAGTCATGGAACTGAACAAGATATTTGTCGAGGTGAGTAGTAGGCATCCTGAAAACGTGCTTACCTTGACCATGGCTAACCACCGACACCTCACAGCTGTTGCGGAGGTTTGACTTTGCCGTCGTCAGACCACAAGAGCCGCTAAGACTTTATGATGCAGCCTTCTGGGTAACAACTGACTTTTGGCTGCGAGTGACTGAGAGAGGAGAGGCCAGGTAGATCTAGGTGACGCCGTGAGTGTCAGTCATAATTGCAAATATACTGGATTGTTGGAACAGCAATTCAGCCCAATTCGCACGCATGAGTCAGTTGCCAGAAGGTCTATATAACTGGCCACTTTCCTACCGGCCAGAACACTTAGATCTTAGAGAATATATGCCTTTACAACCCGTCAAGAACGTTCTTGTTGATGCATCACCCCCATCTATAGTCCTTCCAACAGGATCGTTGATGATGATGCCAAAAGAAAAATGGGCGAAACGTAATGATAAGTAAGGTCACGTTGTATAGCCGCATTAACATGATTTTCTAGTTAATTAGGAACTCAGTACTTTAGGCCAAATGGAGAAATAGGTGCCTAGAGACGATGACACAAAGTTTGCAACAAACGAACAGCGCTTTAATCTTCAGCCACCAACTCTCAGTTCCGAGAGTCAAGAAGTCCAGAAAGTCTAAATACAAAAAAAGATTCCTCACTATCTTCTCAAGAACTAAGACATCATCTCTTGTATTTGCGTGACTCTGTGTCATCCTACAGGCGATGAAATCAAGAACTATCACCCAAAGGCAAGGAAGAAGGCCAGGAAAAGTGTCTTGTTAGCTTAATGAATTCAGGGTAGTCTCAAGGATAAGGCAATATCCAGCTCCATTAATTAAAGCTATGATCATCAGGACGACGACCAAATACTTAATTGAAGCTACAACAGGTAGCTATGTTTTGTTTTTACAATCGCGTGCAATTGAGGGCGTTGTGAATGCAGATCTTACAACCTTTTACTATAGCATCTACAATTGGACTACCCCTTGGCGAACCTCAATATTATCCTCGATGGAGACAAAAATGTATTCATGTCAATCGCTGACGGGAATTGAGCCCGACGTGGGGGTCGAACCCACAACCTTGAGATTAAGAGTCTCACGCTCTACCGATTGAGCTAGCCGGGCAGATGGAACATCTGCCTTGGACGGTTGAAGATCGTGTGGTAAGTGATCATTGTAAAGGGTTCAAAGTTAGCAAATTTTCACGGAGTTGTGGAGTTCCCTCTTCCAAGATCCACTATCCTAATCTCTGAGCCGTAGACAACGGTGATCGGGTGGTCCAGCTGTGGGGATAAGCAGTGGCCCTCAAGCTGGGGTTCCGGGAACTCATTACTTCGCTTAATTACGACACATGTGATACTCGCGCTACATTTCCTAATATGCCGTAGGTTTTGTTCACTCGTTTCTTGTTTGGCCGGCATACTCATAGGCCGAAACATCGGGCCCCTTTGCCGGTGGTCATGGCAAACGCGTTTCTGTGGTGCCTGAGGGCATCTGGTTTCCAACAGGGCTATTTACGATTAAGGCCACAGTTCATCAGGGCTTGTTTGGACAAAATTCCTCATGTGAGAGACCGCAACGAACTGCCCTTCTGCTATGATGGGTGGCTGGAGAAACCACATTTTTCTACTCAAAATTTGTAAAAGTGTCGCACAACGAATCCTTCAACTACGTGTGATGAATATATTCAACCGGATTGTCAGGTATCAACCCACAGACAAGGACTGAGCGGAAACTCAAATGTCTGACATAAGTCAAAAGCATCTGACGAGAACGGAACTCAGAGCTCACTCAAGTTAGATTGTAAGTCTAATGAATTTAGGCCCTTTGGTTGGCTCGCGAAGTGGTGTGCCCATTAGTACTTCACTAAGGGGTTTCATTTTGGCCTGGGACCGTAGTTGACAAGCAATTCTGAAGAGTAAAACTACGATACTGACTCGAGGGCCCCATTGGACTCACGCCAGCTTATCTGGTCCTACTATGGTGCCATTGCTCAGGAAGAACAACGCTTTAGTGTGGGGATTCAAAGACATGTTGACGTCCCTGTGCTCATATACAAGCTGACCACGCCGGTGTGCCACCAGCTTACGAGTGTATATGATCAATGAAGCTACCCCGCCAATAATTCTTGGCATTCTGCGTTCTCTAGTACTAACAAGGCAGGTCAGTTACTTTTCAAGCAATAAATCTTGCCGTTTTACGCCATCTTACTGCATGTTTCTCCTCGACTCCACACCGTAGATTGGGGTAGCAAGGCTGGAATCTCTACCGAATCGGCTAACTTGCCCCAATGTTCTGAGCCATTGTAGCAAGAATGACGAAATGCGTTTTCTAAATCAGTGGTAATCGGTGCAAAGCTGCATATTGGTATTGCATGTCAGCTGCGTCAGCTGCAGTTTCCAGAACGCCGCGCGAATTACAGAAAGCCCTTGTGCAATGGCATCACCTGGCTTACCAAGGTCAGCTTGAATGACGAACGATGTGCATGATTCATTCGAGAAGGATTTTCCATATCATGCACGCAGAAGCTATAAAAACGACAGCAACAGTCTGCGCGAACTCCTGAGCTACTGCTATCAATCGACTTTGCAAAGCGCCGATTGAGTCGCGCTGGTCAAATCCATTGCATCTAGTCAAACATGCGTGGCCAACTCAGTATTGCCTTGGCGTTCTCAGGGCTTGCCTCGGCTTGTCAACGAGATCTTGTTCTCGAACGTCGGCACACACACCGTAAACCAATCACTAAGCGCGCCGACGACCAATGGCCCCCCATTCTGTCAGAGGAAGAGACCGTCTTGGTCAACGCTTTCGACAATGTCACCATTGATGAATGGTCTGACTATTACGGTCACCAGGTCAAGCTCGCTGGACTTGGTAAAGAGGCCGCGCAGTGGACTGCAGACCAGTGGACCAAGAATGGGTTTGACGCGCATCTCAAGGAGTACCATGTTTACTTAAGCTACCCCATCCACGCCTCTTTAGAGCTTACTTACGCCAATGGAACGACCAGTGCGGTTAGCCTAGATGAGGATGTCCTGGAGGAGGACGATGTGACGGGAAGGGAGGACAACCAGCCTACGTTTCATGGATACTCCGCTTCAGGCAACGTGACGGGAGAATACGTCTACGTTGGGTCAGTGCCATCTCTATTTCTTTGTTGTAGGCCTCAATACGGAGCTAACGGATTCTGAAGACGAGGGTCGCAAGCCGATTTTGCTCGTCTGGTCGACCTCGGCGTTGAGCTTGAAGGCAAGATTGCGCTCGCTAGATATGGTGGACTCTTCCGAGGTTTGAAAGTAAAAAATGCACAGGATCATGGCATGATTGGTGCTGTAATTTTCACCGACCCTGGTGATGACGGAAACCAGACCGTGGCAAACGGCTATGAAGCCTACCCCAGTATGCTTGATTGGATTTCCCCCGTGTAGGCCCTCAACATACTAACTACATGTCGTATAGATGGCCCAGCTAGACACCCCAGTGCGGTTCAAAAGGGTTCAGTGTTGTTTCTCTCTACTCACCCCGGCGACCCCACGACTCCAGGTTACCCTTCCCATGAAGGCGTCGACCGAGCCGATATCTCTCCAGTCACCCCAAAAATCCCCTCTATACCCATTTCTTACGCATCTGCTGAGCCCCTGTTACAAGCTCTTGACGGATTTGGCGTATCCGCCGAGGAGGTTAATAGGACAATTTGGGCGGGCGCTCTGAACGCCAGCTATAGCTCTGGACCTGCTCCAGGTGTCACTTTGCACCTCGACAACTTGATGGAAGGCAAAATCACGCCCATATGGAATGTCATTGGTCATCTTAACGGCACCAACGCCGACGAGACAATCGTCATCGGGAATCATCGCGACACCTGGATGATTGGAGGCAACGGAGACCCCAACTCTGGCTCTGCCATTCTTGTGGAGTTTACAAAAGCCGTCAATACTTTAGTCTCGAAAGGGTGGAAACCTAAAAGGAATATGTGAGTTTTGTGATGATACAATCGAACCTTTGGCCGGTTCTGACAATCGTTATCCAGTGTCTTAGCTTCCTGGGATGCCGAGGAATACGGTCTTGTTGGCAGTACGGAGTGGGTCGAGGACAACGTCGATTGGCTCACCGAGACAGCCGTGGCGTATCTCAATATTGACGTAGCGGTTTCCGGTCCAAGGCCAAACCTGGCCACTACGCCCGAGTTGCACACTATCGGCACGGAGCTTTTCAAAAAGGTCATCTACCCCAACTTTGGCGGCTTCAATATCAGCCTCTACGATGCTTGGGAAGCGGCCTCCGGCGGCATCGTCGAGGCCCTTGGTAGCGGTAGTGACTACACTGGCTTCTTGCACCGGGGAATCAGCTCAGTAAGTGAACGAAGAACTGACCCTGAAGGGGATATACTTGCAACTATTACTAAATTTCCCAGCTTGACGTGGGCTCCGGAGGCGGTGCAACCGATCCCATCTGGCATTACCACAGCAACTACGACAGCTATCATTGGATGGCGAACTTTGGCGATCCCGGTTTCCTTGTCCACTCAGCCATAGGACAGTACCTTGCCCTACTCGCCTTCCACTTGGCTGACGATGAAATTTTGCCCCTCGATTTGCCCAACTACGCCACTGAGCTGCGTTCGTATCTTGAGGACTTAACTGAGTATGCCGAATCAGAGGGCGCGGCGATCGATCTTTCGGAGTTAGCCGATGCCATTGACGTCTTTTCTACGCGTGCCGATGAGGTCAAGGCATTGGAGCAACTCGCTATCACGACAAACGACACAGGCCTAATCTCGGTTGTCAACCATAAGTACCGCGACTTTCAAAGGGGATTTATCAGCCAAGGTGGCCTTCCCGACCGGGAGTTTTATAAGCATGTTGTGACTGCACCTGGATTAGACACAGGTAAGTGCTAGAAAGTTGCTGAATGGAGTAGCTTCTGATCACCTTTGACAGGATATGCCGCTGTCCTGTTTCCCGGTATCACAGAGGGTATACAGTATGGCAACGGTAACCTGACGGTAGCAGAGGAGTGGGTGTCTAAGACGGCACGCGGCATCATCCAAGCTGCAGAGATCCTCAAAACTTGATTTGTCGACAAGGCATGAACAACGCGACTTTTCGTCCCCGACGGCGAGTGGTTTTGGTTTATGCGGTGGTTTTCTGTAAAAGCTAGGAGGGTGCATACTCTAAGCTTCAATGGACGACGTGCTAGCGGTGGTAAACGTGGAGCCAACTTGTGATACCCTCATTTCGAAGTATTGAAATAACATATCTGAAACCAACGATGACAGCGCATACGCAAGCATTGGAAGCTTGAGCTGCAAATGTTGGTAAAGTAAGAAATCTAACCCCTAACTGTCAAGAAGGTTGAATGTAGACTTGCATGACATTGTCATGTTGCCTGTTGTCAGACATGCGTATATTTCATGCGGTGCCCCATTTCGAAGTTGTCGTAGAGGCACTGTTCGGGTAGGAAAGATCATAGGGAAAACGGCTTGACTATCTACAGTGTAGAGATGGGTGATCCAGCTCGAAGAAATACGTATCCTTCGAGTCGGTCAGCTGTGTGGGGACGAGACTCGGTTCGGAACAACCATCATTCCGGTCCGGAGAAATCGGCCGACCGGAGCCGGATGTGCGTGATGCACATGACAGAAGTACTTACGCGAACCGAATTAGTCTTTCCTCCTTTCTTGTCACTCCCCCCTGATTAATGATGTGCAACCAACACGTTATCCAGATAATACCAGTTTCTGTTTCAATCGATCTAACTGGATGATTTTCTAGCCGCTTCAATCATTACATAAAGGCCATTGACTGGGTATATGAGAACTTGTCATTGCCGAGTTGAAAATGACATTGCGATGATGGCCTCCCATTGGTTGTCTGGGCGACCCCGGACATTCCCAGTGAACTCAGCTTGCGCCGGATCTTTCATTCTTTCACCGAAGGCTAAAGATTTCGGGTAAACCAATGATACACAATGGTGCTGCTGACGCGACCTACGTCCCGCTTCAGAAGCCTAGTGACTCATGCTTCAACTAGGCTCCCGTTGCCGTGCGACACCATTGGTGGTTCATTGCCGGTTGAATTTTGGAAGTGCCGTCCGACAATGGACGTATCACACGACTAGAAAGTGCTACAGAGTAACCAAACAAGGGCCCTCAAAAAGACTATCTCGTGGTCATATGATCAAAAACAGGTTCAGTTAACCTCCCTCCTTCAAAGAAAACAGCGGTGACGAAGCTAGATGGCGTAACATGGTTTGTTGATGCGCCGCAATCCGTCTCGGCGACACTTTTTCCCACGGCATCAATTGTCTGCTGAACATTTCACGACACCTTGACGGCCTGCGATTCGATTACTTGTCGTGACGAGGTGAATGCACTATTACCTGCCCGTATTGAATGCCCAACGCCCCTCCAAGTTGGTAGCGAACCTTTTGTCACGAGGAGATCGGAACCCGGAACGATCGACAGGTAGCTCAATTTTATAAACTAGCGGGCGAAGAAGAATGCCTTTAGTCTGTCAACTGTTTTCAGTTATTGTGTGGACGATCTTCCGAGATTCCTAATTGGCAGATCCCCTTCGGATGTCCGGAGAATTTGACAAGCATTGACAGCGCCGGAGAGCCGACAAATATAAACTTCCGCATTCTCCGACTCTCGACCGAGGAAACACAATTGTTCGGCAAGGCTCAGCCCAGAGGTGCCAGGACGGCACGGTCGCTCGTCTGAGAGGCCCAAAACGGGCCACTGGATGACGAATCGTCATTCATTATATAATAGTTCGGTCTTAGGATGCTTCAATTGCCGTTTTAGAATCCACATATGTCCAGCGGTGTTCCGGACGGACCGGTACTTAAGCCCTTTTGGGAGTTTCTGTTACGCAATACATAGCACGTGGAACCCAACATCGACAGGTAGCCAGATGCTGTTGACAATGAATCTCCGCGGCTGATGTGGCTGTTAAAGGTCAAGTCAAATTCCAATACTCATTAACTTGGTAGTACTCACTCTACCCGTACCTATCTTCCGTTGTTCGTTGCACATCGCTAGCGCATGTTTGGTATGCCGATTCTTGTTGACGTGTTCGCACCACACGGACTTGTGCCTCATGACCTCTAGCCTCAACCAGTTTTTGCGTCGCTCCGTGTTCGACAGTTACCGCTCAAAAGAAGACGGGGCTCCTGGCTCTACTCTATTACATCGAGAAAATCGAGCAGGATAACGGAAATCGCCCTTGGGATCAACATAATTTGCGAGAGAGCAGCCTCTATACACCTCTGGCGAACGCCGTTCCTCACCCCGGGCTTGGCACAATGACCCGGCCCTCGATGTTGCGCTGCGACCCACGAGAATGGAACTTCGACATTGATCGATTCATCAACCCATTCATCCCACATCCTCCATGGGAGCACCTCCCTTATCCTATAGCACACTTCTTCGGCTATCGTAAGGCTAAGCCCATCAATGCCGGCAACATCGTTCCCGTATTCTGGGCCTGCATTGGCGTCTTCTGCGGCGTCGCCGTAGTCGCCCTCGTCTCTCGACAGATACCAGTTTTCAGGGAGCACGGTGCACCAATAATAGTGGGCAGTTTTGTAAGCCAAGCCCCTTTTCCTAGCTCCACGCTGTTCCCACCTCTCCTACACCGAGAATGTTACGGAGGGCATCATCAAGGTTTCTGCCCCGGACCTCGATATCCAAACCGTTTCATGCCTCGCATGTGACGACACACCGCTTCCACATTGCTTCCTCGCCGACGATGACGTGACCAATGGCTGACTCGCTGTTCTCTTCCTGTCGCAGGGTGCGGCCGCCGTCTTAGAGTTCTACTCGATCGAGTCACCCCTCGCTCAGCCCCGCAACTCAGTTTTCGGCCAAGTCCTTGCCGCCTTGGTAGGGGTTGCGGTCTGCAAGCTGCTTCAGCTGAGCCCCCATTTCGAGTCCATACGCTGGCTGGGAGGGGCCCTGTCCTGCGCCCTGGCGACCACCGTAATGGCGCTTACGAAGACTGTCCACCCCCCTGCCGGTGCGACAGCGCTGCTGGCCGTGGTTGATGATGGGATCGTCCGTCTGGGATGGATTCTGGTGCCCATTGTCACATTTGGCAGCGTCATCATGCTTGTCGTTGCATTATTCATCAATAATGTTCAACGGTGCTTTCCGCAATATTGGTGGTCGCCCGAAGATCTTAGGGTCTGCAGCGTGCCCTGGCGGCGGAGAGGTGATTTAGAAAGCAGGGAGAATGTTGCATTCGACGGAATCGAGACGCGGAGCAGCGGAAGCGAGTCCACGGCAAGGGAAGACGCAGTATTAATCATGAGGCCAGGGGAGGTAGTTGTCCCGAAACACTTGTTTATCACGCCGGAAGAGAAGATGTTCTTAGAGGGATTAAGTAACAGACTTTAGATCACTTGCATCATTAGCCAGTATGTGTACTATCGACAGGATACTAGAAAAATTACATTTTGTTCTGTTCATCAAATGTTTCGGTTCATGTTATGTTCCATTCTCTATATTCATATGCCCTTATTCCAAGTGATATCTCATCATAAAACTGTACTTGTCCCATGGTCTTTTCCTTCCCTTAGAAGGGAAGCGAACCTGCAAACTCCGAGGTCATTATACCTGTGAAACGCTGCAAAGTATACCATCAATCACCACCAAATTGCCCATTATCCACGTCTGTTACCCCTCATTATATCACGGCGTGTCTGTCGTAGGATAAAGTAGTTGTCTGTTCTCAACCCTGTTTCGTAGACCTGGTACGAGCCAAACGCAACTCCTCCATCTTTGCGGGGTTTTTGGTCGGATCATTCTCTGCGTCACCATCGGCGCCTGGATTGGCCATCTCGTACTCCAAGATCTTAATGAACTTGTAGAATACGACAGCAATCAAAGTGCCAAAGAATGGTCCAATCCCTGGAACAAGATTAGCTTCCTGTGTGAGCTTAACGTTATGGATGACAATCCAACTTACAGTATATCCAGTGTTCATGCTCAAAGGTTGCCGTGATGACACAGGGTCCAAAGCTTCGAGCCGGGTTGAGTGAGCCTCCAGTAAACTGCACACCCACCAACTCTGCGATGAAGAGAGTCAAACCAATTCCAACAGGGGCAATGAAAGTAGCTCTATGCTTTTCTTTGGCGAGCATGAAAATGGTGAAAACCAATTCGGCTGTCAAGATAGCCTCGATGAAGACACCTTGAACCAGCGTAGCTCCGCCGCCCAGTTTCGTGCGAACATCGAAGTTCTCCGGGAACAGAAACCTGACAATAAGTGACGCTAGCATTCCCCCTAGAAGCTGGGCGATGAAAAGATAAACCGCCCGCGCTGCGTTGATGGCTTTGACGAGATACATGCCGAGCGTGACGGCTGGATTGAACAGGCCGCCACTAATACGGAAGAAGATCCAGACGTTGACCATAAGAGAGAATCCAAAGATGATGGAGATGTAGAGAAGGGTGCCAGCATTCATGGCAGCGGAGGCACCGTTGCTGCCAGCCGGCTTGATGTTGGCGACCTCCGTTCCAGCAAAGGCGAAAAAGAGAAACATTGTCGTGCCAACAAGCTCACCAAGACTGGCGACGAAGTGGTTCTTCAAGTCCGAGTTCATCCATTGGGTTAGGGGAAGGCGCATAACCTGTGCCTTCTCTTCCCTGGATAAGTTGTGCCAGTCGATTCGGGCCTGGTCTCCGTTGGTGCTGCGGACCGCAATACCGCTCCGGGGGTAGCCCGCCAATTCCTCGTCGTACATTCTGCGAGACGGGGGTCTACCGCCGTAGTCACCAGGCTCATAGGACCGAGTCTCCTCGAAGTAGTCCTTGGCGTCCGTATGCGAGTCGTAGTTGAAGTAAGGTTGAGGACGGTTGAGGTGTGCGCGAGGTGGACGAGTGCGAGGTGCACGACCGCCGCTGTAGTCTGGGTGGCGGTCGTTGGGTCCCCAGTACCGATCAGTGTCCGAATCCTCTTCGTATTCTCCGAAGCGGCCACCGTCTCTCAGAGCACGATTGGACTTGGTTGAGTTACCGGTACGCAAAGGCTCTTCAACAGAGTCTCTTCCCCCACGACCTGTATTGGTATTTGCGCGACGGGCTGATCGTGAACCACCTCTTGAGTTCTGTCGGGAATGTGAGACGAATTTGGATTGTACTGGGTTCTCTTCGTCCGAGTAGCCGTGAGGGTCGACTGCTGTTGCTGGTGACACCGGTGAGGGTTCGCCCTCGGGGGCTTTCAGGTGTCCTGTCTGCTCTCCTGACATATTCTTTCGAATACGGGTGTCAAGCGCAGAGGCGAGGAATGGAATATTATAGAGGGAAGGGGAACTTGAGATGTTGAAGTGCGCTATCTTGAAGACAGATGCTTGGGAATATCAGGAAAAAAATGATTTATGTCGTCTGGTGTCCAAACCGCCTGGGGGTTCAAAACCGTGCTCCGAAGATGTCCGAACCCATAATATATCTTCCATTCAAACTCAAACTCAAGTGGGATGCCCAACCAACCTCCCATTTGCTCGACGTCACCGCATCTTCGGTTAGTTAGGCCATGATCCCTTCCGTCTGATCAGCCACCCATTTAGTTTCGACAGGGACTGCGGGGACGTTGGACTGCGGAAGTGGCAGTGGTGGGATGGAGGATTCGACAAGGTACCGTTGAGCCTCGTTGTCGTCTGCCTGCCTTGAACCCGCGAGGGTCGCCGGATTCACGGGCATGAGTGGTCGAGAGGCCCGAGGTGGCTCAGTGAGATACCCATGGGTTATCCCTGTGTTGATCTTATGCGATGTAATCGAGTGCGTTGTCGGGTCTGACTTGCAAGCAGTCGCGGCGACAGCGTGCATTATGAGAGAAATTTGAGCCTTGATCCTAGGCTGGTGACGTCAAAGTCGGATCGGTGTGATGGGAAAACTTCAACCCATGTCCACAGGGACTATGGACCTGGGTGAAACAAGCTCCAATTTGAGGCGGATGGGTCATTGTGGCGTCTGTGTGATTGTGGTTGGACTCGTAAACTAAATCTTAATGTGTTGAAGAAGCTGGGATCATTGCCGTTTTAACTCAGGAGACCCAAGCCACTAATGCGCCATTCTCGACACGTCGACTGCAGTATCCTTGCGTGACAGCTTCACGATTGCGTCCTTTATTTTGGGATCCTGGGGAGATCGGAAGACACTAGTCACCATTCCCAAACACCCATTAGCAACTCTAGATACATGGACTGAGAGTCATCTGCAACTTGAATAAGACAAATCATTACCTGAGAGTAGTATCATTTCTCCGGTTATCGGCAGCATTGGGCTGAATCATGTACACTTGAATATGAGGAGGGTATCTAAGACTAATAGTTTGGAACGACGTAGTACTACACCATCATTTTTGGCTTTGTGGCTGATCTGTGACTGACCCTTGATGCAACTGATCGACCAACTTTGAGAAGAGGTCCGAGAGATTGCGCAATTATGGTGATGTCATTTTATCCCGAAGTGTACAGCTTTCGTGCGGAAGATGAAGGAAGACAATGGGGGCTACATTGAGATAACGTTGAAAGATGCGATGCTGGTGTGACTCGGGTGAGAAGTATACTGTATAGAGCCACGAAAGAAACTGGGAGGGGTCATGCTTCTCGAAGTCCATTCCCTTCTCCCCTTTAATCTGTCTCTGTTGGTCCAGTTTCTGGTCACAGTTTTTCGATGTTCTTTACAGAAGTGCAGAGGTGAGGAAGACCGAGGGAATTGAGCTTCACCATCTTTAAATCAGTACCGAGTCGCGAATTAAGTCGGAGAAGATGATGTGAAATATATCTGGTCACCGATGCTTACTGAATAATTGAGACTCACTGAAGCTGGCCAGACTCACTCGGTTCATCTTGCTACACAAGGAGGAAGAGACATCTTCTGCTATCATTTTATTTCCATCTACTGTCTCAAGATATAAACTCTTTTGCCTATTTGATGGCAAAAGCCGAAGTGTTCTCTAATGCAATGGTGAGAAGCTCGTGAATAATGTTAACGAATTCTCTGGCATCCCCTGCGATCGAAGCCTTGCCACAACAGAGTGAAGTGCAAGTATCCTAGCTTTGCGTACTGCTGTTCAGAAGGATTAAAGCCTAAGATGTCATATTTAGAGACGAAGAAGTTGAGGGGCTGGGTACGTACAGCTTTAGAGCATCCACCTCGGGGATCCTGTGTGGCCATGTTCATTCCCGGGGTCTCTCTCAACACGTGCTCTGTCTCTATCTCTCACGGGCCCGCTGTCTCATAGTTCCACGAATAGGCATACTAATCTAACGATAATACGGTATTACTCCGCTCGGAGAGCGGAACATGCGGTTGCCAAGCGGAAAAGGGGGCGCGACAGCCCCTTTCTCCAGTCTTCTCGGCATTTTGACAGAAAGGATGAGAAGACCAATGGATTATGATTATGGCAGAGTCATTAAGCCGTGAGAGAAATACCGGAGTGGCCTCCCCGTAGGCTGTAGTCAATCCTTTACCGTTGTAAGAATCCCTTCACTTGATGCTGCATGACGCCTGACCTTGTGGCTGGATGTCATGTTAGGTTACTGCAGATGATTGCAGGTTCTCCACTATTACCACGACACACGTTCTTCTAGGTGTACACCGGTGACAGGCAGACTGTGGCGAGAATTTAGTAATCATGACACTCAGTTTCGAGCTTCCCATCCTCTTCACAGCTTCTGACCAACTTTTGTTGAAAGTTCAACCTCCTGGCTTGGGTTGACTCGAGATTGTGTGGCTGGTCACTGCAGGTCATGAGGATGGGGAAACGGCAACAACCTTTCGTCCTAGCGATACCTCCACCTCGAATCTGTCAGAAGCCCCCTGATGTAGAGAATGATCTGCGCTTTCGGAGTGGGGATTGCCAGGATATTCTCTTCCGACGTGCAATGACTAATTGGAGTATGGCGTTCAGATCGGTTGCACGGTTTAAACGGCTCGAGGGGGCTGGTTGCGAAAGTTATGTCTGACTGAATGTTGGCATTCCCTTGCTCAAGTTCTGTGAAATGGACCTGGAATCCTTGACCAGTGCTTTCGCCAGCTCATGCCATAATGACTTGCGATAACTCGGGGCTTGATTGAGAGGGCCAATGCCAGCAATTAATGAAATCCGAATGGCTGGTCCAGACCGCTATTTGATAAATACTACACATGACCCTAGAACAAATCGACGGGCCGTAAATAATGTGAGATCCGTCGATCGAATATACTCGACTGCATCGGTATGTCATCGTGTTGATCACGACGGGCTCAAACAGACCTGAGCTTTCAGAGAGGTTCCAGCGGGTCGGTGACGAGGAGAGGCTTGGCCTCCCTTTACTTTTCACTACGAGACCAGTGCAACTCCCAAAGAGACCAGCTGAAGCGGCATACTCGATGTTGAGGGTCAAGGCACAGGGGTGTATACTCTTTCTATTAGGTAAGGCACCTACACCACAAAGACAGTTAGGTTTAGTCACGAACGTCGAACCAAGGTCTCGGACTTGGTGGCTAATGCTCCTTGTGACTTTTAGACCAAGGTTGGGCGTTTGTGCATCGATTATCTAATCTTTAAAACCTATGAGGCCAAAATAAAGACGCCAGACATTTATGTGGTATTGTCGATGACATACTGTAGAGTTTCTTTGATAACGTGGAAATGGAATCCGAAAGCTTTGGTCTCCTAAACATAGTGAATTCGGAAGGTTTGCAATTGTATACTGAAATCACCGCACCCTCTCTGACATTTGTATTGGTTCCTGAAAGTGTTTGCATGATTGGTATGCTGTTAATTAGAAAGTCTATTGTATAGATCAAAAGTATTCCACCGTCCGTCCAAGTCAATGCCCTTCGTATACTTCCAAATGGCTCGGCCACATCGTTGGAAAAGGGAAGTAAACAAAATTCTTAATCTTCTCCAATTCATTATATGGATACAAATCAGACTTTGACAGTGAGCACAACAATAATCGATGGTTGATACACCGAATAAAGATAGAAGCTATCAACAAAGTGGGTTATTCTTTGTCTAACACCTAGGAGAGGAATGTTAAGCATGTGAAAGGCCTCAAGCTGGAAACCTACCAGCCATGCACCATCTCATTGGAACTTTCGCCAGGCTAGCCTGTCTCGGTCTATTGCTATTCTTGTTTTGAACACTCGCTTGGGGAAGGCTCCAATCAAAGAAAACAATCGAATGTCGAAAAACGCCACAGCTTGCCTCGAATTGGGATATGGGATGAGTTCAGAATAGTGAATGAGACCTCAGGCCCAGGAAAGCTTGCGCCGTAACCATGAAACCTAAACTTACTGTATCTGCTTGTGTTTGTACCTACAGCTTATCACAGTTCGTATTGTACCGAAATGTACTCCTGAAGCTTGTCAGTCCTAGAGTCATTGGTTTTTGGTTTCTCAGAAAGACTTTTTGTCAACGACCGGAAGTGCGGCTCAATTAATAATACTTGACAATGAACTGTGAAAAGTTTCATGCTCAGAATCCATCTTTCCACTCAGTACTGGCATCAACACTACATCGCAACATTCACAGCTCATGTACTGCTTTGAAATTGCACCATACAAATTTTTATCTGCCTCATCTGTTCTTCTCCCTCATCTATAATGCCGCCATTATATTGAGCAGGGCTGGACCTTATACATCCTCCTGTGTAAATGAATGGTCACTGTGCAGTTTGGTCGTCTCAAAGTTGGAGAATGAAGAGTGGATTGTTCGTGAGCATTACATCAAGGCAGATAAATCTCCATTCGCATTCTTTTACTCTGATCAATAGTGTTTTTTTGGTTTAACAGAGGTCTGAACAGTGGTTGAGTACAGCAATAGTTGGAGATGTCCATCGACAGCTCTTGGCACACATTCATCCATTCATCAATCAGCTTCTACCCCGGCAAGCTCGGCAACTTTAATTTCGTAGGTTACTTAGGATCAGCGTATAACTAGTCACTGCCAGAATGTTCAAGTGATCATTTCTGTTCGTTTTCCAGAACTTCACCTGATAAAAGGATCAGGCTCGTATTGCTCATATGTACCCTTTCGGCCATAGTTTAATTATGAAACGATTGCTCATCTCTCGATTTGTTCATATTAACTTCTACGATTTTATATTGCAGATCCTTTTGATAATCGATGCCTCAGTATCACGACCGCCTGTCCTCCAAGAGGGACCTGCCTTGAATGAATGAACTACCACCAGGTATGTCGCAAATTTAGGCTACGCGTCCTTAAAAGGCGCACGGGTAGGTAAATAGTGCTTGAAGCGTTTATGTCGAAAGTCCTTAGACTAGTACAAGCTTTCTAAAACCGAGTATGGGGTGAGGGTAGTATGACCACGATCGCGACAAGTCTAGTGACTTGTACTTTTCGCCATTGGTAACACATCCATCTAGCCCCTGAATCGTCATGACTCAAGGTAGGATGATTGGGAAGGCCAAAGGGCAATTTGGGTCTCACAAAACCATCTTAGAGAAGTTGGCATCTGTGAATTGCTCATAGATTTCCACAACATATTCCTTTAGCTGAGAATTGACATATTAAAACTTCAGTCCTCGAGGAGACTAACCTTGCAATTCTGGGACAGAGAAACAATACCGTTCGCAATACGAATGTTACCAAGGTCTATGGCGATCCAGTCATGATCTAGATTTCCAAGACCGTCGTGGTTGGGACCTTAATTTTCCACCACCCACAAGGGCGACAGGGCTTTTACGATAGGCTTATTGACCCCTTTTATTCTGCGGGTGGGGTCACTGCCTCCAACGCTAACTTTCACGTCCACTTCAAGAAACTTCTTGTAGACCACTCTGACAACAAATCAGCGGAGGAAACCAGCACTCCGAGCGTGAGCTACGCCTACGCCTACTTCTACAACGTCAGAAGCTATGGCCTCTTGTTTCGAACTGGGACAGCTCACATCTATAAGCAACATGTTGTACTACATAAGGCGTTAATTGCTGCTTGCGATTAACGGCGTCGTTTTTGCGACACAACACTAAAACACTATGGACACTGACTTGAGGTGTGCAGGCAATGGCCCAGAGCTAAAGTTTGAGAATGTTGGTAACAGTACAGTTTTCAACGAATCTAGTAAAGAGACCGGATAAGTTGACAGCGGCCTTCTTTCATACCAGATTGGTTAAAAGATGGTGAGGCTGACATTGATTGATATACTCTCGCTGTCGACTGTACGGTTGTTCTCGGAGACCAAAGTGCTAACAATGCGATGACCGGCAAGCTTAATCCGGGTAGTCTTCCATGTACCTTCTCTCTCCTGGGATCTGCCAATTTGAAGGCGGCTATCACGAAATAAGCGGCCGCGTCAGATTTTGGCTCCTGAGCAACATAGCTCATAGACTGAGTTGGTTCAACTTGGTAAATAAACTTCGCCCACATAATAATACGGATTTTCCAACAATCCGACTCAAATAAGACATGTAGAATCCAAGCCATTTTACCACATCTTAATTCCACAAAGTTAATAACCATGTGTCTCACTGTCAGTTGACGCGTTTCAAACCAATACGTAGTCACCTACTACAAAGTAGTTGGTTCAGACATACTGAAATTGTATTTCGAACAGTGATACCATTTTGCAACCTGCATAGAGACAAGGGTATTGAGAGCTACACGTTCACGTGTAAAGGTTTGGAGGACTCAGCGTAACTATCAGAGATAGATATCATACGTATCTGCATTCAAAGCATTGTAGCTCAGTACACATCAATTACTCTGGATGGCAAGAGCAGGGATATACTAGGAAAGTCATCGTATCCATCTGTACTACATTTTTCACATACTCAAACTTATAGCCAGTAGATTCAATGATCAGTTGACTGTTATCAGCATGTCTAAAGCCCCCTAATAAGAAGGGTTCCAACTTCGATCAAGCACGAAAATGAATGATTAGTCTGTGAGGCTATAGGCACAAGGCAAAGTGTAATGTTATAGTCCGCCAGTCTTAGGCTTACGGGGTGATCCAAAAGCCCTTTACCATTGCAGCATGCATTCATCTTCGTCATGGGCGTTCGTTCCCATGCCGATTTCAATCAAGTAGAGCCATCAGGACTGGCATCAAGCTTTTCAAAGGTCTTCAAAATGGCGTCTCTGGTCCTCGCAGCAATATACTCAATCTCCTCGCCGGTGCTTGTGTAAGCCGGTGCAAGAAGAACGTGGTCGCCCAGAGTTCCGTCCTTTGTCCCATTTCCAGGGAAAAGACTGATTCCAAACTCGTCCAAGCCATTGAGATGGATTTTGTTGGCTATATCTGCTGATCGGGGGAATGGCTCTTTGCTCTTTTTGTCGCGGACAAACTCAATCTACGAACACGACTTAATCAGTTGATCCACGGTTTCTCGTAAGGAATTATGTCAACTTACTCCCCAGAAGAGACCTTTTCCTCTGATATCGCCAACATAGGGATGGTCACTCAAATGCTCCCGCAAGAGTTTTTCCAGGAGGTTTCCCTGCTTGCGAACATTTGCGACCAGGTTCTCTTCTCGAATAATGCGCTGCACCTCCAAGGCCGCAGCACATCCCACAGGGTGGCCTTGATAAGTGTGCCCATGAGAGAAAGCTCTTGAACCCCCTTGTAGTTAGCAATATCGCTGCACAGTCGATTTGTAGTAGAATCTTACCCAGATCCATCTTTGAGAACATCAGCTACGCGGTGGTTGATGAGCATACCAGCCATTGGCGCGTAACCACCCCCAAGTCCTTTCGCAATCGTCTGTATATCAGGCACCACATCTTCTTGCTCCCACACATGCAGCGTTCCTGAACGACCCATTCCAGACATAACCTCTGAGAGCAGATTAGCAGCTTCATCCGAAAGCACTCGGTTGGATAATAGGGCCTAACCGTCCAAAATCAGAAGAGCACCGTATTTGTCACAAACACTTTTCATAGCCTTGAAGTACCCAGGAACAGCTGGGACACATCCCAGAGTCTGTATCCAGAAATCAGCACAGATACGCTCTTAGAGATGTTGTGGTAGATCCTACAGCGCCAACGACGGGCTCAGCAACAAACGCGCACACTGTGTCGGGTCCCAGTTCTTGAAATTTGCGGTCTAGCTCATCCGCTAGTTGTGCGACGTATTCTTCCGTCGTTTGGCCTTCCGGCATTCCACGATACGCATTACAAGCCGAGACTCTAGCGATGTTAGGCAGCAGAAGATCTAAAAAGAGACTCCGTCGAGCTACATGACCGCTCATTGAAAGCGAGCCTAGGGTGGTTCCGTGATATGAGCCTTCCCTGGCAATGAAGTTGACGCGTTTGGGCTGTTGTGGGGATAGCTCCAAGTAATACTGCCGCGCCATTTTCATTGCAGCCTCCATTGCTTCAGAGCCTGTGGCGAACGTTTAGCAGGTTTTATTCAAAAAGGAAAACCCGCGCCCATCTCTTACCAGAGCACAGGATGAAGGCTTTTGACATAGCACACCCAGTGCCTTGTACCAACTCAGTCGCCAGCTGCTCGCCAACTTCATGACCAAAGAACGTAGAATTGCAATAAGCAAACTTGTCAATCTGCTCAACCATTGCCTTTTTCACACGCTCGTTGTTCATGCCTATGCATGCGACGGCAGCACCACAGGTCGTATCAAGCATGGTTCGGCCATCGGAAAAAGTCAAATGATTTCCATTTGCTGAGATGACTTGCGGCGGTACACTTTTAAGCGAGCGATAAAGAACAGCACTGGTAACAGAAGCCTCCTTTCCAGTTGCTTCAGTTGCGAGTCTGCTTGCAGGGCTCATCTTCGAGACGGTCACGGCAGTGCCTTGTGGGTCAGTAGCCATTTCAACACAATATATTTTCAAGAGTGGCAAAAAGTATAATCGGAGATCAAAAAGTTGCACGCTGGGGGTTCGTTATTGAAGATCACTAACGCTTTACAAATTTTCGTTCGATTAAATAACTTTGACGATCGGAAAGCATTGTTCTCAAGTGGGTTCAAGGCACGTCGTGCATCTGCACAGCGTATCTGGCGTATCGCCCGATACCGGCCCAAGGTGGGGTAAGTATGGCCGAAAATAGGATCCGATCTGATGAAGACATGGTTTTTCCCGAGTCCTAAGCAAGAGCAAACTCAACGGTGCAGTAATTACGTCAACAAAAGGTGTTCTCCGGTCTCATCCAGTATGTCTGTCCAGTCAACCTGACTTGCACCCGCAACCTGTCTTCTTTGCCACAAATCTTCCAAGATAGCCAAAGACCGTGCAATGTTCTGAAATTGCCGCTTTTGCAGCGTCATCTGCAAGCGGACGCGGACGGCATCCATATGCCCGTCCTCTGTAGCCTCGCTACCGGCCAGAAAAAGTGGAAACAGTATAGCCGATTCGGTATGGGAGCCAATCGATATATCTGAGACATGCCTCAAGATATCTGATACTTGAATACATATCTTCGCCGGCAGTGTATCCCATTTAACCGTAGCAGTGAATCTTCCACCTTTGCCATCGCCCTCAGAGGCGAGTCGATCCCGAATGAGTCGGTACAAGATTATCAAAACTGCGCTCCTGAAAGCGTATGCCATAGCAGCAAGTTCTGGAGCGGCATCATGCCGGCATTGCCAATGCTGCAAGTCTTGCTCGACTTTTGCGCATGTGACGTAGAAGAGTGCTTGTCTTTTTGATATATCCTCAGCTGCAAAGTCGGGTCCAAGCTTTGTTTCCTCGTCAAGAATGCTAAGAGTTGCAACGTGACGGAGTAGATCTGTGGCGACGCCTAGGTATGTATCAACAACATCTGTGATACCATCCAAATAGCTGCAGTCAAGCAAAGGTCTTCTCCTCAGAGTGACGCTGGCGATAATGTCATGATATGCAAAGTTTCGAAGAATCCACTGTCCTTCGGAACTGCTCTTGAAGACATCTGGACCACGCAGCACCCTACCATTGCTTGTATTGACGACAGCCGATTCAATGAGTAATTTTGCTCCATGGAGATGGGAAGACCATCCACCATTGTCGCCCCTGCTGACTTCTCCTACAACAAAGGCAAGACATGTTGCCGCTTGTGTCTCATACCATGTGACATGCTGCTGGGGCGTGCTCAAGGCTATTGTGAAATTGCTGATGGCCGTTGAGTGAGCCTTAAGGGCAGTTACTTTGTAAGATTCATTGGAAAGAGACAAATGTCCCGAAGCGAATGCTACCAGTGCGTCATACAGAACATTTGATTCCATGGCCATGGGAAGAAAGGCTGGAAGGTTCGGTTAGCAAGAACTCTGGGAAGACGGATTGGGCCATAGGTATGATTCTACAAATTTCGCGCAAGACTTACCCGATAGGAACGAGTTGAACTGCTCACTGGCTGTCAGGTAGTGGCACAAGACTGTGATATAATATCGCATGACCTGACGCTTTTGATGGGGCTCGAGATGGTCTCCAGTGGGCATTGGTGAGCACAGGGGGAAAGAAGACGATGATTCGGGCACACTGGAAGTCCTCGACGTTGGTTCTATTTGCTTGAAGGGTTGCTTCTGGTCAACCCAGCTTGTTGGCACAACATCGCGAGTTGACGACCGAACACACTTCAGGTTCAGACGAGCACAAGAACCGCATGTTGGAAAGGTGTTTTCGACACATTTCTTCCGCCTGGGTTGCAGGATGTCAGATTAGCAACAAAAGAATGGCCATGGGGACAAGGTTTCATGGGTTCCTACCGATATCGGCAAGTCAGGCACCCTGTTTTGTCATGCTTTGAGCCCTTTCGACGTCGGGTTTCCGACTGCGTGGTCGATACCACAGCATTTTCGGCTTGGCCCTCCATAGAATATGTACACATAACCCCAAAGGACGATATCTGGCGTGTTGGGCGTAACCGATGGCATAGACGACACATGGGGTTTCTTGATGTCAAGAGGGAAAAGAGGGACCTGGAGGCGGCCCACGCACAACGAGTGGACTGCAGCGAGAGATAACGGAATTCCTCAGCTCACTTTTCACTGGGGCGCTGGCCTGTTTTGCTCTAGCACCCATGTCGGTGTATGTACTAGGTATAGTAAGTTAGAAATATCTCCCCCGCAACAGCGGACATGCGGCCATCATCTTGTTCCCACTCTTCCCCACCCTCCCTAAAAGGGGAGTTTTCAAGCTAGAAGACCAATGGAATGTATTACCTACTGGCCATTCCTTGTCGTGAGCCTGGTTCTCTGTTATCTCGGCTTCGCAGGTTAGCCTTGTTTGTCTCCGAGTAGCGTCTCTTCATGACTCAGTAACTGGTACGGTAGCATAAAGATAAGAAAACTAACCAATAGATAGCAAATTTATTCAAACATCAATCCTAGTATAGATATTCATGACTCAAATATATTATCGGTAATTTCCTAGTTTGAACTTTGCCTACTACTGTGCCTTAAGCTTGTCTCCCACTGACCTCAATCATGGACAGGTGCGGCACTTTATTGTTTTCCTCTTGATGCAGCTGCTCTCGAACATCGCCGTCCCAAACCTTTTCATCCGCTGCAGGGTATGCGCGTTTGAACATAGTCCAAAAGGAATTTGCAAACAACATATCCATAGACTCAATCCTGCGGCCCTTCAGTTCTGAAAGGCAGGAGAAGACAAAAATTGCGCCGATGTATGTCATTATGGCGAAGAATAGCAAAGTGTCGCACTTCGTCTTCGACAGTATATGAGAAGTTGCGAAAGTGATGCCTTAATTGACAATCCAGTTCGTGAAGAGGCAGCAAGACATACATCATGACGGAATCCTGGAAGGAAATATCTCGGCAGCAACAACATACGGAGCGACGGAGTGGCCAAATGACCAGCCGAATGCATAGAGCTAAACCCTATTCGATGGATCGATCGTCTAGCCAAGCTGCAGATAAGGGAGGAAGGGTATAAGAGGCCAATGTAAAAGCATCGACGTTGCCTAGATGATGGCATCAACAATTAGAGGGAGCCGGCGGCCAACGCGATCGACGATGACTGTTACGTAGATGATGGTTGTCGCAAGCTAGGCCACACCGTACACTCCAGTGGTCAGAAGTGAGATTAAGCCCGTTGTTATTCCAATCACAGTGAAGGTCTTATGCTATGTCAGCGACAAGGGTTATGTCATAGAGGCACTGTTCGGGTAGGAAAGATCGAGTCTACAGACAAGCTGATAATGCCCCCCCCTTGACAACCCGAGAGTACCGTGCACAGTAACTGATAGGGGCCCGTGCACAGTTGAGCTGACAATGGGGTAGATACGCGCACACACGTCACAAAGGTCTATAGGTCTAAATTAAAGGAGAATTTTGTTCTTCTCGCTCCACGTAGTCTAGCAGTAAGTAGCGCTCCTAATAATCCAAAGGCTATAGGTTCAATCCTAGCTTTTTCTGACTTTTTCTGACTTTTTCTTTAGGTAATTCTAAAACGGCTCTACTAGGGAGGGTTAGAATGGTCTATCTTACCCTGCTTCCTCTGCTGCGCTCTAGGTTAGGATAGGCTAAGACTATCCCTTTTTTCCCTCTACTACCTCTATTACCTTTATTTTTTTACCTCTATTTCTACTTTTTCCCTCTGTTTTTTTTCCTCTATTTATACCCTTATCTATTAGCTATAACTATATCTACTATTAGCTTAACTATATATAGGCCCCTATTAGTTATTATATATAGTACTCTTAGGTTATTAAGAGGGGGGTATTATTAGCTAATCTAATTACTTAGAAAGATTATAAGGAAAACAGCTTAACTATCTATAGTATAAAGATAAGTAATCTAGCTTTAAGAAATATATATTATAAAATAATAAGAATTATAATAGTTACTTAATTAATTCTATTATATGTTATATAACTATAGTAAATTCTTATAGAAATAAGGAAAAACCTCTATTTCTTAGTTAGGAAATCCTTAGCTAATCCTAGTAATATTATTAGTAAAGTTACCCCTAAAAGTAAGGCTAACTTACTACCTATTCCCTAGTAATTTACTATAAGGTAACTATATATTTACTAGCTAATTTAATATACTTATATAGTAAGCTATACATTATAGTAAGCTATATACTTCTTCTTCTTTTTCTACTTTTTTATAAGTTAATTAACCTATAATATATAAAATTAATTAAAACTACTTATTGCTATCTTCTTTATTACTATCTTAAACTACCTTATAGGTTTATACGTTATGTCTAGTTTTTTAATAATTACTATATTATTATATACTAATATAGCCTTCCTAGTAGCTGTTATAGTTCTAATAAGATAAAGCTAGGCTATAGTAGTATTATAAAGTAACATAAGGTAAAAGTAAAACGTAATAGCAGAGTAGTAAAGTAAGATATATAGTAATAAGAAGCTAAATAAATAACATAAGATAAAATAGGTAATAAATAAAAGGTGTATTTATAGTTAACTCTTTTTTTATAAAAGGTTACCTACTAAAAGGATATATACCTAAGGTATATATAACGTATTATATATATATTAGGTATTTAGTCTTTACTATCTATTTATCTCTTAACTATAGGCACTTACTACCTTATCTTATAATAAGTGCCTCCTCTTAAAAAGACCTTATTTTCTTTAACTAAATACTTTAAGAGCTAATTAAGAAAGTAATAGCTACTATTTTCTTATCTCTTTTATATTATAGCCTTATATCTTAAGGTTATTTATTTATATTCTAACTTTACTATTTATTTATTATTATTATTACCTAGGTTAATAGCCCTAGCCTAGCGCTTTTTTCCTTATAGGCCTATAGGGCTACTAAGCTTCTTTACTAGTTAGGGTTACTTATTACTTCTACTACTTAAGCTTATATTACTAATAACGCTCTAGGTAGTAGTATATATCTCTTACTAAAGGTAAAATGTCTTTATAAGTAAAGTAATTTAATTTTATAACTTTTTAAAATCCCTAGCCTTAAAATTATTAAGGGTGTTAAGATTATTTACCTTATAGTTAAGGTTTTTAACCTTATTTTTAATAGTATTAATTTATTTCTTAATATTATTAATTTAGGCTACCTACTAGTAAATCTTTTTAGCCTTAATATATAAGCTTTTTTAACAGCCTTATTAATATTACTTTATACTACTATAGCTACTTTAGCCTTATTAATAGCTATTACTAAGGTAGTAGTGTTTTTTATATTTTTATAAATTAACTTAGTATACTTATTAACAGACAGTTAAAGAAATATATAAAATATAATATAATATAAAATATAATATAAATACAGTATAATATAATATAAATATAATATATATATTTATATTATATTATATTAAGAAAAAAATACATATATTTATATTATATTGTATTATATTTTATATTATATTTTGTATTTAATATAATAATACAAGATATAAAATAAATATTAGTATTTTATAGTATAATTATACTTTTAGGACTTTATTATACTTAGTAATACTATATATTCTAATTATAAATACTATAAAATATATATATAAATATTTAATTAGGAATAAGTAAAGATTATTAGTATTATTAAATATAAAAGTAATAAACTCTATTTAAGTACTTTTATTTAAGTATTATATAACTATTTAATCTATATATAATTTAAATATTTTATATAGTAAAGCTTTACTTTAAACTATATAAGTAAGATAAGATTAGTATTTAAGTAATAATAAACTTCTTATTATATATTAAGATCTTTTTTAATTAATAAAGACTATTTAAGTATATTTAGCTAATAATAACTTGATATAAATATATATAACTTAGTACTTAAATTCTTTTTAAATTCTAAAGTTTCTAATTATGTTTTTTCTTTATACTACTAATTTCTTATTTTAAAAAAAAGTATTTAAATCTTATATTTAAGAGATTATTATATATATTAACTTATTAAGAGTATTAAATATACTATCTAGATTATCTAAACTACTAGATTCTTACTATTTCTTTATAAGTATTAATCTTTTTCTAGTAGTATTAAACAAATTAGTTCTTCTTTTAGTATTAATATTACTAAATTAATTAAAGCTACTTTTTACTATAATAAGAGTAGAAGGTATAGCTAAGTATTAGCAAGCTAATATAAATAATATAAGTAATTTCTTTATAATACTATTCTACTAGTCTGTAGAATTTATATATATAATAGTTAATAAGTATTATATTATGTTCTATATATTAAAGTAGTAGTTTGATAATATCTTAGAGATTAAGTATTATAGTATTTAAAGTATTATATAGCATAATATATGTAGAGAAGTATAAAGAAATATATAAAATATATCTTATATTATTAAGGTTAAGCTTAATAGAAAATAAAACTAAAATGTTTACTTTTAAATTACTCTTTTATTTAAGTAAGTAAACTACTAGCCCTACTAATTACCTAACTAGGTAACCTTTTATATTTATAAGACTTATAAGATTTAAAAACTTTCTAATTTCTTTCTTTTTATATTTTATATAATATATTATATATATTATTGTATTAATATAATTTTATATTATAATATATAGTAGTATTAAAACTAGTTACCTAATATATATAAGCTCTATACTTTAGGTATT